AGTGGTACAATTAAATGGAATACGGAACGTGTAGCATTGCGTATCTACGTTAGCGAACTTCCAGCACTCTCGGACATTCGAGTTCAAATACCTTCCCCTGGGAGCCTTTCTGATACACCCAGCTCTCCATCCGCTGCGTTCCCACTGCCTTTGGTTCATACTGCTATTGTCGCTGTTGATTGTGTTTTTCAAACTTTAGAGTGCCCTGGAGTCATGGAGAGGGTTAGTTACAGACAGATCGCTGCATGCTCCAGAGTTTTTGATTCCGTGTCAAACGGGGCTTGAGAATTTGCATTTATACAGATTAGTTGTTGCTGCTGTTTTGAGACTGCACTTTGAAAACCACTGAGCACACTGTGTGCTCCTGGAACGCAAGGGAATGCATCTTTTATGTTTTATATACACAGTTTTAAAACCCTTTCTGGACCTCTTGTTTGTACATCTTGATATCCTCAAATATATACTGAATGTACGGACGAAGAAACAAATGGAGCCATTCTTACAAACTCTTAACATTCTCCATAAATCTGTAACTTCATTTAGAGGTTTCATTCACTCTTGGAATGAGTTTGCTTTCTAACATGTTGAGATCAAATCCAACCCAATACGTACTCTCAACACTTTCCCCTTCCTTACCCCATAATGTCTTTTTACCTTTACACCTTCCTTTTCTCACCATATATCCTAAAATAAAAATTTTCATCCACGTTCTGAAGCTAGGTTTTCCTTATCTCTTTTGATACAAGGAATATTTTCAATAGTCTCTTCATTGTTGTTGTTGGTTTTCTTGTTTTGGGTTTTTTTTTTTTGTATGCTTAGGTTTTCCCTGTCCATTGGTTCCTTCCCCTCTGCCCAGGAAAGAAATAATGTGTCCTATCCTGTTGTGATGATTGCTGGCTGTAACTGACAGAACAATGGACTCAAACTGCTCTAGCAGCGGGCACCTTTATCAGCTTACAGAACTTGAATTCCAGCACCTAGACAAGCTCTGGGTTGTTAAATAATACAGTTGAGTTGACTCTGGTTCCTTCCCTCTGCTCTGCCTTTCACAATGATAAGTGCATTTCCTTATGGTTTTTGTATGCTTTGTTCCCAGTCAGGACCATATACTTCCTCCATGAAGGGTAGGGTGGGACAGCTTACGAAAGAGATCCAGTAACTCTCACGAGAGTAAAGAACAACTTGCCCAGAAGCCTACAGTAAACACTACCTCTCAGCTGCCAGAAGTGCTTCACAGGCACATTCCTGAACCAGCCACTGATGGGGGAGATAGAATTACCTGGAGCTGGAGCCAAGGCTCAGCTTCCTTTCTTGGGGTACATGATTACCTGAAGATGATATGGACACTGGTCAAATGTGAGGTCGTATTTGGAAAGAAGGGAGGATTTGATAGTCAGTGATTTCCACTGCATCTAGCTTAAAAAGAGATAGTGGTTGGGACAAACAACCTGTTATTCTGGTAACTGTTTTATGTTGTTCCCTGTCTTTTATAGACAAAGTTGTTGAACATTCATTTTGCACCTACTTGCTCATTGCCTCTTCCTTCACTAACTTCTTAGCCCTTTCTCACCTAGAGATTTCCCTCACCACCTCCTGGGAGCTGCTCTGTGGATGATCATTGTAATAGGCATTGCTAGTTGCAACCACGACATCTCTTCTTCACTGTGGATCAGCTGAGTAGTTTGGTTAGGATGAACCTTAATTGCAGCTTCAGCAATAGGTCATTATCATTTAAGACTATCAAAATGTCCATATTTCCCTTTTCATCATGACCATTCAGAAATGGGTAACCAAAGTCTAAGCCAGTCAACACCCAGCGTTACCTTGGCTATAGTAGTTAGTTAGCTCAGGAGTGAGCACTGACCTAAGTTGATCTATCAGAGTGAAACCTCATGATTGAGGAGAGAGAAGTGGGTGCAGAAAAGCTTTCTCTAATTTTGACAGATGCTAGTCTGGTGAGGTGGTCAAACACAGAGCAGGGTTGGGTAGGAGGGCCAGGGGCAGAGAGCCAAAAGAATCATTCAGAAATGGAGCTGGAAGCCAATCAAAATGCCTGAAGCCTAACCTGTCTCGACCAGGGGCGTCCAGTCTTTTGCATCTCTGGGCTACACCAGAAGAAGGAGGGTTATCTTGGGCCACACACTAAATACACTGGGACATATAATCACAAAAAAACTCATAATGTTTTAAGTAAATTACGATTTTGTGTTGGGTCTCATTCATAGCCATCCCGGGCTGCACACAGCCCGCAAACCCCAGGTTAGACACTCCCAGTTCCTTTATTTTAAGCCAAATTTGAATTACGTTTTTTCTTACAACAAAAAATACCAACTAGTAATGGTCACCAATGGTTTCCTAATTGCCAAACCTATGGAGTTTTTAAAGTTGTTGTCCTTTTTGCTTTCTTTGAAGCATTTTACACTATTGATAATCAAGGATTTTGAAACTCTTCTTTCTCGATTACATGCTTCCTTTGCTTTCTCCCTTCCTTATTTAGAAAACAGATTATAGAAGTCTTGTAAAAATAAAAGAAAAATCATAAAATACACATTGTATAGTTTTAAAATATCCAAACCCATTAGTCAAAAACTTGGCTAGGAGAAATGATAGGAAAATAAAGGAGAGGAGGGTAAAGGACTATCGAGAAAAAGAAAGATATTATGATACTGCATTTTGTCATAGGTATTATCAGTTAGAACCTCTTAAATAGATCACCAGAAAGCTGCATATGACCTGAAGCTTATTTGCTTAATATTCTCTTGGCCACAAATTATAAGATAAATTATGAATTTAATAAATATTTAAATTGGTAAAAAAAAAAAAGAAAGAAAGAAAGGAAACCCCTGCTCATCACCCCCTGGATCGCTTCCTGCTACCTCAGGCTGTTCCTCTGTAGAGAATAGAATCGCTTCCTTCTAAAACCTGCTCTATCCTCTGTCTCCTCTATTGTGCTTTCCTGGTCCCACTATTCTTTCAATTACTGAGGATGAAATTCTCTTTATTCTATCTTTTCAGCGTTTTCCACGTTTATTCCTTCCTCTTTCTTTTTATTGCCAGAACCCAAATGTAGGACTTTTGTGCTTTTGTCTTAGATTTGCAATAGCCTCCCAACTGGTCTTGCCGTCCTGGGTTACCTACTCTAACCCATCTAATATGCTACTGAAAAGGCATCTTCCAAAAGTAGACCTCCGATCAATGGTTTCCCATTGCCTCCCACAGTAAACCCAGTCCCCTTTCCCTAGCGTCCCAGGCCCTTGACAGGTTAAGCCTTATCGATGATTCCTAACCTAACATCCCCAGAGAGACCTGCTTTCTTTATCTGGGCTGTGACTGTTCTAGAAAGAGTGTTCCTGCTGTGTTTCCTTGTCGAAATGTTGTCTACTTCAAAACTCATCACAAAAGCTACTCATAAAATCTTATTTTATCTCTCTCATATTATAGATATATTTGTAAATAAAATGTCAATAGATTTTGTTATATATTCAAAATCTGTTGCATCTAAAATAGTGATCATGCAAAGTTTCATTTCTAGTTCTATCAGACTTTACGTAATAACATGTAGCAAGAAAAAGGACTCCACAATTAATTTCCATATCTACAGACGCTTTTTTTTCTTTCACATCTTCTTACTTTCAAACAGGTTATAAATGTTGCAACATTCAAAAGTTAAAAATGCCGTAAATGTAAAGTAAGTCTTTCCTCACTCCTGTCCTCCCCATCTCCACTCCCTCCGCCCTACAGGCAGTGTTACCAGTTTCTCGCCTGTATTTATCCAGGTTAAGTTTACCAGAGATACATGTTAATTTATGTGTGGATTTGAGAACAGTACAGGTGTGTATTCAGACTCAGTAACAAAAATCAAACGAGTAATCCAGTGTAAAAATGGGCAAAAAATCTAAACAGGGGTTTTCCCAAAGAGCAATACGGGTGGCAAATAAGCTCCTAAATAGATTTTCAATGTCTTTAGTTACTAGAATATACAAATTAAAGCCATAATAGAGTACATAACTATTAAGATGGCTATTATGTAAAAGACTGACATACTAAGTTGGTGAGGAAGAGGAGTAACTGAAATTCTCATCTGCTACTGGCGTAAATGTAAAATGATAGAACTACTTTGGAAAACCGGCAGTTTCTTTAAAAGTCAACCATATACCCACCATATGCTCCAGTCATTTCACTTTTAGGTATTTACTTAAGAGAAAAGAAAATGTATATTTATATTAAGACATATATACACGAATGCTCATAGCAGCTTTATTTATAATAGTCAAAAACTGGAAACAATCCGAATGTTTATCCACAGATGAATAGTTTAACAAACTGTGGTATGTTTGTTAAATAGGCTATTCAGCAATAAAAAGGAATAAACTAATAACACATGCATGCACCTAGATGAATCTCAAATCATTATGTTGAGTGAAAAAAAGAAGAAAAACGGTACCTACTATATTGTTTATTTATACAAAAATCTGTATAAAGTAATCTACACAACTGCAGTGAGAGAGCAGATCAGTGATTGCCCGAGAATGGGTGGGTAGGAGTAGCGATAGGGATGGATTGCAACAGGGCACGAGAAAACGTGTGGGGACACTAGATATGCTTAGTATCATTATTTTGGTGATGTTTTCACGGATGAAAACGGATCAAATTTTATTCTGAATATGTGCAGTTCATTGTATGTCCACTTAAATATCCATGAGCCTGTTAAAAACAGTTAAAACCAAGCCCCCCATTCCCGGTCTGTTTTCTTCAGGGTTGCAAGAACCTTTATGTCCCCCAACCCTGCCTGTTCCGGGCCACCCCGGGCCGCGCCGCCACTGCTCCTAGAGAAACCCTCACCAAACACCATCCACTTGACCCCGCACTGAGACTGCGTCCGCGTGGTGGGTGTTTTCCCCCAGTCTCCCGCTAGAGGGAGCATGCTGAGGAGGCGGATGCCCTGGCCTCTCTAGCTCAGCCCCAGCGCCCCGCAGGCTTCCGGCCTTATTCCCCACGGCTTCCGGGGGAATGTGCGGCTGCTGTACGCGTTCCTTGCAGGACTCAGAAAGCAGAGAAGATCCGGGCCGGAGGGTACTTGCTTTGTGGGGTTAGGCGGCCGCAGCCGCCTCTCTGGGAAAGCGTATCGCATTCTCTGTTGCTCGAAGACGCCCTATCTTCAACCCTGGAGCAGAAGGAGAGTGCTGCCATGGCGGCTCCTGCGCAGCCAAAGAAAATCGTGGCCCCCACGGTGTCCCAGATCAACGCGGAGTTCGTCACCCAGGTGCGATTGGGCGAGTCTGGCGTGTGTGGGGGATGAGGACGTGCCAGGTGCTGTCCTGGGGAGAGGGGCCTTCCTGCCCTGAGGAGTTCACGTTCCAGGGAAGGCAGAGTCTTTCGTGGAAGAGGTGGCTTCACCCCGATCTACCTTAAACTAGCAAGGATGTTTCGTAGCAGAGATGACGCTGAACTGATAGTTGAGAAAGGAATAGGCTTTTTTCTGAGCCGTAGGGTAACCTAGGCTTTTGAGTGGAGTGATGAGAACTTGCGCCTCTGTGAAGAGAGTAATCCCGTAGTTTGAGAACCTTTATTTAGAATCTGTTTACCTTGTTACATTGTGAACCGCGTGGTTGGCTTTGAATAGGGAAACACAATTTTGTAGCCCCGGGCAACATTCCTAATTCTTACTTGTTGCTTTGGATACTGAAGGAGATTGCAAAGAGCTTAGTGCAGAAGTTTGTTAACCTACCTGGTTCCTAGTCCCTGTCTCATAGGATTGGGCTGGGCAGAAGCCTTTGACTCCTCCTCTTCCTTTAACCCCCACATAACTACTACATTCCTAATAATCTCTTAAATCTGTCTGCATCGCGACACCTCTCTACTCCAAGCCAGGTTGCCCTTGACTGCTACCTGTACGTAGACATCCTAACCTGCCTTCTTTCCTCTTGCCGTCCTCCAGCCCATTCTTCCTGTTGCTGTCAGTGATTTGACACAAATATAATTCAGTGCCCTTAAGTTAATCACCCGGATATTCCAGAGTGTTGTGTGATCCAGCCTGAGTTTGTCTCCCTGTTTAACTCTGCTTTAGCCGCACTGAACAGCATGTATTTGAATATACCTTGCTATTTTTAACTTCCTGGCCTTTCACCATCGTTACCTGTGCTTGAAATCCTCGTCCAAACCCCCTCCGTTACTTTGATTCACTGTCTTTCATCTTCATTACTTTGGAGAGGCTCTTTCTGACAATTTAGATTAGATTAGATCTTCCATTTTTCCATATACTTGCATGTTTGTGGTGAAAGTCATTTATTGGTTTCCTTTTGTCGTGGAGCTTGTATTTTAGACACATGAGCCAGACAAACAAACAGTATAGTTGTAGACAGCGGTAAGTGCTGCCAGGAAAATGGAACAAGGTGTTGTGACGGGGACTGGGGTGATGTCTAAGAAAAGGCAGTCAGGAAAGTTCTCTCTGAGGTCACATTTGAGCTAAGACCTGAATGGAAAAAAAAACAAAAACAGCCAGTTTTTGGGAGAGCAGAAAAAAATCCAGGGAATGGCAAGTGCAAATGGGCTTTCTGTGTGAAGGTCCAGAAAGCCGGGATAGCAAAGAGAAGACGTGAGAGGGAGAGTGAAGTTGAAGGCACTGAGCAAGTGTGTAGGGGCCCAAGTCACAAATAGTTTTGGAGGCTGAGGTTTGAAGTTTGGATTTTATTCTAAATATAGTAGCTTTTGATTGCAATCTAGTGGCAAAATTTTTTTTAGAAAGATAGGAAGGTCACTGTGGCTAATGTGGTGAAATTGAATGAGGGTGGGAGAACAAAAGTGGTAGTAGGGTTACCCTTTAGTCCAGGTAAGAGCCTCTGTGTTAAAGACTGAAGCTGACTGATCCACTGAAACTAGGGGCAGTAGGATTTGATGATGAGTGACGAGGGATGGAGGAGGAGACACACTGAACATAGTTTAAACAATTGGGTGAATAATTTGGACATTTACTGTAATAGGGAAGACTGGGAAAAGGGAAGGTTTAGTGGGAATGTCAAAATTTCTGTTTTGTCCGTGTTAAGGACGAGGTGCCTGTAGACATTCAGTTGAAAATGTTGAGAAGGCTGCTGAATAAGTGAGTCTGGAGCACGTTGGGAAGATCTGGGTTTGAATATAGTTTGGACATTAACCACCCACGATGGTATTTAAAACTGTAGGTCTGCCTGGGATGTCCTCCAGAATGTTGTTTGTAAACATGAGGTGTTTATTGTATTCTGCTTCAATTGTCAGAGCTGAGGCTTGGGACTGTGTCTTTTATTCCCCTGGTAGTGCGAGCACCCAGCATTGTGTGAGGACACATTGTGCGATGCATAAGTATTTTGCTGAAAGAATGAGCGAATTAATGAATAAATGTACCGGGACATTGGATATAGTGGAAGGAATAAACATTCTCAAAAATCTTTGGCCATGATAGAAGCATTAGTGCTTAATGATTGACAGATAGCTGCCTTACGCTCGCTGGGCTGCAATGTGTGAATGGAGACTTGAAGAGACTTAAAGAACTCATTGTAGTTCAGTGTGATATGTGCCAGGATAACGATGTGAGGGAAGTGCTTTGAGAACAAAGTGTAAAATGATTACATTTGTCTAAGGAAAGAGTTTCCAGAAAGAATTTTTTTATTGAGAAAGTGCTGTTTGAAATGGACTTGGAAACATAAATAGGAAGGTGGGGAAATGGGTTTTCTGGGTACAGAGGACATCAAGCAGTCCTCTGCCTTCTCCTCCCCCTCCCCTCCCTCTCCCTCAGGCACATCTGACCTGAGAAGGTGCTTTGTAAGTATCTTTGGATAAAGGAAATGTGGGTGTAAATCTTAGTTTTAAGATTAGCTCTCTGAACTTTGACCCAAATTGTTTATGCTACTGTGTTTTTCCTTTTTGTCTTTCAGTCGGATTTGTTTTGAACAATTTGGGCCAGCTTTGTGGCACTGAGTGGAGAGTGGGGAGTTTCTGTCTCATGTGAGAGTAGAGAGTGGAAGAGGGCAGTGTGTTCCTGGAGGGACATGTGTCTGAAAAGTCACAGGCTAGACCCCAAGAGAAAGGAGAAACTCCGAAAAAAGAGACGTGATAGATGCTTAATAGATGTTTGCTAGATCTTTAATGAAGTAGAGGTGTGCAGTAAGCAGTGTGGATCAGAAGATAGGACTTGCATGTTTATTTGGAGGTCCCTGAATCCAAGGAAATAGATCAGATTCAGTTCTCTCCGTGGTCTGATGCCCGTAGGGAACAGAATGAGGAAGTGAGGATACCACAGAATAATTGGGGGTGAAGTTTTTTCTTTTTGGTTGGAGGGTGATCGATAATTTGGGTAAGTGGCGTATGAGTGGGCCATTACTGTGATGTCCTTGAGACTTCCTCAGGGCCAGTGTCCTCACTGCTGGTGAGGCCCTTCGTGAGTGTTGACTGCAATATGTATGCAGCTGTAGTAGCAGAGAAGACATTAGGTGGGCAGGGAGGATAGCTAAGCAATCAAATGATTAAACAGGAATCAATAGGTCGCCATCAGGTGGGGTAGAAAGGGAAGCCTCATAGAAGAGGTCACATTTCAGATTTCACTTCATTTGTCTGTTCATCAGCTGTTGTTTGAGCACCTGGAATGTAACTTCAAATTAACCTTTTTTATACCTGCCCACTCTTATTCTCTGTAATGATCCACTGAGAGACTACAGTTTTTTAAGGTTTTGTTTAAGTGTGTATGAGTATGCACTGCTCACTTAAAGATTTTAACATTCCCAAAGATTTTGATTCTGGTTTTTAGGACTAGTTCAACTGTTAACTAGTTGTAATCTTGGGCAGCTCACCTAATCTTTCTGGACCTGGCTTTGCTTATGTCTGTGGTAAAGGTATTTATTTGGCCATGGTCTTAAACTTTGCTCCATTTTTTCGATATGGATAGTTAAACAGTGTGTTAGGTTTTTAAAAATCGCAGTGGCAGGTTGCAGTGCAGGGCATTAGTGGCATCCAGTGGGTTGTGGCAAAGGCTGTCAACTGACGTGCAAGCCCATAGTTTTCTGAGAAGGTGGAATGACTCCGGTTCCCAGCATCGGTCGTGCCCTGTTAAGAAACAGCTTGGCACCGAGCAATCTCAGTCTTTCAGCTCTGTGGTGGCACGGCTCTGTTACTTACTGTTTTCACTCTTTACTTTTGCAGTTAGCGTGTAAATACTGGGCTCCCCATATCAAGAAAAAATCACCTTTTGATATAAAGGTAAGCATTTTTGCTTTGCAACATTCTTTTTCAATAGATATGCTCTTTGTATCTCTTTTTAGGAGTTAATTCAAGCAAAGCTTTCAGAACTTTTTTAAAAGTTAAAATTATAGTTTTCTAATTATCAAACTAATAAGTATTCATGTTAGAAAATTTGGAAAAAAACGGAAGGAAGGTACACATAAAGAAAAATAACTACTCAGGGATAATCTCTATTATCATATTGTTGAATTTCCTTTGAGCTTTTAAAATGTGTGTGGATTTTCCTGTGTAAGATTGTTTTTAATTTATTATTATTATAAAAGACAATGTAATGAAAATCTTGGTAGATATAGAGAAATTTTTCTACAGTTTGTGACAGTTTATTTGGAATGGAATCTGTTGTTTTCTTTTTTATATTTAAGTTGACGAACTACAATAACGATCTTTAGTAATGACCGAAGAAGTGAGAGTTGTTTAACTTAGGGGATTACATGACCGTGGGTCAGCAGTAGTCAACAGAGAATGGATTTATGACGCAGGTGATGCAATTTTGAGTGAATGAAAGGAAGAAATTCTTAAATGTAGAATTAAGTCTCATTGAAATAAGTTCCTAAAGAGAGGTCTGTAAATGAAATGGGGCTGGACATATTGCATGCCATTTCACAAGCAATCGAAACCTCCTTTAAGCTTTGCTGCTATAAAGTGAATGGAGCTGTTTAGGGAATTCTTAGTCAGACTGACTTAACCCAAAATTCCTTACATTAAGCTTAAATGTTTTGTTTATAAATATATTTTGTTTTGTTAGCAATTCCATTTTATTCATCAGGAGGATATTAATAAACATGACATATATAATCTTAATTATTAGCAGGGTTGTTTTCTCTTGTTATATGCTGTTTGTATACATGTTATGCTTGTATATCTTGGGTTTGGGGTTCCTAGGAACATTTTTCCATTAATAACAAAAAACATCTGGATGACACTGCTAGATTGAATTGAACCTAATTATATTACGATTTTTAGAAATTAAACTTCTATCCAGATTGTTTTACAGAATAAAGTTAGATGAACCTATATATGCCTGTTTAGAAGAACTGTACTATTAGTATTGAAGGAAGATTATGTCCTTCATTTTATTATTTAATTTGAATTTTGATAAGAAATGCTATAATAAAATATTTCATAAATTGAACAAGACTTGTTTGCCTAATTGTTTTCCTCAAACAGTCACATTTATTTAACAAGTATATTCTTAGCAGTTAAAAGACATTATAGTTACCATAAAATAAAATTGTATCTTACCATGTTAAAGCACTTCATAATTTTATAGTAACATTTTGTTTGTTTGTTTTTTCTATTATCACTAGTACTGTTACTTCTGCTGATACCTACTAAAGGCTCGCGTGTACCAGGACTTATACTAAATTTTTTTACATGTGTTGTCTTATTTATTCTTAAGTATTGGGTTGGCCAAAAAGTTTGTTTTTTTCCCCATTTGGTGGCTCTAGTAGGGCTTAGTTGCCTGTAACTTCATTTGAAACAATTTTGTAAGGTTGTATTGTGACAACTGTCATATCAGCATGCATTTAAAAAAATCAAAATCAGTGAATTCTTGGATAGCCATTTTAATATTGAAGATGGAAGAAAAGAAGTGGCATTTTCAGCATATTATGGTTTATGATTTTAGGAAAGGTAAAAAACATAACTGAAACTCAAAAAAAGATTTGTGCAGTGTATGGAGAAGGTGCTGTGACTGATGGAATGTGTCAAAAGTGGTTTGCGAAGTTTCATGCTGGAGGGTCTCACTGGACGATGCTCCACGGTCAGGTAGACCACTTGAAGTTGATAGCGATCAAATGGAGACATTAACTGAGAGCAGTCAACATTATACCACATGGAAAATAGTTGACTTACTCAAAATAAATCAATAAAGTTACTGGTGAAAATGAAAAATGTGTCTTGTTTTACAGAGAGAACTAAATGAACTTTTTGGCCAGCTCAGTAATCATACCATCCTGTCCACCCTAACCTAAATAAGTGGAAATTATGAGGCTCTCTCATATATATTTGGAAAACTGTTACAAATTAGCATTTGCTTCTATTATATCTTTATACTTTTAATGTATTTTCTTTCTGGCTTTTGAAAGCACGTTCTTATGACTCTTAGATGGAATGTGATAATATTTAAAATTAAGTTTGTAAAAATAACTTTAAAATTAAGGTTTTTTTTTAAATAACCTGATCTTTATGAACTTTTATTTTCCCTAGAAAGAATGCAAATGCCTCATTTTTAAATTAAGTTCATTGGGGTCACATTCATTAATAAAATTATATATGTTTCAAGTGTACAGTTCTGTAATACATGATCTGTGTATTGCTCTGTGCTGAACACCCAAAGCCTAGTCTCCTTCCATTACCATGTAGTCAACCCCTTTACCCTCATCGTCCTCCCCCCACGTCCCTCCCCCCTGGTAACCACCGTACTGTTGCCTGTATCTGAATTTGTTTGTTGGTTGGTTTCTGTTTTATATCCCATAGGTAAGTGAAATCATGTGGTTCTTGTCCTTATCTATCTGGCTTATTTAGCGTAGCATGATACTCTCAATCCATATTGTCACCAATGGAAGTATTTTATCTCTTCCTATCACTAAGTAGTATTTCATTGTATATATGTACCACATTTTTAAAAATTCAGTCATCCATCAAAGGACACCTGGGTTCGAATACATCCTTTTAATAATTGTTTCTAGGACTCTTTTATGTAGGTATATTTTCTTATTTATGTTTTTCTGCTATTTTGTTTTCTTTATTTCGCATTTTGAGGAATATAATGGGATTATAGGAAATATCAAGTATTATTTCAGTGGTAGTAATATTTAATAGCTTTCTAAAACCAAATTATTTTGTGTAGTCTCAGTAACTGAAAACTATTTAGGGTCTGAAAAAAGATTTTTGAGATTGTTAACATTTTTGTATTTTTAATACCAGGTCATTGAAGATATATATGAGAAAGAAATTGTCAAATCAAGGTACGAATGGCTTTAATTTTTATATATAGGAATTAGATGGTACTAACTTGGAGTCTTATCATACCTTTTTAACTAAATATGACCATAACTTAGAATTTCTTTTTTTCTTTTCTGGTTTGGTCATCAGGAAAATAGTAACTAGAAAAAATTTAAGCTAGGTGCTGAAGAAGCATATTGATTTATTTTATTTTTGAAGGAATGTGACAGTAAATATGGAAATTTTAAAATTTCAATTCAATTAATTTTTAAATCATTTGATTAATCTTTTTTTAAGTTTAAAAGGTAAAACATATATAATAACTAAATACAAAATAATAAATGCATTTATACATAATGAAAAATAAAAATTACTTTGCACAATATAGAGAATGAGGTAAGTTTCAATAAAACTTCTTTCCCATTCTTAGCCTTCAGTTAAGTTATTTGTGTGTGTGTGTTTATTCCAGTCCACTGCCACTCCAGATTTTTTTAAACAAGGAAGAGTTTATAGTCTGTATACCATTTGGCATCATGCCGAAAACAAACAGACCCAAGAAAACCCCCAATGTATCTATGTCTGCATCTATAGACATGTATGCCCAATAATTATTTTAAAAGGAAAACTGGCGCCCTGGCTGGTATAGCTCAGTGGATTGAGCGCATGGGCCTGTGAACCAGAGGATCGCAGTTCGATTCCCAGTCAGGGCACATGCCTGGGTTGCAGGCAGGTTTCCTTGCAGGCCAGTTCCCTGCAGGGGATGCACCAGAAGCAACCATACATTGATGTTTCTCTCACTGTCTCCTTCCCCTCTAAAGATAAATAAATAAAATCTAAAAAAAAAAAAAGGAGGAAAACTGACTAAAAGGAAAATGAAGCAGGATGACTTATATTATGAATGTCACAAAACTTAGAAAATCTCAGATTTGATATTTATTATGTGTTTGAGTCTTATATGGTAAATTTTGCTAAATATTGTAAAGGCAAAACCATGGCAATATCAAAATAAGAGACTAGTTGTTTCATTGTAATGATTGTTTGGCAAGCCTGTAGGGGAAGTAGGCAGGGCCAAAGACCATGTTACATAATTAAAAAAAAAAAATTCAAAGAGTAAAGGGAAGCCAGTGAAGAGGTGTAAGCACAATGGTAATATTTTTAGAAAATTTGGAGGGGGCAAGAGGCAGGAAGTTAATTAGGTGAATATTATAGTAGTTAGGTTGGAGATAATGATGGCTTGGATGATGTGAAAAGTTGGGATGGAGAGGAGTTGCCAGTTTGAGAGAGAAGTGAAGAGATGGCTGGCGGTTGGATGTGGTGGGTGAGGAAAAGGGAGGGATCAGTGACGACTCCAAAGTTTTGGGCTTAGGTTGCTAGGTGATTATTGGTGCCATTACCAACTTTTGTTATTGTTTGGATGGGATTGGTTGTACGTCATTAGTTCACTTTTGTAAATGTTGAATTTTTGCTACTAACAAGCCGTGCAGGTTGACATGTGTAATAAGCAGCTGGGTATCCCAGTGTAGAGCGCAGGAGAGACGACTGGGTTGAGCTCACTTTGTATCAACCTCCTTTTCTTTAACTTTTACATTAACTTTATTTTTTTTCCAGTAAAACTGAATTTTTTGTATTGCTGTTCAAGTATAGTTGTCTCCATTTTCCCCCTTCCACTCACTGTGCCCCCACCTCCTGGCTATACCCATTCCCACCATCCCACCCTCGATCCTACCACCCTTTGGTTTTGTCCATGTGTCCTTTATACGTGTTCCTCGATGACCCTTTCTATACCCACCCACCTTGTTATCCACTCCTCCCTCTCTTCTAGTTACTGTCAGTTTGTTCTTTGTTTCAGTGTCTCTGGCAATACTTTGCTCCCTTGTTTAGGTTCCACTTATGGGTGAGATCATATGGTATTTGTCTTTCACCACCTGGCTTGTTTCACTTAGCATAATGCTCTCTAGATCTATCCATGCTGTTGTGAAGGGTAGGAGCTCCTTCCTTCTTTCTTCTGCATAGAATTCCATTGTGTAAATGTTCTAAAGTTTTTGATCCACTCATTTACTGATGAGTACTTAGGTTGATTCCATCCCTTGGCTATTATAAATTGTGCTGATATGAACATTGGGGTTTGTAGGTTCTTCTGAGTTGGTGTTTCAGGGTTCTTAGGGTATAATCCCAGCAGTGGAATTGCCAAGTCAAAATTCAGTTACATTTTTGCTTTTCTGAAGAGATTCCATACCGTTTTCCACAGTGGCTGCACCAGTCTGCATTCCTACCAACAGTGTAGTAGGTTGTGCACACACCAGCACTTATTTGTTGATTTGGTTATGATGGCCATTCTGACCAGTGTGAAGTGGTATCTCATTGCAGTTTTAATTTGCATTCCTCAAATGGCTAGTGATGCTGAGCATCCTTTCATGTGTCTCTGGGCCCTCTGTATGTCTTCCTTGTAGAAGTATCTGTTCAGGTCCTTTTCCCATTTTTTAATTGGGTTGTTTGTCTTCCTGGAGTGGAGTCCTGTGAGTTCTTTATATATTTTGGAGCTCAAAACCTTGTCTGAAGTATCACTGCAAATATATTTTCTCATATGGTTGGTTCCCTTTTCATTTTGCTGATGTATTCTTTAGCTGTGCAGAAGCTTTTTATTTTGATGAAGTTCCATTTGTTTATTCTTTCCTTTATGTCCCTCACTCTAGGGGACAACTTGGTGAAAATATTGCTGCATGGAACATCTGAAATTTTCCACCTGTGCTCTCCTCTAGGACTTTTGTGGTGTTGTGACTTATATTTAAGTCTTTTATTCATCCTGAGTTTATTTTTGAGTATGGTATAAGTTGGTGGACGAGTTTCATTTTTTTTGTACGTAGCTATCCAGATCTCCCAATACCATTTGTTGAAGAGGCTACTTTGACTCCCTTTTATGCTTCCACCTGCTCTGTTGAATATTAATTGACCATAGAGACTTGGGTTTATTTCTGGGCTCTCTATTCCATTCCATCAATCTATGTGTCTCTTCTTATGCCAGTACCTGACTGTTTTGATTACTGTGCTTATAATATAGTTTGATGTCAGGTATTGTGATCCCTCCTACTTTGTTCTTCTTTCTCAAAATTGCTGTGGCTATTCAGAGTCATTTATGGTTCCATATAGATTTTTGAAATGTTTGTTATATTCTGTGAAATATATCATTGGTATTTTAATAGGGATTGTGTTGAATCTATAAATTGCTTTGGGTGGTATGTTGGGAACCACTCTGCCTGGCTTCAGAAGTTGTAACTACCCCCCATGGCTAAGGCTGAGTGAGCGCCCTCCAGACTGTGAGCCGCTAAGGAGACAAAGCTTGTTTGTGGCAGCAACGCTGCTTCTGCTTCATCCCCTGTCCCCAGTGCTTGGTCAGTTAGTCTATGACAGGTAAGACCCCTCAGAGGGGGGGCAACCTAAGCCAGACATGATCACTTGGGAGGCCCTCAAGGAAGGACTCAGGGGGCTGCAACAAAGAGGGAGTGATGGACCCTCTCCTCCCAGCTATTCTGACATAGTCTGAGTCCCATTTCCATCTGGGAGAAGTGCTCCCTGCCTCTAATTCGCGTAAGCCTGAAAATCTATGATGGGAAGGTGGTGTATCCCTTTGCCAGCTAGAGCAGGATCCGGGATGATCGGGCATGAGAAAGAGTTCCTAAAGTCCTGTGAAGCCTGCTTTGCTAAGAGTGCTTTCATTCATATGATAAGGGTTCGAGCAGGAAAGGAGTATGTCTCCCAGAGTTTTTTGCAACCCCCTTACCTGACAGACACTGACTCAGACTAGGCCCTCGGATTTCTTTGAAATGTTATCTACTGTTTGATCCTTGCCGCCTGACATTGATTGATGAGCTTTACCTGTATTTCTGTGTGTTACAACCCAATAAAAGAAGGGTTCCTGGCCCTTCTTCTCTGAGAGATTGGCCACCTCTCCTCCCCAAGCAGGTCATGCCTTGGTAGTGTTACTTTCATCCATGGCAGACGGGGAGACTTGCTGGAAAAGTTGTCCCCACAGTAGTATGGACCTTTTGATGATGTTAAATCTTCCAGTCCATGAACATGGTACATGCTTACATTTATTTGTATCTTCTTTAATTTCTTTCTTTAGTGTTGTATAGTTCTCTGAGTACAGGTCTTTTACCTCCTTGGTTAGGTTTATTCCTAGGTAGTTTTTCTTGTTGTATAGCAAATGGGATTTTTCCCCTGATTTCTGTTTCTGATCTTTCAATATTGATATACAAAAATGCCTTTGATTCCTGAATATTGACTTTGTGCCCCACTGTTTTGCCAAATTCACTTAAAGGTTGAGTAGTCATCACCTTTTCAAAGGTGATTTTGGTTTTGGGAAAAGCCAGGAATCACAGGGCATCAAATCTGGGCTGTAGGAGGACTGAGTCACCTGGATGATTTAATGTTTCTCAAAAAAACTGCATGAGACATGATGCATGAGCAGACATGTTATGATGAAGCTGCCAATCACTCATTGCATCATCCCTGAAAGCCTTCTGAACTATCTGAATAGTTTCTGCAGAGGAATATTCAAGCTCAATGCAAAATTTGATGCAGATTCCTTGCTCCACTTGCCCAGTCATTTTGAGTGCAAGGGACACACAATACACATGCTCACTCATTGGTGTCTACCATCCCCACTGACTAGTAAAGTGAAGTCGTCATTGTTCACTCATGAGCATTCCAGCCCACTCTCCTTGGCTGCCAGGTTACGTCGATGCTGCGCCAGCCATTCTCATTATATTAGCAATGGCTACACTTTTTCAGGACAGACCCTCTATATGACATACGACTTTTTGGTCTGAGGGTGACTATGGATGAAATTGCCTGAGGAAACTTAACTAAAGATGAGCAGGTAGATAAATTCTAGGATCCCTTTTTCTTATACATTATGGATTTATCAGTCTTAAAGTTGTCTTGAACTTCTTTTTAAAACAGGCTTTCAATCCACTGGATAGTAATTGCTTGTAGTTTTTTGTTGTTGTTGTTTTATTTGAACCTTTGTTCCTCAAAGATAATTTTCGTATAATGAAAAGCTGCCAGTGATTTTTAAATTATGTAGACTTGGGTGCATTATTTCTAAATTGCTGAAAGTACCCATCATTAGATGGTCTCACTTAGATTTATCAGGGCACTTTCATAGCTATGTTCTCATCTTGTACTATTTTTAAATATTTAAACACAAGCAAAATGATTGCATTCTACCCTCAAGTCACGGAGTTCAAAAAGTTAAATGCACCTTTATAACACAAACTGTATGAACACAGACTGTTTATATCTACAAACTATAGTGGATATTTAAAATTTTAAGTGATTATTTTTTAGACCAGTGCCTTGTAGAAGCTCTGTGGCTATGTTACGTGCTCATAGCACTTTCATTATGGGGGAATGACTAGGTGTTTGATTTGTTCATTTGTTTCTAGCCTATCAAAATAGGCAGCTTATAGCCATAAGGCACTCTTAATATTATAAATTAAGGTTCTTATAATATTCATTTTTAGGATATCAACCCTATGTCCCTAAGAGGCATCTGGGAATTAAATCAGTTCTTTACATTCTTGCGGTACAAATGATCATTTTTAGGATCTCAGAATTAGATCTTAAAATATCATATTGCCTAATGACCCCTCTAATGTGTGGTGTATTATACAATTGATTCAGTTTGCCATCCTTGTCATTATCAAATTTGGTGAGCTTGTCTTAATATATATTTTTTTGATTTTACAGTATTAAAAATAATCGTTACTTGTTGAGTGCCTTTTATCTGCCAGATTCTGTTCCAAGCACCTTGCACATAGTAGCTTATTTGTCCTTACCGCACCCTGTGGTAGTCACTGTTACCTTCGTTTTACCGACGTGAGGGGGAAACAAACAGAGGTACACAGAGGTCGAGTAACTAGCCCAACATGCTTCCTAGTAGTAGGAGGCAGAGCCAGGTACTAAATTCTTGTCTCTGACTCTTACTCAGTGCACTGTTCTTAAATAGGACAGAGTCCATTGCCCTTTCAGATGCTGGACCAGCACACTTTGGTATGATTATTAATCCTGTTGTGAGTGGTTTTTATACAGAAAACCACCATCCAAGTGGTTTTTATACAGAAAAAGGGTGACTTACAGAACAATTTGCTTTTGCCAGTGTTTACATGTATTTCTATTCAAAATGTTTAAACTTTTTTACTGTGAAATGTTACAGAGAAGGAAACAAAAGAGCAATGTCTAGCTTTCTAAATTATTATAATTAATAACCACCACCAAGGTTAAAAAAAATCGTCAGCATCCCAGAAACCCTAGCATGCCCCTTCCGTTTACCATTTTGATATGCAAGTGTGCAAATATGAACGGTATAATTCAGTTTTGCATGTTTTTGAATTTTAAATAAGTAGAATCACACAGTATATAATCTTTTATGGCTGGCTTCTTTTGCTCACAATTATGATTTTGTAATTGTCTCTCTAACGGTAAATCTGGAAGTAGGTAGACCAGAGTTTATAATGTCAGGGCCCTGCTCAGCCGTTTAACAGGTTTTGTTGTTGTTGTTTTGCTTGTTTGGTTTTTGTTTTGTTCTGCTTTTTTGGCCTCCCCCGTGTGGTCGCAAGGGGCCTTCCACAGCTCCCGACCTCGTGTTTCACACAACCATGTCCTGAGAAAGGAACAGGGGAGAGTGACGGCGGCAACAGAAGTTCCCTTTGCGTGGCCCCTCCACGCTTCCCTTCAAACCTAATGAGCCAGTGAACAGTACAGTTAATGAGCTTAATTCATTGTGCATAGACTGCCCAGCTCTAGGAGGGTTTAATGTGAAACCCCTGACACAGAGTGAAGCGTAAAGCATGCTCTCAGTAAATATTGGTGACTTTAAAAATCCCAAAATTATTTAAATTACTTACATTTGTCATTGTTACTCCTCACTTTTTGTTCTTATCTTTATATGCCTTGTGGCATGATGTCTGGTCCTAGACCCATTTTAGTATCTTACATGCTCACCTTCAGTTAAACTCTTAACTTCATCTCAGGAAGATTATTGACAGAAGCATAAAATTAAACTTAATGAAATGCCACCAGATTGCTAGAAAAGAAGTTGAGTCTTTTCCAGAATTATTATTTTTTATTATTATTTGCTTTATCTTGACCTGTCAGGACTGATTTTTCACTTCTGCAGTCACCAGCCACTCTGCTTCTTTTGTACTGAGGAGACTGAGTCCGCCCTTGAGTGTTTTGACGGTAATGCTGAGTTATGACTAGGGCAGATCTGTCCATCTCATAAGCCAAGGTTTTCTTTCTTTCATCAGTGAGGTCCTAGATGTGGCTGCCAATGTGAGGCTGCAGTTATGTGCAAAGTGGGTACTGAGTGAATTCTGGTGTCCAACCTGCAGTTAAAGTGAAATGCCCGCAACCGGAGATCTGGACTGCGTCACAGAAGCGGTGCATCCCCTCTGCAGACTGGCTGGCTGGAGGAGCCAGGACAGTGGCGATGTTCTGTCTTTTTGCCTTTTTTTTGTACAATAAAAACCTTCATTTCTTTCTCATTAAAATTCTGTGACATTACTTACTTAGTGATACTAAGAGATTAGTAGTCAGTGGAATAAGATTTTGACAGAGTAATGGTCTCTTAGGACATTATAAATTCATAAAGCATTTAATTTTTAGAGCTACAGGCTATTTTCCAGCGGTAGCGTTCTGATCTGGCTACTTTCTTTCTAATATACAAAACGATAAAGTTAAATAAGTGGATGTTTGGACTTGCATTTATGGATGTCCTGTAACTACAGCATGGTTTATTTGTATAAAATGAAATGCTTCTATTTAAAAAAAGATAATAAAGAGGGATATCGGGAATTCCTTCCACAATTTTGTAATATTTCAGACTTACTGTAAGACTACACAGCATGTGAAAAGTCTGATTTCCATGTTTGCAACATGTATATATGTGTCTCATGCTTATGAAGTCATGACTTTGGCAGAATGTGTCTATTTGAATGTTAAATTAAAGTATATTGGTCACTTTTAAGAAATTAAGACAGCTAGCATTTGGAAGTTTCAATTCAATATTATGAATATTAATGAACATTTGTGGTTTTTTTAAATTTTTTTAAAATTTTGGATTTTAGAGAAGGGTGAGACAGAAAGAGAGTTCTGTTTGTTTTTTCAACAACACATGCATTCATTTTTGTGTGTGTCCTGACCGGGGAACAAACCTGCAACCCTGGTGTGTGAGGATGGTGCTCTAACCAACTGAGCTGCCTGGCCACGGTGCAGTGAACATCTGTGTTTTGATTAAAATCATTTGGCTCTGAATCTTTGTATTATATCTCAGTGTGTTGTGGTGCTGATTTTGTTTCTTACGTAAGTAGGGTAAGATTTTACTTGTCATTGTTCTTAGGCGATTTTTAAAAATAAAGTAAAATAAAATGCAAATTAAGAAATATAAAAGCAAAATTAACTTTCATCAGTGCACATCTAAATATGATTATTCTGATATGTGAGTCATTAATAAAACAAGATTCGAAAATACATCTGCATTAATAACTCAAATGTTTATATTTTCTATTTAAATACTTGTGTTTATTTTTATATTTTTAGGTTTGCCATCAGGAAAATAATGCTCTTGGAGTTTAGGTGAGTTAAAGGTCTCTACTTTGATGAAATTAAAGATGAAATGATATAACTTTTAGCTAAATTTTCTGTACATTTCTGTAAGTGGTTAAAAATTCTAAATTAAGATTCATATTTTTGTGATTTGCTTATTTTGGACCATGTGTATGAAACTTTTGTTTTCAAAGATGATGCCCCATTGTCAGTATAACTTGTATTTTGAGTCGTTTCTCACTAATTAAGATAGTGTGTGCTGAGCAATTTCTGAACTTAGGTCCCCAGTGATCAGTGTGAATAAATTGGCGTTCATTCTGTATCCCTTTTTTCCTTCCAAGCTAAGTTGTTATTACCAAGGCAGCCTTGTTCTGATCTAGCTACTTATAAATATTTCAGACTAAAGGGAATGTACAGCTTTTAGATCATGAAGGTAGATTAGGTTATATTTCAGCCAAGTGTGGTCCATAGGCTGGCAATAAAAGCCAGGATTGTTGTTGATGATGGTAATATTTACAGTTTATGAATACTTGTCTTTACTAGGTAGGCGCAGTGTGAAATATTTTACATACAGAGCTCTCATAGCAATCCTGCAAAGTCAGCTTTCCTTTTAGTGAGGAAGAAACTGAGATCAGAGAGATTAAGTAATCTGTGGAAGATAATGCAGTTAAGAAATTGGCAGAGCTGGGATGCCAGGGTCTGACACCAAAGAGCTCGTTTTTCTGCTTTTCTGCAGTACCTTGAGGTTTAGTCTGCATCAGAGGTCAGAGCCTCTGTATCAGTAACTGTTCCTCCCCACACACATACACACAGTTCTTATCATTTTTACAGAGAGAAATTAAAGTTTGTAGTTGTGAATTAACTAGTAAGCCAACTGCTGACTGTATCCTAAGAACTGTGTTGTTAATTGAATACTTGATCTCATTTCAGGTCTGAATAACCCCAGTAAGATCTTCCTTATCTTATAGTGGAGAATACCAAGGCTATAAATCGGTTCCCTCTGGCTCTTAATTAATATGCCCTTTCCACCATATCATGCCGTCTTTCAAGAAGACAGAAAAAATTGAGAGGCTGCCGATACACAATTGGGATAAATTCTATGGTCTGACAAATGTCAGACACCAGGAGTGTCGTGGGAACTGAAGGAGAAAGCAACAGAACAGATTGAGTGACAGTGGACAGTTTTCAATAACTGAGACACTGAGTTGTTGCCTTTCAGGAACTTGTACGTAATTTTTATGTGTGGATACAGATTTTGAACAGAGCAACTGCAGAGCAGCAAAGAGTGAAGAGCTTAAGATTTGCTGAAGGAGAAAAAGTCTACTCAAAGGGGAAGAAGGAAAATAGATTGAATGTAAAATTCTCAATTGTAGTAATAGAAAAGATAGTAAGATGAATAATAAAAAACATAACTATCAGCCTAGAAAGAATTCTATAGCTAGCTAAACATTCATGCAATATATTCCAGACACATTAACATTAATAGGCTGTTGCTAACAGAAGTTCTAATGGACATAATTCAGGGGAAAGGAATGAAATGAATCTTCATGCATTTTATTTATGGAAGAGCATGCTAGTATGTAACTTGGAGGCTTTTGATCATTATTTTGAGTAAAATATTACTTACCCTAGTTCTTAGGTCCTCACAAGTTAAGCAAGAAAGATTGCTAAAGATAGACTCATGGACAGACCTGTGAAGCATAGAAGTAGTGGAAAAATTATAGCACATAGCAGAATCTGAAACAGTTAACCCGGTGTTATGCACATACCACATGTATGTGCACATGCATGTATAAGTGATTGAAGTGTTATGCATGTGAATAATTTAAAGCAGGAACAAAAAGTCTTGCTTTTTATTTTATTAGTACTTTACAGTGTATCCCAGTACAAAAATTAATGCTTACAGCTATCCTGAATGATAAGAAATGACTAAGTTATGTTTTGTAAATTAGAAATATGTAATTTGTTTAAGGCATATTTTCACCAAGGTCTTAAAATAAGAATTTTGGCATCCGTAGGCGGGAAATGCCAGTTATCTTGAAAACTGACTTGTTGAATACCTTATAAGTTAAATATTACAAAGACTCTTTGTTATCTTTCTTAGTTTCTGGAAGTGACTTGGTTCTAATAGGAGTTAGTATAACTTTTCTAATACATTTATATTTGAAATTGCCCATCTTATTTTGTTTTAGAGTTGATGTTTATTAGTAGTTATTTTTACTTTTTACTCTACAGAGAGCCTTAGATAAAGGAATATCTAGTGTTCTGATGGTGATAATTACATGTCAGTAACTTGTGATATCTTTCTATTTAAAATATTAAGACTCATTCTCCAAAACTAAATTTGCTATGCATAAGTTTGTAGTAGGTAGCAGTGACCTAAGTTACAAGTAAATCTGTGAAGGATTCTCAGATTATAATTAAAGATATTCAAAATGTTTTTAGAGAGTTATAAATAATTATGCCTTTTCAAGTGGATAACATTATAAGTGTTACCAACTAATGAAATATTCTGTGCTTTTCACTCTCCACAGCCAATATCTTGAAAATTACCTCTGGATGAATTATTCTCCAGAAGTGTCCAGCAAGGCCTATTTAATGTCAATCTGTTGTATGGTGAATGAGAAGTTCAGAGAAAATGTCCCTGCATGGGAGGTAACAGATTTAAGCAACTTTGTATTGTGTTCACTTAAGTCATTCATTACAAAATAACAGAACTTTACCCAATAACAAAGTAGATGTTGAGATAAGGAATAGATATACGAAAAATAATACTAAATTTTATTTACTTTGAACACTTTCTCCAAACTAATTTACTAGTAGTTAAAAATTATGAATGTGGAGTTATTTTTCTGGTTTGTGCTTGAAACAAAGAATGACGTTGATTACACAGACCTTCACATCAGACAAAGGGGAGTTTGTATTAATGGGTGCGAGCAGGTGGTGCTCCAGTGAGCTAATCTTTCCCAGTCAAGATTAGCTAATGTTTCCCACCTCGCAGTGCAGAACATGTGTGCAGTTCTACGTGTATAAAACAGTGTTTCCAAAGTCAAGACAGATGTTTATATTATGATTTCAGTTTTCTCTGTCTCTGACTTGGGATCCGTTTTTCCTTTTTGAAATTTCTGATAGACTGACATTTTCTTTGTGCTTAGTGTAGTGGAGGCATGGTCAGCACAGGTTCAAAATGTGGATTCCTTTGGCCACCACAAAATGGTCAGCTCATCCAGCGTTTCTTCCCTTTCACTCATTCTTTTTTAAGTGACGAAGGGCAGGGATACTTGTCATCTCTTTTAAGGGGATGGTCTCGAAGTGAAAAAGTGGTAGACTCTTTAAGATAAAACCATGGTCACTTCTGTCAAACGTTCGTTAAGTTACTACATTTTATGGCAGATTAGAGCCCAAACTAAAATATGGGCCTTGTGTCTTGTTGAGAGATCTTAGGAGTTTCTTGAAGTTGCTTCTAACTATTATACTATGGGAAGGAAGGGGGAAAGTCTTTTGATTCAGAGAATGGCCCAATCAGTTTGTATATTATGAAGACCCCTTTGGTGATCTGAAATAGAGAAAGGGCAATACAGATTAAGAGAAAAGGTTGCACAGAAATTTAGAAAGTAGAATTGATTGGGTTTGATCATTGCTGTAGCATTAGAGAAAGTTACTATTTTTAATAACCTTCTAAACTTGGACAACTGAATACAGATGATAATGCCACTTACCAAGATTGGTAAAAAAGGATTGAGGAAGACTTCGGAGGGTACAAAATTGTTGAATTGAGTTTTGGATTTACTGGGTTTAAATTGCCTCTGGAATATCCAGATGAAATTGTCTAGTAGACAGGAATGTAAAGATTTCTGTAACTATCAATAGTCCAGAAACGTGTATTTGACCTGCTATCATTAATTATAAGTAAGCAAATAAACTTTCAGTAATTATTTGTTTTTTTAAGACCTAAAAAGTCTACCAGTGCTTGTTTAAGGGAGAAAAAGAGGTGAGCAAGCTACTTCAAAATGAATGTTTTATTTTTTCTCTTTTCAGACTTTCAAGAAGAAGCCAGACCACTTCCCATTCTTTTTCAAGTGCATCTTGAAAGCCGCATTGGCTGAAACTGATGGTGCATTTTCACTGCATGAGCAGACCGTCTTACTGCTTTTTCTTGATCATTGCTTCAATAGTTTGGTAATTCTACTTTTCTTTGGGGAGAACTTTCAGGTTTTCTTGTTCTTTTATGTTGAATGTAGGTGAAATTACCTCTGTAGCCAAGTCTTCATTTCATAGTAGTGGGGAATGAGGATAATGCTAAGAGCCTAATTTCAGCCACTTCTTAAACCATTTTGTAAGACCTGTTTGCTTTTTAATAGATCTGGACTTGCTCTCTCCTTTTTTCTGTTAGACTCTAAGAAAAATGATAATGAGAATGGAAATTCTCCAAGGTAGAACGGCAGAGAGTCTGGTTAATAGGAACTCTGAGTAATGAGGTCCGTGCTGTGAGCTGCACCCGGAACAGCCTCATGCCCTTCGGTCACCCCTCCCGCCCGGGCGGGCAGGTCGGCAGGAGGGCCGCCTTGAGTTGACAGTACAGGGGCACTTGAGGATGGTCTTTGAAAATCTCTTGGGTTGATATGATACACTTCATAAGATTATCTTCTAAAAAATTAAATATTTACAATAATGAATATTTTATTTGTGCTTCCCTGCTGTGGTTATCTGAATGTATGTACCTATTTATTTAAAGAAAAGTGCTTCTGAATTGATAGTTCACTTAGATCCCTGCAGGCGAATGCACAGGGTTGTTTCCTATCCTGAAGACCAAATGTGTCAACAGAGGAATGGCTGTTACCTGTCTCCACGTACTACCTCACATGGATCTTGTAGATGCATAAAAAAATAGATTTATGGTGCCCTATTGAATGCCACTATTACACTTTAATATTGACTAAACTAAACAAAGCAAATATAAATTTGGGTAGATGTGATTCCTTATCAAAAATTGAACAGACACAAGATTTAATTAGTATTAGTTTGGTGCTAGGTTTAATGAACTTAAAAGCTAGCTTATCGAAATCCTCTTTTTTTTTTCAGTTTACTGTCAGTTCTCTTTATCTGAGGTAGTTCTTTAAAGCCGCGGACACTGAATAAGCCAAAATTGAACCATTGCTCCTAAGGAATATTATAGGATTATTAGGATCAGCAAGCCTTTCTAGTTAACATTTTCATCAACCAATCAATACATACTTGTTTTATACGTGTTTCTGTTTAAAGACACTTTACATAATATATATTGTTGATTCATTAATGTTGAACCCATGGCAAACGGTGCTACAACTTACATCTGAACAAACTTTAAATAACACACATTTTCATGTAAGGCACATCACAGCCTCCTTGAGCCAGGCACACTGACCAACACTTCAGCCCTGTGGTTGGGGGCCGTTTTAAATAACAAAGCCAACAGAAAGCACAAAAATGTGAAAAAGGGGCACTAAACAGACCACAGGTGGCAAGCACAAGGCCCGCAGGCCGAATCCTGTCCTCTCACCTTGTTTTAAGCAGCCTGGCACCTTGTTTCTAGCAGGCAGCAGCACCAAGCTCTGGCTTAACTGTTAAGAAGTTAGGACTTAACTGTTAACTGTTAGGGGACTGTACTTTCATACAGTCCTAAAATTACATTCGGCCCTTTGAAGGCAACTTACAAGGCTGACGACGTGGCTGCCGGTGAAAGTGAGTTCGACACCCCTGCACTAGACCATGACACTTCTCTATAGAAGAGCCGAAACAGGAAGGCAGAGCTGAAAACGTGCATGTTGGGCAGTTCAGTTTTCACTGCCGTGAGCTGTGAATGGCTGTGAAAGTGTGAGGAGTATTGAATTTGGGGTTACAAGTACGTTTCTCAAGGAGATGAATTCCTGAATGCAGAATTTGCAAATAATGAGGATTGATTATATCTTTTTAAATAAACTATTGAACTTCTTAATATTACAGTATCATTAACTTGGAAGTATTGGCGGCATATTTCACCCTCACACCCCTCTTCCTCCAGAACTTAAAAAGGCATATGTAAAGACAGGTTAAAATGCTGCTCTGTTTATGGACTTGTTTTCTTCGTGTTTTAAACAGGAAGTAGACTTGATACGAAGTCAAGTACAGCAGCTTATCTCCCTCCCAATGTGGATGGGCTTACAGCCTGTAAGTATCTAATTTCAGAAACCTGCATATATAGGTGAAACGTGGTTTTGGACTATGTAGCTTTAATATAAAATGGTAGCAAAAATCCTCTTACCTGCTTAAAAGAAATTATCTATTTACTGTGCATTAATTCAATCATAGATGTAGTTTTTTAGAGTTTCTTTTTTTAAGATTGCGTTTATTTATTCTTAGAGAGGGGAAAGGAGGGAGAAGGAGAGGAAGAGAAACATCAATGTGTGATTGCCTCTTGCACGCCCCCTAGTGGGGACCTGGCCCACAACCCAGGCATGTGCCCTAGACTGGGAATCGAACTGGGGAACCTTTGGTTTGCAGGCCAGCACTCAATCCACTGAGTCACGTCAGCCAGGGCTAGTTTTTTGGTTTTAAATTTCTTACTTGCAAATTAATATATATTTTACCTAATTTTAGTTTTGTAAGGTGAAATAAGGTAATATCTATTGAGCTCTTATAGAAGGGCCTTAATTTAGCAAAAATATGGTTTATTATTATGTCTTTGGATGAAACTCAGTACAAAATTGAATTTTTATTTTCCTGGATTGGAATATACAAAAAGCTGTAGGAGAAGGTGTGGGGATCGTGTTTAACATTGATGACTTCATTTTTTCATCAGATCCTTATTAGAAATACTTACTGGTATCAAGGTCAGATTAACAGGTCTTAGTGAGTACAGTTAAAACTATAATACTTTATTCAGTATTCCACTTCCAGCATGAAAGTGATTTTGCAGACACTTAGATATGCAAGCTCATTCACAGGTACCACTTGATGAGAATGAAAGCAGACACATAATAATTAGTAGTAAGTTAAAAACTGTAAGTGCCATACGAAAGAATATAGGGATGTGGACATTACCTCGTTTACTTGTAATATCTGTTTTATGTTCATTGTTTCAGACTCATTTTTCAAACTTTTTCAATCATTTTTGCTCATAAGTATTAATGTTCATATTTTTCACAATGAAATTAATTTTAGAAATAAGAAAGGAATTTAAATGACTACTGAGCTTAAAATCTTGACTAGAAAGGCAGTTTCCTTTGTCTTAGTTTTCCTGTTAACTAGTTTTAGAATTGAACAGCTTTAAAAAATATAGTTGTTGGGTTTCTTAGTTTTCAGGTTTTATCCCATTGCTCTGTGTGGCCTTCATAGATTAGGAAACCAATTGTTGATCTAATCTTTATGCTTGTTAGCTGTGAGGTCACTGGTGATTTAATATCTTACCATTCTTTCAGGCACGATTGGAATTAGAATTAAAAAAGACACCTAAGCTACGAAAATTCTGGAACTTGATTAAGAAGAATGATGAAAAGATGGATCCAAAAGCAAGAGAACAGTATGTTGCCAAAGCTTCGTTCCCTGTTAGTTTATTATGCTGGGTGTGGGTCTTAGATGATGCGGACTGGTGTGTTAGTGCCTTTACAGAGTGCTGAACCAAATGTGTGGTTCGGAAGTGTGTTTACCACTTTTTTCTTCTTTCTTTTCTCTCTGGCCCGGAGATAAATATATCAGTGATCTCCCTGCCTGTCATTTATAGTCTGTCTCTCATGGATGGTTCACAGTTTTCTCTACAATCTTCAGGCTATTATCACTCTAACTTTTTTTTTGTTTTTCTTACTCCCTCATTCTTAACAATGATTTGTATACATTTCAACCGTATACAATTCATTCATTCAACAAATATTGAGTATTTATTATTATGCCCTATGCTATTGCGGGAATAGGAAGCATAGCAAAGCACATAATGGAAAGGAGTTCCTGCTCTTGTGGAACTTACATTTTAGTCAGGGAAGACAGCAATACACAGATGGATTGTATAGTGTATTAGATGGTGATACATGCAAAGGAGAAAAATCAAGTGTAAAGATTAAAGAAACAGGTGGGGGTTTGGGGTTATTTTAATAGTGATTATTAGCGATTGGATAAAAGTCTGGTAGCAGGTGTCCATCGAGGGGAATTCTGTTGGTGGGACCCAGGGGAAGGATCTGCACCCCTGGAGAGGTTTCTTTCTGTCTGAGGCTCAGTGGTCTGATTGTGCTTTTGCCTCATTTACTCCATCACTGTTTCAGCAATAATCCTTTTTCTTTCTCCACATTTAACTGCTTTTCTCCACTCCTTTTGGACTAATTACATGATATCTTTGCGTCACCTGAGTACTTTTAAAAAATGAACCCTCTTTCTATTACCTCAACGTGACTTACCTTTAAATCTCTATGTCCCTGACGTTTATGTTGGGATGCATTGCCATGAAGTTCAGTTTGGCTTGACCAAATAATACTCATTGTTTTTTCCTCCCAAACTCCCTGTCTGCCCAGTTCCTTTGAATTCTTTTAGCCACTTGGCTTGGCCCACTAATTTTCTCACTAGCTGTTTGTGCCCAGTCAGCCAGTCCTGTTGAATTCACCTTTTGTCCTTCATCTTCTTTTTTGTCTCTTCACACTGCTGTTGTCTGATTGAGGCTTTTACCAGGGGAGGGACCCCAAAAAACCAGGATTATCTTCTGGAGGGTGGGCCCCTTGTAGACAGGCTTCCCCCACTAAGTGAGTGTTCTAGCAACCCATCTGTGTCAGTGCACCAGCTGGTGGTCTCGTGAGAGACTCTGGCTTCCGTGAAATTTTTTTAAAGATTCTTTCAAACGTTTGCCATTTCATGATGGGGGATTTACTAGTGCACCTGTCCATACCACCCTGGGTGTTCAGCAGGTTTTGAACAAAAATGGCATGACTTCTTTGCCCCACTTTCTATATTTACCCAATCTAGCCTGAGCAACTGTTTTTTGTTTCCCTGGATGAAAAATTTCCTTGTAGACAAAGGTTTGCAGTTGTGGAAGAGTGAAACAAAAAACAGCAGAAGCACTAAAGGGCATCAAAATCAATGAATTCAAAACTGTTTTGAGCAGTGGAAAAAGTCTCCATAGGTGTATTGTATCGGATAGAGAGTACTTTGAAGGTGACTGAAGTTTAAATGTGCAAGAATAAATAACCAATATCTGATAAGTAAATTCCAGGGTTTGGGGGTTCCCCTTGTGTAGCAAGCCTCATGACTAAACCACTATAATAAATTCCTATCCAATGTTTCTTCTAGATTTCCTACAATAATGAGCCTGACTAGCCATCCTCATAGAAAACTGTGTTTGTTTTGTCGTATTCCTACTCAGAAGCTCTCAGTGGTTTCCTAGTTCCCACAGGTAAACTCTGAACTCCTCCCAGTGGCACTCGGAAACCTCCAGCCATTTCTTGTGACTCTCCCCAGTCACTGCACTTGTCTGTTCATTGTTTCTTAAAAATCTTCCTTCCCTGGGTGCCCTTTCCCTGCACTCCATTTGGTTGAAGGGTAACCTTCTAAACGTTTTTCCAGACCCACTGCTTTAGGCCACAGTGCTTTCTTGTGAATTCGAAACCCAACAATGGTTAGATTAAATGTTACAGTAGTTTAGCGCAGTAATTTACAATGGGTGTGCCGCAAGAATTTTTGAAGCATGCAGTACCTGCCTATTTATTTGACATAAGAAGAAGAAAAATGGAATATTTCGACATTGTAAGAAAGGCTTGTTCAACCTTTTTTACTTTTGAAATATTTACTTTTCAAAATAATTGACCAATGTTATATCTTTGATTTTAGAGCTTATCAAGAAAGAAGATTCCTTTCACAACTAATCCAGAAGTTTATCTCTGTGCTAAAATCAGTCCCACTTTCTGGTAACTATCTTTTACCCGGCTTATTTGTGAAGTTATTTAGATGCACCTATAGAGCTTAATAAGTTTTACTCCAAAAACTGCTCTTAGAATAATTTTAAATTGTAATGACAAAGTGCGTGTCCTCCCCTTTTCAAATATATTACCAGTCTGAATGTGAAATTCACATATATTGGAGACATTAGCAGGGTTGTTGAAATGTTTATTTCAGTAAATAAACATTTATTTCATGTAATGAAATTTACTTATTCAGTAAATAAGTCATTTATTTAGTAAATATTTTTTGAGTTTCCTGTAAGACCCAGGTCCTGAACAAAGGAGCCAGGACAGAGTGGTAAAGGAGATAGTGAGAAACCCTGTCCGCAGGGCATTTGCACTGTTGTGCTGAACAGTGTTTTCAAGTGACATCACATGCTGTCTGCAGAGGAAGAGAGTGTTTTTTCAGGTATAAGGTACAAGACAAAATGGAAAGGATTTCCCTCCTTTGTGGCCCCCATTTATTGATGAAACCAATGTAAGTTTATACTATGGAGAGTATACACTTTAAAACATATCATGATCATACTCTATACAGATATATATGTGTGTGTATACTATAGATTGGGGTGTGTGTGTGTGTGTTATATGCTTACATGTCAAGCAGGGCCAGTTATTTTATGCTGGTTTTACAAGATTTTTATATATAAACATTTGTGAATGCAAATAGAATATTGTTTACTTAAAGGTGTATATATGCTATGTAAGAGATGTCATTGGTTAATAATGTCTTATCCTTTACTGAAATGTAATCTAAAACAGCTCTATAGATGTAACATAATTCTATTCTTGCATCAAAGATTGTAGCTTTATTTAAACGAAAAAGTACAGTAGAGCCCTAGCTGGTGTAGCTCAGTGTACTAAGTGCGGGCTGCGAACCAAAAGGTCGCCAGTTCGATTCCCAGTCAGGGCACATGCCTGAGTTTCGGGCCAGGTCCCCAGTGGGGGCCACGTGAGAGGCAACCACACATTGATGTTTCTCTCTTTCTCCCTCCCTTCCTCTCTCTCTAAAAATAAATAAATAAAATCTTTTAAAAAGATTAACAAGTATTGTAATAAATGTGTAGCTAACACTAAAAAGTTAAACATTAAGAAAGATCCTGCTTTTAAAAAAATAAAAGTACAGTAGAATTACTTGTAAATGCTGACCCTCCAAATAATATTTTACAACTGAAAATCATGCCTAGAATTCAGTGAGGCAGAGTACTAATGTTATAAATAGAGGCATATTACTGTCATCGTCAGTATAGAGAACAAATATCATTTGCTTACAATCTGAGTCACTTAATTATTAATATTTAAATCTTTCAGTTAAGAGGACTTAGATTTGGTTTTCTTGCAGCAATCAGTAATAATGAGTGCTTAGAACTACAAATATATGTAATAATTAGGTCATAAAAATTGATGCCTCTAGCTATAGAATGTTTACCTTTGTCATTTAGAAAGGTTTGATAGTCAAATAACAACGACATAAGGGCCTGCAGTAATTTTATTTACTAACTGTTGCCATTGTATTTCTGTATTGTCAGAAAAGAAAATATTTTAGATTGATCTTGAGTTTTGATGAAGATTTATTAACTTGCTGCAAAGGAAGAAACAAGATGTTGAAAACTGTGGGTTTAAGAGGGATATAAAGATAGATAGATTATATAGTTGGGAAACAGAAAACTGATTTTTAAAAGAATAAGAAGAATTGTAGTTCCATTGTGCAGGGTCATTAAAAACAACATGTCTCTATCAGTTGCTGTAAAGGAAGTCTGTGTAGATGATCTCAGATGCCAGGGTTGCTGTCAGAAGGAAGGAAAAGAACACAGTACATGTTAAGCCAATGATAGGATGTACTGATGTCTGAAATTGGAATAACAAGCTTTCAGCTCTAAACAATACGCCCAGTTGGGCCACATAATTTAAAAACACGCAGCTTTATCTGCCAGAGCGCAGAAGTTGAGTGCCAAGCATCATATTCAAACTGTAAATAAGCCATTGCCAATAACTCTCTCAACCTATAAATAAAAATACTGAATACATGGAAAAGTTCCAGTTAACATTTCCATATACTGGTCACAAAAGTATCTGTCTTTTTTCATCATATAAAGCCTTCCCTTTTCCTGTAAACCAGAAATAAATTCAATAAATGGGTTTATTTAAGCATTTGTAGTGTGCCTTCTACATGCCTAGCGAATGCTGCATTAATTGTAGCTGGGAGTTCTTAGATTAAGGAGCAGTAGGGACCCTGAAATTACCTCCTTTTTGGTTGAAACAATCTTGGCTGGACAGTTTTAGGTGGTAAAATGGTAAACCATTTCCTGGTATGGGGGTTGGGAGATGAGGGACTTGTACTCCGAAAGAATATCATGTCACTACACTGTAATTATTTAAAAGCAAAACTGTAAAATTTTTAAAACAGTACATTAATGCTCATGAATAATATAAGATAGTGATTTAAAAAATATTTGTTGCTCTGTGTCATTGACATTTTAATGTCAAAAGGAATACATGCACAGTGGGGAAAAAAGTCATAAGAAATATCCCTTTAATTAGTTTGGTGTATATCTTTCCCACCCATTTTTTAATGCATTCTAAGGTATCTTTGTATGTACACGTGTACACATATATGTATGTGTTTATGCATATAAAGAAGTTCTAGCTCTGACTGGTGTGGCTCAGTGGATTGAGTGCCAGCTTGCAAACCAAAGGGTCACTGGTTCAATTCCCAGTCATGGCACATGCCTGGGTTGCAGACCGGGTCCCCAGTTGGGGATGCACAAGAGGCAACCACACATTGATGTTTCTTTCCCTCTCTTTCTCCCTTCAACTCTCTCTAAAAGTAAATAAATACAGTATTTTTTAAAAGCTCTAGAAGCTTAGTATGTGAAGACAATATGAAAAGTGGGGCAAGAATTAATAAAGAACTGCCTTTCTAGCTTTTATATCTCGTTTTTTAAAAATCTAATTATTATAGATTTTTAAAAGTTAACACTAAAATGTTTTTGCAAATCTTCTTTTTATAATATTTCTGATGCAAGTTTTCATTTTCTCATATTCGTAGAACCAGATATAAGAAGGCCTGCCTTTTCGTGAAATCTATGGGAGGTCCTTACTCTGATCATAGTTCAATCTTGATGAATAAGAAACAAGTGATCTTATTTAAATAACTGCCAATTTTAGAATATAGTGCCACGCACTAACCTAAGTAAGAAATTCTAACCTGTTTTCTCTGTTATGTCTAGAACCTGTCACTATGGACAAAGTTCATTACTGTGAAAGATTCATTGAACTTATGATTGATCTAGAGGTAAGAAATGTGTCGTTACTTTACTATTACACAGTCATTTTAAGGAGGCTAAGATTAAGCATATGATTATATGCAAAATATTTTTTATCACCTCTGACTGGCCTTTGCAGTCAGAGGTGATAAAAGACACCTTTCAAGGTGTCTTAGAGAAGCAAGTCAAAAGCAATAGAGTCTTGAAGCTTTCTGATGGCTACAGTTTGTAGGAAAAATGGTTCTTGGTACAGCTTAAGACAAGCAATGGCAGTTTGTTTCCTGTCACATTTCAGTGCTCCTTCACAGAGCTTTAAACAGTGGCCGAAGTCATGGCCATCTCTTAAATAATCTCACTTTTTAAAATTTGCCTACTGTCATTGATGAAGAAAGATATAGCTGCTCTTGTCAATTTTTTAAATTAAGATTTAAAAAAAAGATTTCAGACTAGTAGGTAAAAGATTTTGATGGAAAGTTCAGATGCAGAGTTGCTGTAGTTCAGATTGAATTTATTTCCTTTCCCTCTTTAATGAAGGAAATTGAAAGAAATCCTTTGTTTGTTCCTATCAGGAAAGGTAGGGTGGTTTCTTGACATGAGGATTAGAGTGTTGGAGTAGCAGTCATTTATGAGATCTTCATTCAAGCCAGTGACTGATTTATAACCACTGAAGATCTCCGTAACCTCACCTACAGAATGAGGGTGTCTGACTACATTAGTGTTTTTCCAGCTGAGTGGTACAGTTTCGCTGTATCGTCTTGCTGGCCACTGTAGGGGGATGTGGGAAATGGAAGAGAGGTCTCCACTCAGGGTTCCTCACTCCCTTTTTTCTCAAAGCAGCTCCATTTTTAAACCTACACACAGTACACACTGGGATTTCATACAGGGTTTTGTTTGAAAACTACTGGCTGAGACATCCGGGATTTTTTTCAGTGCTGTATTTTTTGAGAAGTAATAACACTGATTTCATTTACAACATGGACCTTGCCTTGTGCACGATGTCTTCAGGAGACTGGAGGGTACTTTGGATGTGATTGACATTTTCGTATCAGTGATTTTCATCTCTAGCTGGAGAAAACCCACAAACTTACCGCAGTGGTATTTATGTTTTTCTAGGCCCTACTCCCCACAAGGCGCTGGTTTAATACCATCCTGGATGACAGCCACCTTTTGGTTCACTGTTCCCTTTCCAATCTTGTTCATAGGGAAGAGGATGGCCATCTTTTTTCCCAGGTGAGCATTATGTATCTGAACATGACTTACTGTTCTTATTTCTAAATTGATCTTTCCCTTGCAACTGAGAGTACCAAAATTACCCAAAGTAATTTTGCTTTATATCGAATTGAATAATGAAAATTCTTAATTGTTCATTTTTAAGTAAAATCAAGTCTTAATGTACAAAATGAATGCATTTTTGCCCTGAATGTTGTGGCTCAGTTGGTTGGGCTTCATCTCACAAAGCAAAAAGTCTCCAGTTTGGTGCCCAGTCGGCATATGCCCAGATTTTGTGTCAGTCCTCAGTGTAAGGCAACCAGTCAGTGTTTCTTTCTCACATTGATGTTTCTCTCCCTCTTTTTTTGCATCTCTTCCCCTCTCTCTAAAAACAAAGAAATAAAATCTTAAAAAACAACAGAATGAATGCATTCTTATATAGGTAGCCTCTAATACTGATATATTACAACCTTTTGTTAATCATATGTGACCTTATTATAATCTTACTAAATTCTGTAAAGTTTGGTGATGTAGCTCACATAACCACTGTGCAACATAAAAGATGATGAGCGTTCATTTCAAGTGAATGGTGCCCTAATTCCATGGCTCTCCTTCCATGAGGTGGCGACAGGCAGCTGACAGCGTAGAGATGTTTATGCTCTGTTTGCTAACTTGGATAGGAAGATGCATTATTAGGGTTTTGCACGTCCTGTAATGTCATCCGAAAGAAAAGCCTTCTAACAGAGTTCCCTTTAAATAAGGTCATAGTTAGAGATACAGTTTTCATGTGTTTAGATATTACATGGGTTGGTCAAAAAGTCCATGTAGTTTTTTCTGTAAAATAAAAGATACATGTTTCATTTTCACCAATAACTTTATTGATCTGGATATTTTTAGTAGGTAGAGGCCAGGGGTGCTGCTAAACACCCTCCGATGCATTAGACAGCCCCACAGCAAAGAGTTATTTGGCTGAATTGTCAATGGTACCAGGAAACGTCACAAACCACTTTTTGTACTGCACAAATCTTTTTTTGCATTTCAGTTGCTTTTTTACCTTTTTTGAAGTAAGAAAGCATAATACACAGAAAATATTGCATATTTTCTTCCAACTACAATATTTAAATGGCTGCACAAAAATTCACCAATTTTGATAAGTTTTTTTAAATGTATGCTGATATGACAGCTGTCACAATGCAGTCTAACAGAATTGTTTCGAATGAAGTTAAAGACAACTAAGCACTGCTAGAGCCATCGTACGGAAAAAACTATGAACTTTTTGGCCAACCCAATAAGTCTTCTTTTATCTTGTATCTGTGAGCATTCCTTTTTTATCTCATTCTCTTATTAAATCCCAGCGATTTGACTCATATTAAAATATCTTAAAATTCTAATATCTGCTATGCCATAGAGTAGCATTAAGAGTAATAGAGATTCGGGGGGAAGGTCACCAGTGAACTGTGTTGATGCGACCACCGCAGGGGACAGCAGGCCTCCATTAACAGCAGGAATGACAGTCACATAGAGAAAGGGCCCTGGTGGCCACAGGGACTGAGCAGAGGAGTAGACCGTTTAGCTCTCCCCACCTCGCTGATTTCCCCCATTGAAGCAGCATGTAGAGAAGAGTGTCTCCAATCCCGAATTCCAAAACTCTTCAGCGGCGTAAGGAAAAGACCTCGGGGGTTCCCTGTAGTGATATAATTCTAGAAATTTGCAGTAATGCAGATAGATTTTTTTCATTAAAATGATTGGCTTCCTTTGATTAGATCCTTAATGTCTCTTTATTTTGGGGATTGGAGTTTAAGTTCTTCTCTGAATAAGTAGAACATGTATATGATACAGATTTAATTTATTCACGAGGCACAGGCATATCTGTTCCCACAGAAATGAGACTGCATTTGCATATGTTCTGAAATGTTTGTTGCACTGTTCATATCACAGACTTTTTCAGAACCTCTGAGAAAGTAAATGTACTTGTTTATTATTTTAAATAAATAATGTTTGTGCTTTTGTGCTTGCACAGTTTATTAATTTAAATATTTCCTTTCAGCTACTGGACATGCTTAAGTTCTATACTGGTTTCGAGATTAATGACCAGACGGGGAATGCACTGACAGAGAATGAGATGACTACAATTCACTACGATAGAATCACTTCCCTGCAGGTAATCGAGATGCTTTATAGCCTTTGCTTCTGCTCCATAAAGTCAGGTCATGAATAGTTAGGATTCGTATAGTACAAATAGAAGAGGTATTAATTTAACACAGTTTTCATCTTGAATTTCGAGTGCATTAAAAAAGTGCTTTCTTTCCTAGGCCTCATTCTGAGAATCGGTATGTGAATATTTGATACTCAGAAATTAGTTACTGGGCCAGTTTAGTGCATTTAAACATCAGTTTTGTTTCATGAAAGAAGCCATATTAACATATGACTAAGTAGTGTGAACGTTTCATGCATTTTAGAGATAGACACAGGTAATGGACTTGACCGGTACAGCTCAGACGAGAAGTGCCTCTGTGTTCTGTGACCTCGTCCTCCTCCTGAGCTCTGTCTTCTCCGGTGGCAGAGTGAGGCCTTCATTGCCAGTGTGAAGTGATTCAGTTCTCCCTGTTCTAAGAAGGCATTTACTTAAAGTAAAGACGCAGTCAGACTTCAGTTCACCTTTCTTTGATAATCACTTCTACTGTCTCCCAAGGAGTCTCTGCTTGTCCTCCTTTTCCCCGGGTGGCATTGGGGTGCCTGGAGACACTAGGATAATAGCCTCCTAGTTTGCGAGAGGAATGACCTTCACAGTGTCCGAGCTCAGACGTCGTCTTGCTTGTCTCAGAGCATTACTCTTGTTTGTGTCCTGCCTCGGCCCTCGAAGTGACCGTAGCTGGTTGGGTGTGTGGTCTGTTCTGCCAGCACAGACAAGTCATGATGATTGCTCACGAGGGGCTTGGCTGTCTCCTAGTGAGGAGGCGCTGACTTTGATCTTGACAGTGAACTGCAAGCTGACTCTCATTCATTTTCTAGCTTAGCTCGCCCATCAGGTGTGGGATGCATGGTCATTTTGCCATTGCCTGTAGTAATCTGTGGCAGGCTCATCTGTAACCTTGGCCCCCTTCTGCATGGTACTCTGTGGGTACATGAAAACTTCGGATCTTCTCTGTCAGAAGGGCATCAAGGAAGACTAGGGATGTTATCTCACATTTTCCTATCAAATCGGCATAATGTTGCTGTTTCTGTTTTCTTGGAGCTTAACTCTATGTTGGTTGGCGTTGGTACCCTGAGAGGCTCTTTTCAAAGTTCAACATAAAGCAGGACACAGCACACTATGTTTTTGAGCCCCTCTTCAAGCTATCTCTTTCTTGGGAATTTTCCTTGAAAACTAAAACTTTTAGTTTAGTTAGGCCAGTTCTTGGTAATAAAATGTTTTGTTTTCTCCCTCATGTCAGAGAAGCTGACTTTCCTGTATATTCACAGTACAAGCTTAGAAATAAGAAACCAGGCATTGACTCTGTTTCTCCGTTCCTGCCAGGAGAATTCTAGTTTTTCCCCATTGTATTGAATACTTCTGGCTCAATAAGGCAGAGGTCACATGTGAGGAGCATGTATAAGTCTATTAATATTTAAAAAATATTTTCATAATAGAGTATATAAATTGTATTCGATTGTATTAACAGATATACATTAATTATTGATGTTTAAAAATTTTTTGCTTTTCTTTTCTAGAGAGCTGCTTTTGCACATTTTCCTGAACTCTATGATTTTGCCCTCTCAAACGTGGCAGAAGTAGACACCCGGGAGTCCTTGGTCAAGTATTTTGGCCCTCTTAGGTAAAGTGACATGAAAGGAAAACTGAATTTCAACTTTCTTTCTTTGAAGCATTTTTGTACCACTTCAGATAAACCTCACTGTTACCCTATTTATTGACAACTAGAACTAGTGCTTCTCTCTAGCATTTGGTATCTTTGGTTTAGTATGTAATGATCCATCTTCTTTTTTTTTTGTAAAATTTGTATTTTACATAACATGCAGTTTTCCTAGATCTTAAATTTTTCTTAGAATTGAGCATAAAACTGGTATCCAATCAGTCATAAAATACATACAACAGAAATAAAAAATGTTCATCATACACTAGCTTCCGCTGTGGCCACGGTTTTGCTTTTTGCAGTGTCAGTCATTTGTGGTTCTCTGTGGTCAAGAATATTAAATGGAAAATTCCAGCTATATAAACAGCTCATCAGTTTTAAATTGCACACTGTCCCGCTCCATCCTGCCCGGGACGTGAATCACCACTTTGTCCAGCGTCTCTCTGCTGGACAAAGTCCCAGAGAGACTAATGCACTTCCTGCCCATTAGTCCCTTAGTTGCCACCTTGGTAACCAGATTCACTGTTATAGTATTGCAGGGCATGTGTTTAAATAATCCTTATTTACTTTTCTTATTTTACTGATGGCCCCAAAATACAAGAGTAGTGATGCTGGCAATTTAGGTGCCAAAGAGAAGCCATGAAGTGCTTCCTTGGTTTAATAAGAAAGTGTGTGCTAAGGTTGCTAAGATCTGAGGTAAGAATGAATCTTCAACCTTGAAATTGTGAATCTTGAAACTAAAGAAGGAAAAATATTCATAAGCTAGTATTGCTGTTGCATCACAAACTGCAAAACTTATGGCCACAGTGCGTGATAAATGCTTAGTTAAGATGGAAAAAGCATGAAGTTTATGGGTGGAAGAGTGCTCGCCTCAGCAGCACACACACTAAATGTGTGGGTGGGAGACACAAACAGAAATGTGTTCGATCGCTGTGCCAGAAAGCACTGAGCCTGTACAGAGACTAGCAATGAATGACACCAAGACATTCACTGCAAGTAAGGGACAGTCACACACATTCAGGAATCGGTTTGGACTGAAATGTAAAAGTTACTGGAAAGGTGGCATTGCTGATGAAGAAGCTGCTGCCACGTTTCTGATAGAGGTTAAGTTGATTAAGGATGAAACGTATGTGTGTAGAGGGGAAAACATAGTATGTACAGGGTTCGGTACTGTTTGAGGTTTCAGATGCCCAGTGGCGGGGGAGGGGGGTTTGCAAAATGTCCCCCATGGCTAAGATGTGGGGACTGCTGCGTGTAACATTAGAGGTATGTCTTAGGAAGATTTTTGCACATTTAAAATTTATGAAATTAGTAGTACTCTCTGTCACTTTGCTATCTGCTAATATATTTTTTAAAAATAGTAATAATAACATGCATTTATTTGCTATATGGTAGGCACTGTGTTAAGTATGTAAATAACTTAATCCTGAAAACATCCACTCCAGAGGAGTAAGCATCCCATCACACAGAGAGTCCCTGAGGCACGGAAGAGTTCATTTAATTTGTCTAGGTCACAGAGCAAGTAAGGGACAAATACGTAGTCTGCTTTCTGAACCCTAACATTTAAAAAAATTTATTGAGGTATAATTGACATTCAACGTTATTTAGTTTCAAAATTCAACATAATGATTTGATATTTGTATGTATTTCAGAGTGAACACCAGAACAAATGTAGTTAACATCTGTCGCCATAGTTAGGGAATTTTTTTTTTGTGTGATAGAACTTTTAACATCTGTTCTCTTAGCAACTTTCTAACGTGCAGTGCAGTGCTGTTGCCTGTACCGCCGTGCTGCACCGTGCATCCCCGCGACCTGTTCAACTGGGTTTGCGTCTTTTGACTCCCGTCCCGCCCTGGGAACCATCAGTCTGTGCTTCGTATCTATGAGCTTTTTTTTTTTAAAGAGTGCACATATAAATGAAATTATACATTCCTGATGGAAATTCAGAGTGGTAGTGATACTGGAGAAGTTTGACAGTTTCTTGTTTCTTGTAAAGTTAAGCATGCACTTGTAGTGTTCTCACAGACATTCCCAAGAGAAATGAAAACTGACTTTCACAGAAAAAACCTATACAGAAATGTGTATAGTGGTTTTATTTACAGTTCTCCAAAACTGAAATACACAAATATCCTTTAACTGGAGAACGAATAAACATGCTGTGATACATCTCTATAATGGAATATTATTCAGCAATAAAAAGAACCACTCATACTACTCAACACTGAAACGATACAACAATGTGGGTGAATCTCAGATACATTATGCTAGTGAAAGTGAGCAGTGTCAGAAGGCTGCGCAGTGACTCACTTGACCTTCGGGGAAAAGCAGTCACAGAGATTGCAAACAGACGAGCGGTCACCAGGGCCTGGGGCAGAGTAAGGGACCTGTGCTTGGGTGGCTGCACGGTACCCACGAGCAGAAAGCGGTCAAGCTCATAGTGGCAAATGCAAGTTTTCCAAAATTCCAATTTCTCACCTGGAAGTTCACATTTTCTCTTTGGCAACAAACACTGTTAGTTGTTTATCTTGAAAATACAGGTTTATTTTGTTCAAATTAAATTTTTTTTGCCATTTATTCAAGTCTGAATAATCGTCATTTGTCAGTTCTGTCAAGTAAACATTGCATACAGAGTGTGCACTTCCCGTTCTGCCACACGAGGTTTTTTAAAAACAGGTGCTCAGGTGTCTGAGTTTAATAACTGCTTCACCAAGGACATTCCTAAGCTGGGTTTTTGAGAGGTTTTAAAAACTGCGTGTGGCCTGAAGAATGTGGTGGCCACTTACAGTGCTGGTCGGTGCCCCTGCCTTGATGTGTAGGCCAGTGGTAAACCCACCGTTGTTTTTTGCACCGTCACCGTGTATGGACCAACAGTGGGAAAAAATGATGTCTTGGTAGTGATATGAAAAGGGCTTGTCCTTGCAGACGCACTGCAGGGATCTCAGGGACCACGAGAGGTTTTTCAGGAGATACTTTAAGAACTCTGTATTAGGGGTTTTACTTTCATTGCTGATATTTTCTATTTGCTACCTATGTTGTAGGATTATATTTGCTAAGTAAAACTTTTTATACAGTCTATAAAATTACATGTTTCAGAAGTGAAGTAAAATAATAAAATTTTGATTTGAATATTCTCTACTCTGCAGTTCAAATACACTCCACCAGGTGGCATCATATCTCTGCTTGTTACCAACTCTTCCTACAACTGAAGACACAACTTTTGATAAAGAATTTCTTCTAGAATTGCTGGTAAATACCTATTAATGTTCTTTGAATTTTGCATGTGGTTTTTCCTATCCATCCAAAACATTCTTAAAAATGTAGATTGATTGGTATAGGTTTTTTTTCCGGACTAAATATTGGATAGGTTATTTCTTCTTTGCAAATTATATTAATTCATTTGGTTTTATCCAGTTTCTTTTCTCATCTCTTGGATATCTTTTCTGAAGTCTTTTTACCTCTTAAAACTGCTTTGTGGCACGAGTTTATTCTAAGCAAACATGTATGAGAAGCTTCTGTGTCAGGCACTGGAGTCAGGTGTTGGGGGGATGGAGGTGGCTGACACCGTTCCTGCCTTTAAGAGGTCACAGTTACACACTGTTATGTGGATACAGCACTTTGAATATTAAGCCAAACCTTTATCACTAGAAAACTCAGGGATGTTTAGAAATAAAGTTATCACTAACTTAGCGGTTAAAGAATTGTAAGGGATTTCTCAGTCATTTGGGAAAATGATGGCTTTAACTCTCAAAGTAATACTTTTTTTCCAAGTTTTATTTTTTCTTTTAGGTTCATAGCAGAATTGAAGGGAAGAGATGTACCTTATTTTTAACTTCAGTAAACTATTTCATGAAATGGATGAGTGTTTAACCATACTATGAAAATTTAGGATGTTTACAGTATCACTATTAGAAATAGTGATGCACTCATTCCTTGCACCTGTGTTTATTCTTGGTCCTGTCTGTGTCTATTTAAAAGATATAAGATGCAGCCATATTATCCTCCAGAAAGTGTGTGCTCCCACCAACAGCATGTTAAAGTACATCACTTTAAGCTTTCACCAACATTGGATGTTATGAGTCATCCCAATTTTTGCCACCCTCAAAAAATAATAGCTTGTTTTAATTTTGTGTGTGCTGACAGCCAAAAGGCTGAGTTGTTTCTCGTGTGTTTCAGACTTCTATCCTATACAAGCATGCACTGTGGATGTATGCGTGCACTTTTTACACCTGTGGAACAATTGTGGGCACACCGTTTTGTGACTCGTATTCCAAGCTAATAGTAGGGTATAGAATATAATCTCCTACTGTAGAAAGAAAGATGATATACTAGTTTTGGGGTAGTAATGGGAAACTGTGTAGCAGGTGTTTAAAGCCTGGCGACAGGTGTGTTAGTGCCATTTGGAGAGAGTTTCTTGGGAAGGGTTTTAAACTGATGCACATATGAAAAATACCTTACTGACATATTTATTTACATAAAATGTGTATCCTGGGTCACCGTCTTTGCCTTCTTTCTTACAAATCATTTTTTATGGTGTCTCAGCACAAGTGCTTTCTCAAAATCTCTCGTCCTGTTTCCTGACAATGTAAAATCTTCTGTAGTAAGTCAGGTTTTGGAGATTTATAGTAATTCCTTAAAATTTAAATTACTATGTGAAAAAGAACACTACCATTTTTAAAGTATAGTGTTCCAGCATTACCTTACATTTATCCTTTTACTAAAGGATTTCCTCAGGCTTTGGGTTCTTCTAAAATTCCCAATCACGATTAAACAGTTGAAATATGGCCCTGGCCAGTGGGGTTCAGTTCGAGTGCCGTCCCATAAACCCGAAGGTTACAGGTTTGATTCTCAGTCGGGGATACATACCTGGGTTGCACCTTGGGTCCCCAGTTGGTGCTCAGATAGGAAGTGACTGATCGATGTTTCTCTCTCACATCAGTGTTTTTCTTCCTCCCTCTCTCCTTTCCCTCATTCTAAAATCATAAGCATGTCCTCAAGCATTGATAAAAATAATAATAACTAACCTTTAAAAAGGTTGAAATATGAATATTATTTAGATAATATCCACTACTTTTTTCCTAAAACCATACTATCTCTTTTAAAGAGAATGTGACAAGTTTTTCATATATATCATTATTTCAGCATGTGTCAGTTAGACAACAAACTTATTTTAGTATTTGAGATAAATCACTCTAATATGAACAATGCAAGTTTACATAGAGATCACCGCGTCCAACTCTCTCATAAATTAGACTGACGTCAGCTTGTTAATAAACTCTCCCAGAGTGTTTAGCAAGTTAGTACAAGAGTGAACACTATAACCTAGGACTGGGGGCTCCTGTTTTTTTCTTACACAAACCAGTGCTGGGTGCTGTGGTTTTTAAGGTCTTGGCATGTGCCGGGTGCTTTGATGCTATTTTACAGTATTCCATTTTATTTTCATAAGAAACCTGAGAAATGCTGGACGTTTTATCTTTTTCATGGAAACAGGAAACTAAGATCAGAGAGGTTGAAGTGACTTGCCCGGCTTTTACACAGCTCGTCAGTAGAGGGACCGGACATGGAACTCACGTCTCTCTGACCCAGGGGCCGTCACCATTGCTGTTTCGTTCATCTGTGGTTTATGGGGGGAAAGAATGGAAAAAGGAAATAACATTTCTTGTTAAGTGCTACAGTAACTGCAAGATGTGAAATATCTCATTCCATACTTTTGGTGAATTTCTCCATAAATTATTTTGATTAAAAAAAGACGCTTCTAACTTTCTGCCTGAACCTGTTCTTTTAGGTATCTCGTCATGAACGTCGAATTTCTCAGATTCAGCAGTTGAACCAGATGCCTTTGTATCCAACGGAGAAAATCATTTGGGATGAAAATATTGTCCCAACAGAGTACTACTCAGGGGAAGGTACGGTAAAGAATTACAGAGTCCAGGTGTGTCGTGAAACTGAGTTTAGAATTTACATGTAACTGAAAAGACTGCTATGTGCTATATATGTTGGGATAATTTTATGATACCCTCAGGTTCAACTTAAGAAGCTAGAAGCTGTTTTGTATTTTGAATGCTTAGCATTAACAATTTTTATTAAATTTAACCGTGTGTCCGTGTGTGTGTGTGTGTGTGTGTGTGTGTGTGTGTGTCATCCTGCGGAACATGACTGTAGCACAATTAGTTGTGTTGTGAGGAGACCTGAGAGTGTAGGAAGTGCAGCTGGTCACTGTGCCAGCGGAACAGGCTTTGTTTGGCAGTGCTTTGCTTTTCCAGGCCTTTTGTGGAGGCCCTTCTTGCTTATAGAGCCAGGTAATGACCACCCTCAAAAGGCATGGTCACTTGTTAATAGTAAAGCCTTAGTTTTGATTCAGAATGATATTGCTTAGTTTGTTCAGCACTCTGTTTTAACAGATCATTTCCATATGCTTTCATTCATCCTATAAGGATGAGAATTTGCTACCTCTGAGTGTATGCCGAAGTGCATTCAGACACATTTTGAAGACCTATCTCAAAAAAGTTTTGAACAATAGTATTAGAAGAAATGTGGCTATTTTAAAGACATTGCTAGTATGGGTACATTTATTTAAAAGTAAAACTGTAACTTCAGAGTTATGTCCTGAGCCATAGCTCCAATAAACACAGCATACTAAAACTGTTCTGGGTTGCAGAATAGGCAGTCTTCTTACTTTCTAATGTACTGACAATGGTTAATATATTATTTCCCCACTTTGCAAAGTGGGGAAAATTGTTCATGCTGAAAGTATTTATGACCGTATATGTATGGCATCTAACTCTTTGACTGATCAGTCCATAAAAGGTACATAACACTTAGGAATATTTTGTCTTTTTAATGAAGAGCTCATGTGTCCTTAAACATGTAAACAGTCTTATGTCTAGCTGTTGGTTCTATTCAATGATGTTGGTCTTGGTTTAAAACATCTTGCTTAGTATAAAGTATTACTTCTCTTTCATTCCCATGGTTAATGAATTTAAGTGAAAAAGAATACTTCTCAGAATTTCAGTCTTTACACTTTTCATAGAAGGAGAGTATTTCAGAGCAATATTACTTACCAGATGGTTGAATGTAACACAGCTATTTGCAGACTCGGCTCCATCTTGCATTGCTCCTCATTGGCCGCGGATGGGACTGTGCGTGAGGATCTGATGCCGTGAGACAGGCAGAGATCAAGCTGTTACTACATGATTGTGCAAGCTGCTTGAGGCTCCCAAGGAGAGAAACTAAGTGTAAAACTGGGATAGATATGAAAAATACAGTGTAAGAATTAAGAGAATACCTTGCTGAAACTTTGCCTTTTTAAAGGCTTTTAATGATAAAATAAACACAAATAGGGAAAGCCACACAATATAAATGTGGGGCTTCACTAGTTATCGTAAGGGAAATACCGTGAAACCCTTGTAACCGTCAGAACCCTCCCATTGCCCCTTTCCAGTCCCCACTGCCTTCCTCTACTTGAATGGGGCTGTTTATTTCTTGGCTTTTATAGCCATCAGTATCTTGCATTTTAAAATAGTTTTATCACCCAAGCATGTAGCCCTAGACTCTAACGTCAGTCTCGTACATTTTAAAAATACCTTTTATTTTATAGGTACCCCTGTATCTCTTCCTTGTCTTTCCATGGAAGACCTGCACTGTCTGATCTGTGTAGTTTCTCACAGTCCGATTTTTCTAAGTGACTGTGAGCCTGTCCCTCTGCCCGTTTGTTTGTTTGTTTGCTTGCTTGCTGGCTTTTTCCTGCAAATTGGCAGCTGGATGCAGAGGCTCAGTCGGGGTGAGGTTCTCTCTCTCTGGCCAGAATCTTGGTAGTGGTGCGTTTCTTTTTCAGCAGGAGGCACATAACGCCTGGTTGTCTTTTCGTCATGTTAGTAGTTGTTGCTGCTTAACAGCTAGATTTGTTCATTCAGTGAGCACTGAAATGGTGACATTTTCATTGTCTTTTTTTTTTTAAATAAAAGTACGCTATTGAAGGAGATGGTTTCTTTCACCTTCTGACTTTAAAGCAATTGAACTAGATTTTTAACTGAGAGTTTACTAACATAAACAAGTGTGAAATTCTTATACATTAATGTTTCTTGCTTTTAGGTGTGTTACTGCTTTGGTAACTATAATAAGGATGGTGAAAAGAATATGATTTTCAAGTGAAATATATTTTGGCTTTTTAAAAAAACTTTTTGAGCCCTGGCTGGTGCAGCTCAGTGGATTGAGCGCGGGCCTGGGAACCAAGCAACCATGGTTTGATTCCCAGGGCACATGCCTGGGTTGCAGGCTAGTTCCCATCAGGGGACTCACAAGAGGCAACCATACACTGATATTTCTCTCCCTCTCTCCTTCCCTTTCCCTCTAAAGATAAATCAATAAAATCTTTAAAAAAAAAACCTTTTTGCTATCTCTGCTGAATGCACAGTCACTTATCATCCAAGGGAAGCACTGTCGAGTGAGGACAGTGGAAAGACTACTCTTCACTGATACAGACAGAGGAGGAAGCACAGCACAGTCAGGCAGGGCCTCCCCCTGCAGGTCCAGCAAAAGGCAGAGGTGCGGGAGGGCGCAGGAGTGGTTGTCGAGACGGCGCTGTGCAGGGTAATGTGCTCATTCAGTTTTCTGGGTGATTTTGTCTTGGACTAATTCCATGGTAGCATTACTGATTTCGAGATTTGCTAAGTGTAGGTTAAATGGTAACGAGTTTGTGAGTTTCACTTATGTGTGGAAATAGGAATAAGACCTTATTAAATATGCTATATTTTAGACACCATTAAATTGCATTCTTACCAAATTTGTGATACCTTTTTTGTATAGAGGACAGATGTCTGATTGAAAAATTAATTCAAATACGGATGTTATTTTCCTTTTCAGGTTGTCTTGCTCTTCCCAAGTTGAATTTGCAGTTTCTGACTCTTCACGATTACCTCCTAAGGAACTTTAATCTCTTCCGCTTAGAGTCGACTTACGAAATCCGTCAGGACATCGAGGACAGTGTCAGCAGAATGAAGCCGTGGTTAGTGAATTGGCTCCATTTGCAGTGAAGAGATGCAGACGGTGACAGACACACTTCTGCCAGAAGGCTCAGAAGTGCATTTAGAAATAGTGTACCTGGTGTGCAGATGCCCTCCAAAATGAGAGATACTTAGTCTTTGAGAAATCCTTCAGTGTAACTTAGAATACATCAAAAGTGCTAAAATACAGAGTCTGGGTATTTGCAGGTGGGACTGGGGATGGGGGAAGGTAGGTCCTTGTTCTGGAGGTGAGAGGGGACAGAGAGGGGCCAGGGCTGGGCACTAGGAAACGAGAAAAGGGGAGAGCCTGTGGGCTGGCCAGCAGGGCGGTCGAGGGCCTGGAGGAGCTTCTGACAAAGGGGTGTCTGCTGCCCTCACGGCTCTGGGACGTTCCCCGCTCTGCTTGGCCCACCTGAGGAACCCGGCAGGCGGCGCGGGGCACTTCTGAACACTGCCCTGGGAAGTCTCCCTGGTCCTCCACCCTGAGGTGTCTGGAAGAGCCTAAATCATCAGCATTTCCTTTTAGGGCCGGTTGAGTTGGTCTTGTTATCTGAGGAATTCATCTGCTCCCCAACCGCTAGCTCATGTCTTTAGATAATTCCTTTAGCTAAGGAAAAAACCTTTCATTCTGGTTATTGCAGGCAGTTCTGTGATGGACTTGTGAAGGTTAAGGTTAGTTTTGCCTTTTAGTCATGATTGATTTGTGGTGAGTGCCCTTGGTCACTGTTTCATTCTAAGTATAAAGTTGACACAGATAAATTGTATGTCACAAGTGAAATCTCCAATAATAAATGTAAAATGAATTTTTGTTACAGTACAGCCAGTGCAGGTACCCCAGGCTTCTGCCCTTCTAATTTTAGAGAGCTACAGAGACACAGTGGTCATGATCTATTTTTCCCTTTTGCATTTTATTTCATACCCAGTTCTATTCTTTAATTAAGTATTATGTGAATAGTTATTTTGGGTGAGCCTGTGAAACACAAAATAAAGTATTTTTGACTTAATAATCAGTTGAGTCAGTAGCAGGCTAGCGCTGTGCACACCCGCAGGCTGAGTGTCCCGCCCACAGCTTGGCTGGAATTACTGCCGTTGTTGGGGCCCCGGGGGAGTGCTTGCTCCGGAAGCGTCCTCAGGATTCGCAGTTACCTTGCATTTCTGTGCTCAGATTCAGGGCCTAGTTTTGGCCATTTTGCAAAGTATGGATTTATTAACTAACAGTTCATCAAGTAGAATTTAGTTATATTTTACTTAAATGCCAAGAAAAGCAGTAACCCAGTTTTTATGGTCTGTTTATAAGGGATTTTGTTTTTAACTTACAGTTTCTGCTAATGGGGAAGAAAATGTCACTTTTTGTAGTTAAGTTGTGGTACTAAATTTTTCTAAAATTTTATTCCTTATTGCCCATGACCGAAAACTTAAAAACAGGCAGATCTAAAAACGGGCCGGGCCTCATTCTCTTCCACACGTTCTGAAGGTAGGAGGGGAGCGGGGGCGTTTTTCTGAGGGCCCTGCTGTCAGACGGATGACACTGCGCGGCAGGGTCAGAGGGCAGGCCCGGGAGAGGCCGAGGCTGTACTTCCCTCCTGACCGGTGCTTGCCCGGGTGGGGACAGGCACTCACTGCAGCTGGACCGCAGGGGTCTTTTTTAAGTATGATGGAAGTATTCTCAAATTGGATTGTGGTGAGAGATGCACAATTCTATAAATTAATAAAAATCACCGAATCGTACATTTACAGTGAATGAATTGTACATTTACAGTGAATGTATTTCATGTCAACTGTACCATAGTAAAGTTGTAAAATATGAGGGCAGTGCTAAAAAGTTATTACAGAAGCTTTAGACACAAGGTAATGCCTTTTAAAAATTGTCCCAGGGTGAACCAAGTCATTGGATTGCAAAGTTTTTATTTTTAATTTGTTTTACTTTTTGATGTTATGAAGTTCTGCAGTTTTTTACTATGGCACAAAGCCTTTACTTAGAATGTAGTTATCTTTGTGAGCATGTCATTTTTGGCAATACTTGCAAATTTTGGAATATTGCTGCCATTTTTTTATTACAGGTTTCCCAAATATACTATGTAATATAAAAATTAAAGTACTACTGAGATTACTATAAGCAGGGAGAATGGGTGTTTGGGTGTTGGTGGGCTTGGTTATTACAACTGACTTAGTTGTTTGTCCCCCCAGCCCACGACAGCACCTTTCAAATGGTTCACATCTTATACCCTAAGAAGGCATTTACATGGGTATTATCATTTGCTTGTTTTAATTTGTTAACTTCTGGCTTGTTCTAAAGTGTTTTTGAAACAGCTTTTCAAAATACTAGAGCACATAAGATAAAATTAAACAGCTGAGACTATTTTGATAAAGAAGGGAAAAGGATAGGAATATAAAATAAAACTAAATGTGCTGGATTGTTTCATTCTTTGGCAGCTGGCTCGGCTCTTATGTGCAGAGTTACCTTGTTCTCTGGGGGTGTACAGGGTGCTCCCCTATTTCCCCTTCTTTTCTGGACCATGTTTGCCTCTTATTCCACCGTGTATACTCCCTATAGATTGAGACTTAGATTTTTCTTTTCAAGTATAGAAATAAAGAGTTACTAAAGTTAGGACTTAAATACTAGCTAAACATGTATTCTTACTCGTTTTACTTATCCAAAAGTTATATCTTGTTTGAGTAATCGTCCACTTCTTTGGTTTTCAGGCAATCTGAGTATGGCGGCGTAGTATTTGGTGGTTGGGCGCGAATGGCTCAGCCCATTGTGGCTTTCACTGTGGTTGAGGTGGCCAAACCCAACATCGGTGAGAACTGGCCGACCCGAGTTCGCGCTGACGTGACCATCAATCTCAACGTCAGAGATCACATCAAAGATGAATGGGAAGGTAATTCTGCATTTCAGAAAGTGGTTACCTTTTAACTTTGTGGTTTATCATGTAGAATTTCACTTAGAGAATTAGCAGAGCACTTTGACTAAATGTTACCCTTTTAAACTCTTTAAATTTTATCCTTAAAGTTCGATTTGAAGAATGCCAGTTGTCTTTATAACTACCATTAGTAAAAAATACCAGGGATTGTAGAAGAATGATTCAGTACCTTAATACTTTAATAAAAGCATCAAATAGCATTAATATCAAAGTGTTTTGAAAATTGCAGTTAGCAGAGCTGAAAGTGTTTTAAATCTTAAATTTAAGAAGGTAATGTTTATGAGTTTGCGGGATCAATACAAAAAGGGTAAAAATATTAGTGTTCACTGAAAAAAGGGGGAATATACAACAGAACAAGGAAAATTGGTATTTTTATAAGATAAAAACAAAGTTGAGAATAGGGATGCATACCATTTATGGAAATAAAAATTCACAATATAAATCAGACTCAAAAGAAATTATAGGGGGATCTAGCAAAACAACTCAAAAAGAAATAGTAATCGTTTATTTACACCAAAGGGAGGAAGTCAGAAAATCAGTGAAGTCCTGTGTACTCAGGATAAATAATAATTGCAGAAAATTAGGAGGGTTTTTTTTTCTATTTTTTACTAGACAAGAGTTGACGGATGGGAGTTCCACAATTACTGTTACTTAGGGGCAAATATGTTGAGAGTTACTAAGTCTTACAGAGTTAAAACATTGCTAGCACCTATGTCAGAAATGGTACGGAACCGAGTTTTAATTGGCACTTGTAACTTTTTCTCCCAGCTGTCTACGGGAGCTCTTGCTGCCTTGTTGTAAGAAGCAGTAGCTGGCAGGTTTTATCTCCTTGCACCTTCCTGGCATGCCAGAAGGAAAGGGATAGTCCCTTAGAGGTTCAGTTTTCAGAAGTTACTGCTCTCGACGGAGTTGTTTATAACAAGCCCTGTATGATATATTTATCACATAATTCTGAAGGAATGCTGCAGCGAAGCTGGCCAAATGTTTTAACAAATGGCCACTGTAGTGGATATAGTTTGTGACAGATTTTGTGACTCCAGATTGCTTCAAAAGTGTTCCAGTCTGATGCATTACATGTCTAGAATAATGTGTACCTTTATTATGTCTGAACTTTGAGAAAGGCGTTAAGTTGCTGGAAAAGGTCTTATATTTGTTAACCCTTAGTGTTTAAGGGGGTAATAAACTGAAATAACTTCTTGGCTACCCATAGATGTAATATTGGAAATAAACTTAAAAATATATAAAAGACCCTTCACAGAAATTTATAGATGACAGACGACCAGTCTGCATTACTGGGTTAAGGGGGAAAGGCTGTTTCTCTAAACCCCATTCCTCCATTACTTTGCAGACTTCTGTCAGGACATCAGTCTTCTGGGGAGGGTGAGGGGAGCTCTTTTTTCTTTTAAACATAGGCCTCTGGTAGAATGAGAAATAGCATGGGTGAATTTTGATGGGCAGGATAGAGAACAATAGGGTGTTGTGGGAGAAGCAATTCATACTTGAAGGAATGGTGAGGAGAAAAGTGTTTTACGGGAGGCGAGAGCTAAAATTCAGACCCAGTATTGATCACAGAGAGAATAACCAAGTAGCAAATTTAGACAAAAGTAAGAAGGAGGTTGTGTAAATAGTAATGAACATTGTTTTGTAAAAACAGTATTATCTTGTAAAAACAGAATAGCTTTTGCCCTGGCCAATAGAGCTCAGTTGGAGTGTTGTCCAGTAACTGAAAGGTTGCAGGTTTCATTTCCCCTCAGGGCATATCGCTAGGTTGCGGGTTTGATTCCCCATCCCCAGTCCAGGTCTGGGTGTGTATGGTACCCAGTCAGGGCACATACAGGAGCCAACCATTCATGCTTCTCTCTCGCACCCATGTTTCTCCCTTTACCTCTCTCTCAAAACAATGAAAAATGTTCTGGGATAAGAATAATACATATATAGATAAGAATAGCTTTGAAGAGTTTAAGCTAGATACTAAAAAACATCCTTGTCCCTGTCAGGAAGATGTGAAGTTCAGGCCCTCATCTGCTCCATACCTCATTTAAAATTGAGGAAACAGAATTAAGGAAATTGAAATGCCAGATTCTGTTCCAAAAGGCACGTTCCAAAAGGAATGAATGTAGATGGTTGAAAGGAGAGAGGTAATGGAGTTCATTGTCATGTAGGTATTTTTAATGTCCCACAGTAAAATGATCTGCTTTAGGAGTAAACAGGTCCTCATCCCTCAGTGATGTGCAAAACTGACATCGGTAGGGACTGAGTTACTTCTCAGGGCCACTTCTTTGGCTCTGACACTTAGAAGTTTTAATGAGTCATGCAGATCAGAAGTCATGTGGGCAGTACAAGTCACAGTAGAACACTTCCTCTTAGTTCTCATGCTCTGCTCCTTTGCTTAGCATTTGTTGAGAAATAAACTCATTATCATGTATCAACAGTTAGGATTTCTAGCACACTTGAACTCTATACACTCCATATTGAAGCAAACCAAAATGGTCCCAACATTGTTAGGCACACACTCACATTGCTGATTGGATTTACTTGTGTGTCCTGTTACTTATCAAGGTTACAAGCACAGTCTTGTCTAAATTTGCATTTTTGTCATACACTGGCTAACAAAGTCAAACCAGAAAAGAAATAAAGATTAAGTAGTATGACAGCATATGCTTTGTAGTCTACTTTCATGTTCCTTGTCTTCACTGTCTACTTTTAATCGAATAGGGAATCCAGTTGCATTTACTGTTTGGCCAGATAGCTGAGAAGCCATGGACTTTGGGGCAGGTCTCCTATTTCTTCACATTCACTTAAAAAATGTTTCAGTATTTGCCAACAAACTGTATTCAGCCTCCTCAGCATGGTGTCTGCAGACACTGCTGTTGTGCCTTGATGAATTGTTTTTGAGTTGACCTTTTTTAGTGAAATACATTTAGACTGTGTTGTTGGAATGACTGATGGATAGTTCAAAGTGATGTTAGAAACCTGCCAAATGTGATACAGATGGATTATATGCCGGCCATATTTTTGGTTACTTGTTTGGAATGTTAAAAATAAGAATGAAGACGAGCATTCAATATTGGAACTGTCGCCTGACTTGGGGGACTTATTTAGTAATGTATTCATGGCATAAAATTTTCAAATTTTAATATAAAGAAACTTTCATTTTATTTATTTTTTATTTATTTATTTTTAAATATCTTTTTTTTAAGATTTTATTTATTTATCTTTAGAGAGGAAGGGAAGGAGAGAGGGAGAGAAATATCAATGTATGGTTGCCTCTTGTGAGTCCCCCACTGGGAACTGGCCCGCAACCCAGGCATGTGCCCTGACTGGGAAATGAACTGCGATCATGTGGTTCACAGGCCCGCACTCAATCCACTGAGCTACAGCAGCCAGGGCCAAAAACTTTCATTTTAATTAATACTATCAAACACTGAGTATTAGAGGTTATGGGAAAGCCCATGCATGATTATATTACAATGCAAATGTAATCATTGGCCATCTCTGATATTTTAGATGTTTTTTTTTTTTGTATCTCTGTTCCTAAGATGAAAATTTGTCAGAAAGATGAAAAACAATGATAAGTGAAAATGTCTTTATGTTTTACCAGGTCTCCGTAAGCATGATGTCTGCTTTTTAATTACTGTGCGTCCCACAAAACCGTATGGTACCAAGTTTGACCGCAGGAGACCTTTTATTGAGCAGGTGGGCCTGGTTTATGTCCGAGGCTGTGAAATCCAGGGCATGCTGGATGACAAGGGACGCGTCATTGAGGACGGTACGGGGATCTGTGTTTTGAAAGCTTGTGTACCTAATGATACATTTCTTTGCCTTCTTTTCCTTTTGCACCTCAAGTGCTATTTTTAGTTGTTTTGTGTACTAAGTTGACACAAAGGATTACATGTAAAATGTGTATAGCATACCTACCACTCAGTTTTAGAAATAAATGATTTCTAAACATCTATGTTAAATACTAGAAAGGACAGGATCTTTTGAAATTATCTTTATGTAAAGCTTCCTTTTATAATACTTTACAATATTGCTTTTACAAAACTGAAAACCTTTGATAGTTGTTCAATGATATATTTGTCTAATTTTTTTCTCCTTAAGTTTTATTGATTTCATTCATTATGGGAGTGGTTCTCAATTGGGAATAGCACTACTCTGCAACTTGAAATGTTTGGTAGTATTTATGTTGGCAGGTGACTGGGGTAGGGATAGGGGATGGTTAATTACTGCTGTTTGCTGGTTGGGAACCAGGGATGCGAGCACGTAGACAGAACCGACTTGTAGAAGGAGCTGTCCCACCTGGGATGCCCATGCTGGCATGACCCCATTTAGAAACTGCGCCTTTTGGTGTGTCCGCGCCACACTGGAGGAAGAGTTGTCTTGGGCCACATGTTAAATACATTGCGACACGTAATCACAAAAGAATCTCGTAATGTTTTATGTAAATTTGCAATGTTGCATGGGACCGCTTTCATGGCCATCTTGGGCTTCAGCGTGGCAGGAGGGACGCAGGTCGGACACCCCTGCCGTGGTTAGTTAGCTCTTTGAGTCTTAAGCTTTTCACTGATTGTTCTCTGAAATGTTTATGTTGTCCTCACCTTTTTGGTAATACTATTAAATTGTAATTATAACTGCATGCATGTCCAGTGCTTATTTTATAATCTGTAATTTTACAATTTACTAAACCTCTCATAGAACTTAAAGTAGTTTCTATTACCTGTGATTTCAGGAGATTGCACCATTGCCAAAGTACTGACAATTAGGCCACTTTTATCACTAGAATACAAGTAAAATAGAAGAAGGGAATGGTGGATATTAGAATAAACATAACAGGACCAGAGTTGGAGGCCCAAGACAAAAAGAAGCAACCTCTGAGCTTTCAGCTGTCAGTGGATGCAGTTTCCTTTCCACTAGTGATATCAGTGTGGAATGTGGAAAGACACGCATGGCCAGCCACGTACAGTAGCCACGGGTGATGACAGAAGTGCAGGGGTTCGACTTCTGAGGCTCCGATTTTAGTCGAGTCATACAGAAGTAATTGGAGTTCCTGGCATCGCATCATAGACATTACAGGACTACTTTAGGGAGAAATAGTAAGAATTTAGAGAAAGAAAATATTTTCTGCTTTTTAGAATTTAAAGTGGATGGATGGAAAGCATTCTAGTCAGGGGGGTGGCTGGAGTTAGGTCTAAACAGTTTACTCACTATTTCTGGAAAAGGAATACTGCTAACTTACTTTGATATTTGGAAAACACATACTTTGTTTGACAAACTTTTTCAAAATACTCAGGGCCCGAACCCAGACCCAATCTTAGAGGAGAGTCGAGGACATTTAGAGTGTTTTTGGATCCAAACCAGTACCAACAAGACATGACCAACACTATTCAGAATGGAGCGGAAGATGTGTATGAGACTTTCAATGTAATAATGAGGAGAAAACCAAAGGAAAATAACTTCAAGGTAATTTGGGGGCTATATAATTAAAAACACTGCATAATTTGAAAATTTTTTGAGATATATATGTAGCTACTAGGTTTAAATGATTTGTTAAGAAAAATAATGATCACTAACTTTTTTACTGATTTTGAGATAGAGGGAAAGAAAGAGAGAGAAACGTCGATGTGCTGTTCCATCTGTTGAAGCGCTCATTGGCTGGTTCTCATATGTGCCCTGACTGGGATCAGACCCAGGCCCTTGGTGTGTTGGACTGTGCTCTAACCAACCGAGCTACCCAGTCAGGGTGTAATTCATGTGTTATTTTAAAGGTCCTCCTTCCTTGCTTTCTGTATATTAGATACTCAGTTTGTGCCCAGTAAGAGGTGAAGAAAACTGCTTATTTGTTTCCCATGACTCCTTTTATGAGTATAAAAGAAGTGTACTTCCAAGTCACTAAGGGTGCTGATGTGGGACTTTAGGGCTTTGAATTACTCATGATGTAATGTATTTATACTTCACTCATTAGTGGGAAAGGGGAGGTTTGGGGGCTAGAGAGTTTTACTTTCATAATAACTTTTGTGTAGAGAGGAGTTTTTTAGTAAAGGAAGATTTTAAAAATTATTATTTGACTCCTAGAGAGCAGGATGACAGTATAGAGAGGGGTTTGAGGGTGGAGGGATGGAGCAGAAAGGAAAAGGGACTCGTGGACATCAGGGTGGCGATTGCTGGGGGAGGAGGTATAAGGGGGATGCACGGTAGTGGAAAAATACAATGAAAAATAAACAAGAATTATTGTTTGAAACTATATTGTGAAACCTAAACATTGAGCAGTTCTAGCATTTGGTAACACTAGCTTTTGCACAAGTGCCTTTCTTTCCTTTCTCCACTCAACACAGTGCTTCTTAAAACACTCACTTGATTATCTTTAGTTTTTGTAACTGAAAGAGAAAACCTTACACACAGCGGAATTTATTCCCCATCTCACTCTGTTGTCGAAGACAGAACAGTGCAAATACGCTGATGTTTTCTGTGCTCACACCCCACGCCCAGTTCCTCGTCAGCCCGATTAGCTTTCCAGCCCCACGGATGCTGTGTCCTTCATCTCCGGCATCCCTGCCTCCATTGTTGACTGGTATTGTGCTAAGTTGTATGGAGCTAATAAGGATGAATAAGGTACAGCTTATATCTTTAGGGAGCTTAGATTCCTAATGAAAGGGAAGTTAGAAATATAGACAACTGCCATGAAAACTTAGAAAGTGCTGAAGCCATGAAAAGGATGCCGATAGGCACCCTGGAGCTTCAAAGAGACATTCAGGTCCTGATGCAAGAAAAAGGAGGAATGATTGAATTGCCTGTTTGGGAAGGGAGACTGCTTTTTTGGTATCTTTGGTGTTTCGTTACATACCTGGGCAGCATCCTCATTTATTCCTTCTCTCTTCTCCTGTTTGTGCAGCATGTCCTAATCTGGATGCTTTACCTCCTGCCTGAATAGTTTCAAAATAGTCTCCTGTGTTTCTACCCCTGTTCTCCTCATAGTCTGTCACCAGTCACCTGGTTTTCATATACTTCCACTAATCATTTCACTCCGCTTCTCAAAACATTTCTGTGACTTTACAGCAATGATGACATAAAGCTTTCTCACAAATCCTTTACTTGAGCTACATTGAAATGCCACTTTTCCTCCAAGAAACCTGGGCTAATGTCAAGTCTCCCTTGTATCCACCTTTCACTTCAAATTGTGTTTCTATCATACTTTGTAGTATTTTTTTTACTCTTTGCACATCCTACTGCTTTGCATCATTGTTAAGGACTTATTTTATCATCGTACTACAATCATAATTACCTTGGAGAGTGGGCCCTCGTGTTATTCATCGTGTGAACATAGCTATTTGTCCATCCATCCATTTACACCTCCCATACTTAAACTGTCCTATATCCCTGCTCTCACAGAAATTATATTCTAGTAGTGATTAGACAAATGATAAACCAGTAACCAATGACATGTATAAGAGAATTTCAAGTAGCAGTAAGTGCAAGAACATAAAACAAGGCAACGTCATAAGAGTGTAGTTACATGAGCTAACCTGTTATTTTGTTACCCTGTTGGATTGCATAGCATTTACAGTATAAAAGTGGCTGGTTTGGTTATTTTACTCTTTGAAATTAACAGCCTAGCCTTCTGATTTACATGTGTAACATAGAACATTTTGTTGAAATAATTACTAGAAAGTCTAAGAATTTTCCTTGGCTTTTAGTAATTACTTTTGATCATGTATACATTAACTACTGTAATGTTCTTTTATTGTAGTCTGGATTCTTTCATCCTGAATTTTATTTGACACTTTATTGTTATCATTTTCACTTGTTTATTTCTTATTTCTAACAGTGCTAACTTTAATATTTCTAAAGTATGAAATGTTTCACAATTGAGGCATACATCAATGTTCTTTTTGTTGTGTGTTCTTCCCATTGAGGAATGGTGAATTGTAAAGGGGAAAAAACTCCAGTAGTTTCTAAGAGGAAGCATTTTCTTTAAGGGTTTGTTCTATAGGGTTTTGGGGGTCAGGGGCAGTTCCATTCTATGGACCTTATTGGAGTTTTACCCTGCCCAACAGAAGTCAAGTAGTCAACTCATTTATAATGTTCTATCTAAATGACCTCTTAACGGATAAACTGTTCTTGCTAAGTTTGGTCTTTTGTTTAACTCAGTGTATGGCATCAGCTGAAAATATAGCTGTTGATTCAGTCTAGCCAAGCACCTGTCAGCAGAAAATAGCTTCTTGCCCTGAAACACTCAGGAATTCTGGATTAGTGCAGCCAGCTCCGCATTCCACTGAAGTGCACATGTTTGAGATGTCTTCTTGACACGACCCTTTTCTGTTCTTTTACTGACAGGCTGTGCTGGAGACTATTCGGAACCTGATGAACACTGACTGTGTGGTACCTGCCTGGCTGCACGACATCATTTTAGGTTATGGGGATCCAAGTAGTGCACATTATTCAAAAATGCCCAACCAGATTGCCACCCTGGATTTCAATGATACATTTCTCTCCATTGAACATTTGAAAAACAGCTTCCCTGGTCATAATGTTAAAGTCACTGTGGATGACCCAGCTCTGCAGATACCCCCTTTCAGGTAAAGTCAGTCTGGCTGTATGCCTTTCAGGCTTTCTGTAGTCTGAGTTAGGCCGTTAGGACTGTAGCGAAAGTAAGTTTTGAGCATTGTACCTGGATTTTGTTTGGGCAGTCTTTGCTTTCATCGTGTAATCACTGGGGTACATTTATTTTATTTGACTCTTTTTCAAATTATTTGTGCAACAGTTATTTTGAGGCCACCATAAATGTAGCTTATATCTTATGAGGGATCGGGAAATGCCTGTCTGAAGAGCAGTGTGTGAATGCAGCGTTTGACTGAAGAAATGTGCGTGCACATTCTGTGTCTGCTGTGTTTCCTAATTAGTACACACAGCCATGTGAGTTTGAACTTTATTGTGTTTTTAAGAAAAAAGAATTTTTAACCTCGCTTGCTTTCACAAACTAAATGTTTACAGTAGAGTTGTATTTAGTGGTAAAGGAGCTTTGGTTTTAACATTTGGGTAGAAATAGAACAAAGAAGCTAAAGCACTGACCGCCCTGCCCTGGTTTCGTGTTGAGAATCAGTGTGAAGTACTCGGTGTACCTGTGGGGGGTAGGCAAGCGCTTAGTTTTTAGTTGGAAATTAGAACATACAATTTTAATTGACTGTTAAATATAAATATAATAATAATTCTACACATTAAAATTCTGCATCCTTTTAATGCCTAAACCTAGTCTTCCTCCTTACTTTCCAAATCCTGTTAATGGCATTATTTTTGAATCCTTTTATTCCTATAACACGTGCTATGCCTTGTAGATTCCGCCTTAAAGATACTTTTTTATATGTCACTCCTGACTGCAGCCTCTCTGGCCCTCAGCACCTTGGACTTCTGGGAGCGCTGTCTTTCCTGCCTCCGTCTCCTCATTTGCACCTATCACATGCTTTATTGCTAGTCATTCTACTCCCAGCTAAAAAACACCGATTTTTCCTGTTGCTTATCAAAATAAGGGCTGACCTCTCAGTCTCTTTGTTTCTTAACATTTGGGCAGGGGGGTATTATCTGTCCTTTCAGAATGGGAAGAAAGACTGGTAAAAATCTACATAGAGAATATTGTAGTTTAATTTGAAGGACGCATTGACTTTCCCCAGCTGCCTATGGGGAGTTGCCTGCTGAGGTGTCACGGACCCCGAGCTAAGAACTTCTGCCTGAAAGGCTCTCGCTCTAGCCTTATTTTCTGTGCTGCATCCAACACTCCAGCAAAACTGGCTACTGACACTTGACCTCCTGCGTTACTTTGTCTTCCTGGAGTGACTCCCCTCCCCTCCACATTTATGTGCTTTGAAACCCATCTTCGATTCCACCTCTCCCATGAGTCCTTTTCTAATTAAATAAAGGACAGTGTGCAAAGCATTTGGCAGCACTTGTGACATAAGTACACTCGTCATATAAATGTTTTTATTTTCCCTTAATCAGATGACTTTCTAATCTGATCACCCTTAATACACGTTTCAGTGCTTTTAAATCTGCTTTTTTTCAAAATTTATGTATAGTCAGTTCCTTATATTACAAATGTTTATTACTGATCTGATTATTCTTTCTACAATGGCATGCACAAGATAGGTGCTCGATAAATTATTGTTAATTATAAATCTGAACAAAAGTTTTGTGTTGTAGGATAACTTTTCCGGTAAGAAGTGGAAAGGGGAAGAAAAGGAAAGATGTGGATGGGGAAGATGAAGACACTGAAGAGGCAAAGACCCTAACAGTTGAACCTCATGTTATCCCTAATCGAGGTCCTTACCCTTACAACCAGCCTAAACGGTAATTTTACTCTCTGTTCTAATTGTGATAGTGAACAATGGCTTCCCATTTGAGCTGGATATGTAATATGTTTTAATTTTCTGATTCTTTAAAAGTACCAGGCAACTTCTGTGCTGTACCCACTTTCCTTCTAGTCTGTCCACTGGCCGAATAGCTCAGACGTCTTTGGCCATTCTGTGGTCATAGTACAAAAAGAAACATTTTCAGGTACTATAAGAAATAAATATTAGAAGACTATCTCAACTTAAGCACAGGCTTCTTACATCATGACTGTATGTTTCAGATTATAGCTACTGGTATGCACGTACCATAACTGGGGCATGAAATTTGGTGGTAGATTGTGAACTAGAACTTCGATGCTCCAAATGAGGTCTGGAATAGGTTAAGTGTATTGAAAAGTAAGTGTAGTCTTTCCACAAGTTTCATTCCGTTTTAACTGATCTGTGGATGGACAGGTATGAAGAGAGTCATTCAAAAGAGGTTGGTTCAGTCACGTAAAATATGAAAATCTAGAGATCTGCTGTACAGCATTGTCCTTATAGTTAAAAAACACTGTACTGTACATTTAAATTGTGATGGCAGGGTAGGTTTCACGTCACGTACTTTTACCACACTCACACACTGGGCCAGGGTGAGGCGGGAGAAGAGATTGGGAGGAGAGGGACAGATGCAGAGCAGGTGTTTAGAACTCTGTTCATTGCTACCTAAATTTTTACTGAATGTCATTCATCTGTATTTTCAACCAACTTTTAATCTATTCTCATTTGCAGTAATACAATTCAGTTCACTCATACACAGATAGAGGCTATCCGTGCCGGAATGCAGCCTGGGCTGACTATGGTAAGAGCATTATATGTGTTTTTACATGGATTCAGACCAGAAGTTAGCACAGATTTTTATAGTGTGTTCTATTTGAAGCACAAAAGCCCAACTTTATTCAAGTGTTTCTAAGTACCGGTGGCATCCTGTGCATATGGAGATCTTGCTATTTATTTCAGTACTCATAAATGAAGCTTTATTAGAACACAGCCATGCCCATTTGCTTACACATTCCCTGTGGCCCCTTTTGTGCTATATACATCAGCAGAGTTTAAATCCACAAAACCTGAAGTGTTTACTTGCCAGCCCTTTACAGAAATGTCTGCTGACAATGGATTTAGACACCTGTTTAATTTCCAAGTTCTTGGAGGTTTTCCTGTTACCTCTCAGTTACTGATTTCTGGTCTGAGTTCATTTTGGTCAGAGAATGTCCTTTATATGATTTCAATTTTTTTTTAATTTGCTAAAGTTTGTTTTATGGCCCACAATATCTGTCTTGGTGGATATTCCATGTGCACTTGAAAAGAATGTGTATTTTGTTGTTTTGGGTTGGAGAAGTAGCTTCTATGTCAGTCAGCTGGATTCATGCAGTTGATAGTATTGTCAGTACCTCTCTGTCCTTGCTGATATTCCACCTAATATTTCTGTTGGTTGAGAGAGGAGTATTGAAGTCTCCAACTGTAACTGTGTTTTTGTCATTTCCCCTTTAAGTTCTCTCAGTGTTTGCTTTGTGATATGTATATACACATTCAGGGTTGTAGTGTCTTCTGGGTGAACTGGTGCTTTTAGCATTATGTAATTTCTCTCTTTGTTCACTAGCAGTTTTCCTTACTCTGAGCAGGGGTGTCCAGCCTGCAGCCCAGGGTGTCTATGAATGCAGCCCAACACAAAATTATCTATTTACTTAAAACATTGTGAGGCTTTTTGTTTTTTGTTAATGTTTATATTTTTAATGTGTGTCCCAAGACAAGTCTTCTTCTTCCAGTGTGGCCCAGAGATGCCAAAAGGTTAGACACCCGTGAAAGTTTACCTTGATATTACTGTGTTTGCAGTGTATAATGCACACCCATGTTTTAGTACCCATGTATAATGCAAATTGTATGTGGAAATTAGTACTGCCCATGTATAATATGATCCTTATTTTTCTCTCAAAAATTTAGGCAAAAAAGTGCACATTATACATGACAAAAAGATGGTAACACAACCTTCCTAGCTTTCTTCTGAGTAGTGTTTACATGATATCTTTTCCCATCATTGTACTTCTGCCCCACCTGTAACATTTGAAGTGAGTTTCTTGTGGGCAGTGTGTAATTTGGGCATGTTGTTTTACCCATTCTGGCCATCTCTGTCTTTTCTTTGTTATGTTTAGACCCTGTGTCATGGGCTTACCGGATGTGTGTGGATTTAGATCTGTCATTTTATTATTTATGTTTGTTCCTTTTGTGGTCCTGTTTTCCTTTTTCTGCCTTCTTATGAGTTATTTGGATAGTTTTTAGTTCCATTTTTATTTATCTATTTTGTTCTTTTGTTATATCTCATGATTTTTCTTAGTGGCTACTCTAGAGAATTAGAGTATACATCCTTAACTTTTCATTCTGCTCAGAATCAGTATTTTGTTTCTTAAGTTGAAGGGAGGATCCTGACCTTCATATAAATCCCTTTACCTTCCTCTTTTATGTTGTAAATGTAATCTGTATTACATATAAAGGCATTAAAAATGTCATCAGCAATGTTAACAGTTTTTGTTTGCAAGCATCAAACATTTTAAAGAACTCCAGAGAAGAAGAATCATCCTTTATTATACTTACCAGTAATCCTTCATATCATTTCCTCTAGTATCATTTCCTCTCTGGCTAAAGAGTTTATTTTACCACTCTTCAGAGCAGGCCTGCTAGCAATAAGTTCTCTGGGGATTCTTCATGTGAAACTGTCTCTAATTCATCTTCATTCTTTAAAGATACTTTCACTGGATACATAATTTTGATTTGACAGATTTTTCCATTCAGCATTTAAAAAATTATGCCACATCTTCCTGGCTTCGTGGTTTCTGACGAGAAATACACAGTTTTTTAAAATCCTTTTGCTATGTACTGCATCATTTTCCTCTGGTTGCTATTCATAATTTTTCTTTGTCTTTTGGTTTCAAATATTAAATTACCGTGTATCTGGGTATAGATTTCTTTGGGATTATTCTGTTTGGGGTTTGCTGAGGTTGATTCTGTAGTTTTATGTCTTTTTTTGCCAGATTTGGGAAATTTTCAGCTATTATTTCTTCACATACTTTTTCTACACTGTATACTTTTTCCTCTTTTTCTAGGACTTCAGTGACATGAATGTTAGACCTTTTAGTATTCTAGATTCACAAGACTCTGTTTATGATTTGTTTTAATCCCCTTTTCCTGCTTGTTATTTAGGTTAGGTGATTTCTATTGATCTGTCTTGAAATTCACAGACTCCATCTTGTCCGTTATATTATTGAACTCAACCAGTGAATTTTTAAACATTTTATCTTTCAGTTTTAGAATTCCCATTTTCTACCAATGTGATAATTCAGTAGTTTGCTATGTGCCCGTCTCCTTTTTAGGTTGTGGGCCCTCCCGGTACAGGAAAAACAGATGTGGCGGTTCAAATTATATCCAACATATACCACAATTTTCCAGAGCAGAGGACTCTGATTGTTACTCATTCCAATCAGGTAAGAGAGAGGGGGTGCATGTGCGCATCCATTTACACATAAACGTGCACACTGGACCTGGGAGGGGGTAAAGAAGGAGGGAAATCACAGCGGAGATTCCTGTTTGTGTGATAACCCGGTCACAGGTACGTAGGAAAGGCTGAGGAGTGTAGTGTGTATTATTGAGTTACTCTTAGATTATTACTAGTCATGACCAGACTGTATTGAGGAAAATATTTTTTAAATCTTCTCTGTCTAATTGGAGGTGGGGGGCGGTAATTGCGGAAAATTTCTAAGAAGAATATTTAGATATGTAGTCAAATATTTGGATTAGATTTAATTAAATTGCCTTTCCCTCCCATCTTGTGTGCTAAGCTAGAGCTTTTACTTTAAGAGCAAAAGCACTAACAGCATTTATTCTACAAGTAGAACAAATATTCCTGGGAGACATAAGTCTAAACTGTAATACTACTGGATTGAATTTTACATCTTTTTGAAGTATACAGATGAATATCGATGTTACATGGAAGGACTATTTTAGGTTGCAGGTTTACTACATAAGGCTTTGTAAACACCTAAAATAATAAAAACAAACTTCTTTCTTATAAGTTGTGGCTGAAAAATTATCTTTATAACTACTCGTGTGATGCGATAGTTGTTCTGAAGCTGTCACTATCATAGACAGGGAGGAAAATAGGTAACATGTATTAGTTCTGTGGAATGTGACAGGCAGCTCTCAGGACGGCCTGAGACATCTTATGAAACTTGCAAATTAGACTCAACCTCTGAAGGTACTTATAGTCTCTGAACACATGTTAATAATGATTCTAGTTGACCAGTTTTATAGAGAGTTGGTCTACAAAGAAGCAGTGAGTTTTCAGAGTGGTAAATTTCAGTTACTCTGTTTTTTGTCAACTTTCATAGGTTTTAAAAGCCAGTGCTATTGTGTTCATACCTATCCTGTTTCACATCTTTGAGGTGTGTGGTGATGGAGGCACACTGTGCTAAACCTGCACTGAAGAGGGTGGGTTGGGGTTTTATCTTGATGAAAGAAACACAGGTGTAAAGACTTGCTTTTTTCTCTTTAATAAAATTTAGTCTAATAACTTTTCTATTTGCAAATTCTTAGAATGAATAAAGAATAACATGTCATTTTTTAGTAAGTTTTGATAACTTGGTAATGACTTTCTATGGTATCCTCTATTAATGATTGACTTGTATGGCACAACTATAGAGAAGGTTATTTTGTGAAAATAGCCAAAGACTTACTGTTTCCTTAGGACGTTTTCTGACCCTTTGACCATCAAATCGTCTCTCTGCCTGTCTATCAGATTGTTGATTTTTCACAACTGTTTTGTTTGTCAGATCTCAATTTGCACATATAACTCAAGCAATTCTCCAGTATCACTCGAGTTCACAATGAAATCATGAAGTCTTTTTTGAGATTGTGGTGTGTGTGGCAGAGTTTTTGCCCTCTGAATCTGTGTGGTTCCTGAGTTTAGATAGCAGAGGTGTAGCTAATGAGTAATGTGATGTAGTCTGATCTCTTGGGCCTCCAGTTTTAGCTGTAAAATATTAAGATTTTGGATAGTGGGGAATTTTTCTAACAACTTACGTTTATCTCTTCAGTTTCTGAGCTCTAATAGCAAAGGATATCAATGTTTACATTATATAACCTGGATATTGATGAGCTTGTATGTCCCGCACTCAATGGGCAGTGTCCATCTGACCGTAAATGTGCAAAGATGTTTGACTGCGGGCTAATTTTTAAATGACATCTTTATGAGTGTACCTTCTCATACTATGAAACTTTTCCTTTTCTGAAAAGCCTGGTAACTATAGCTGTTTCAATAATAAGTACTAGGATTTGAGGGAACCCTAAGTAGAAACATTTCATAGGTAGAAAGGAGTGACTTCTGAATGTCCTTCATCAGCAGAATTTGCAATGAATGAGTTCTCTGCTTATCGTTGCATTTCGATCTTTAGACTTGCAGCCTAAGGTTTTTACTCTTGGTCCTTTTGATGTGTTCCACCTACACTCATCACCTGAATGTAAACCGCAAACACTTTTCAGTTCTCTACAACCAGGGAAATTTCATGGAGTGAAATGGAACTTGGTATGGTTCTTAATTACTTCAGTAATTGTTAGGACTTGGAGGAAATAGAAACTGAGCCTGAAACTTTCTCTTTTCATAAATTAGAAGCAGAAATTTAGTTGTTACATGTTGTGTGTGGTTTCCAGTTACTCATCCGGCCAAGCATACATAGGCAGAACTATCAGAATTCATTTAAAACACTACTTCGTTCAAATTCCAAATCACCTAATATGTTTCTTTTGTGTTTTGATTTGATTGGTATCTGACCGAGCAATTCTTATTCTATTCAGTTTTTCTGAATGCTAGTTCTTGTTACTTTTGAGGGAGTGCTACATGGTCCTTCTTCTCTCGCCCTCCAGGCCCTGAACCAGCTGTTTGAGAAGATCATGGCATTAGACATTGATGAGCGCCACCTGCTGCGCCTCGGTCACGGAGAGGAGGAGCTGGAGACGGAGAAAGATTTCAGCAGGTGAGCTGAAATGGGATGGGTTTTGAAATGGTGGGCAAAGGAAGTTTTAGCCTTCTCCTTTTCCTGACTAAAGAAGTGCCAGGAGAAGAGAATAATGAATAATCGAACTTCACTCTGAAAGATTCTAGGGTAACCTACTTAAACCATGTGTTGCCCTAGAAGTCTACACGTGATGTCCCTCAGCTCTTGACTCTCAGTTGATGCCATTTTTCTCCTCAAACATACAGGTATTTCAGTGAGGAGAGTTACTTTGTTCTTCAGTTTAAAATAGCAGATTGCCGTGCGCTCTCTGTTTATTGAGGCAATTTTTAATGTTACTGAATCCAAATTGTAGAAATGATTCTTTTTCATGTTTCATCCAGACATCAATGTACATATATTTTAGGCACTAATTAGGAAGTTGATTCATTTAGTGAAGTGCAGCTGAAGATTAATGTCAATGTAAGCTTTGGGGCTGTAAGTATTATTTCAGGTACTTATGGCCAGTTTAGCTGGACTTTATGTTTAATATTGCATATTGTAAAGTGATTAAAATTTCACCACTTGGATTTCTTCTGCTATTAGTATTTTGTTTTTTTTTCAAAGTTGCTTTATTATTGCTCCTTTCATTTATATATAAATTCATTTTTAAAACATAGTTTTAGACAGAAGGCATAATTAACAGCTGCACATATTTAGTATAGCCTTTGGCACTAAATTGATCATAGACTTCAAAAGAGCTAAAATAAAAGAGTGTTAAATTATTACATTGCATCTACTTTGCGTTCTTGTATTACAGAACTCACCAAACATTGTTAGCATCTAAAAAGTCAAAGGGCAAAGAATAGCACACATTAAGTTATTTGGGGCTCTAGATTTTTTAAAATTTTGTATCAGCCAGTGATACTTCTGAATTTCTTCCCATGAGTTATTTCCTCACATTAACCCTAACTGGTAAGAGGGCCTGAGTCTAAAACCTAATAATCCAGAATTCAGTGAACATACAGATGCTGAGAAATTCTAAATACCATCATTATAATTATATTACAGTGGACTTTATAGTTTTTAAAGAATAGTATAATAGAGCATAGGTAGGATTTTTAAAATGATTTTTGCTACTACTAAATTTCAAAGGAAAAAGTCCTTTTGCTTTCTGATACACAAACGAAGGCCCAGGTCTTGTTATGTATGTGCTTGATTGTTGGGCATATTCTTTCATTTTTCTCCCTTTGTCGTAATTTTTTAAGTGAATATTTTGTCACAACGAAAGTAGTATCATTTTTCATTGAGAAAAAATTCTAAATCAAAAGAGACAAGAGAGAAGCAGTGATCATCCATAATTTCACTTATCCAAAACCAGTGTTGATGGTCTTTTTTTTTTCAATAATCAGCTGTAATCTTACTATTTATAATTCTGTACATTGCTTTTTTAAATTAATAGATTTACAGCATAATTGAATAGATGTCACATAGACTTCCATTGTATATCATGTTTTAAATTTAACATTGTATCACAAGGTTTTGGCATTTTGTTGCTCCCTCTTTATAAGCATTCCCAATTTTTTTCTCATTACCAAAATATTTGTTACAGGACGAGTTTTAAACTATAGATAAGCTAGATAAGCATACAGAAAAAAACTTACCTGCTATAATGTTTATATTCTTCTAAGTTGGAAAATTCTTAAAAACATAGACCGTGTCCGAACTCTGGAGCAGCCAGGAACGTGACTTCTCTGTTTACACTGTTTCATCTTTTTGACTGTTAAAGGGTTATAGTGGGCACTCTGTTACAGTGGAAAGAGTATATATAGGCTTTGGGATCCAGTTCTGGTTCCACCACTTTTTTTTCTCAACTGTAGATTTCTGGACCAGGTACTGTCCAAATTTTGGTTTTCTTACTCATTGAGCACATGTTTATTAGCCTACAGGTTCAGATGCCAAGCCATGTGGTAGGATGACAGACTGAAAAATGCATTACTGTTTGAAAGCCTTTAGAACTAATCTACAGTATAAAACAGTGCTTTGTTCCAAGCATTCAGTCTGTAAACTCTATGTTCTTGGTCTGGGATGAGATTAACTGGCACCAGAATGCTCTGTACTATTTGCTTTTGTGTGAACATACTGTTACGGAAAAATCAATAGCTAAACTAAATGGTGTATTTAGTGATGTAGTTGATTTTTTTCCTCACAGACCACTGTCACATTTGCAGATTTGCACTGATTCATAGGGCACACTTTAAGTAGCTTTGGTGTAAAATGACCCAAGAATTTACAGTTAAATATAAACTATCTTTTCTGTAATTTGGCCATTTATAGTTTCTAATATGATTTTTCTTGAATAGTTTGCTGACAGTTTTCTCGAAAGCTCCTTCATTACATATTTTCCTTAATTGTAATTTCTAGGTACGGAAGAGTTAATTATGTCCTTGCTCGAAGAATAGAACTTTTGGAAGAAGTCAAACGATTGCAGAAGAGTCTCGGGGTTCCAGGAGACGCTTCATATACTTGTGAAACTGCAGGTTATTTCTTTTTATATCAGGTAAGAAATTAAGGGGTTTTAAATCATACTTCACTTACATGGTCTTTAGTTAGAAACCAAGATGGGTTTTTGGAGATATTTTTTGAAAGTTTAATATTTTCCCATGAGTAATTTATTACCAAAGCAAGCAGTATTTGTGAGTGTTAAATGTTTGTGTTTCTTGTGGTCTTCAACCTTCTTTGCTAACTTTGCTTGAGGACTCATTCAATGAAAGGCCAATGTTGGTACTTTTAAATTTTTTCTTTTTTCCTCTTTGCTATTGAAAAACTTTCTAATCTTTTTTTTTATTATTGTAAATAACTAAATATCCTAGCTACCTAGTGAACAAAGTGCAGTTTATAACTTAATTTTACTATGCATATTAATCAATTAATAAAGAAAAACATAATCTCCTTAAATTTTAAGCAGTAAATTGTGTTTTAGAATTAATTTTAGTGTAAGAGTTTAAGTTAAAAATCCTTTTGACTTCTATTTAGAGATGTCCTTTTTTGCTTTTGTGAGGCTAGTTCTTTGGGTATGAAACCAATGAGAAATAAAGACAAATAAAATGAATACAAATAAACTTTAATATTCAAGTTGGTTTACTCATAATTTTGAATGGACCGAGTGTTAATCAAATAATGAATATTTTTGTATAACTTTGTTCTCTTTGTACTAATTTTGGCTATAAATCATCCCATTGAAATTTTAAAACAGAAGTGGGTTTGTGCTCATTATAAGTGAGTACCCAAACCAATTGAGTTCATTTAAAATGAGCATATTTCATGGTTTCTTACAAAACAGGGAAGATACACATCATTCTGCAAAGTAGTTTGCATTAAACCCAGACTGTTTAGAACTTTAAATAATAAAGATCATGCTTAAATACATATTTGGCACAAAATAAAAATCACTAGGCTATCAGTAAAAACTACCATATTTTGCCGTGTATAACGTGTTCCCATGTATGATGCGCACCCACATTTTTGTCCCAAACTTTTAGGAAAGAAGTCTCGTTTTAATTTTTTAATTTAAATATCTATTTATATTTAGACACTTGATTTTTTGTAATATAAAGGAATTTTAGCATTTATTTTTCAGCATATTATAGGAAATTTTATGTAACAAATAATCACAAAACACAAGAGCAGATACAAGATATTTCAGGTACTACCCATGTATAATACACATTCTTATTTTTCCCTCAAAGATCTGGGGGGGAAAAGTGTGCATTATACACAGCAAAATATGAGTACTTTCATCCTTTTTTATTTTTTTAAAGATTTACTTATTTACTTGTTTGTTTTTTAGTGAGGGAGAAAGAGGAAACATCAATGTGTGGTTGCCTCTCGTGCATCCCCTACTGGGGACCTGGCCCACAACCTAGGCATGTGCCCTGACGGGGAATCGAACTGGTGACCTTTTGATTCACAGGCTGGCACTCAACCACTGAGCCACACCAGCCAAGGCAAAATATGACTACTTTTAAAAGTAAGAGAAATAATCTATAAAATATGGAGACCTAAGTGATACATTTGGGGACTACGAACTTAAGGCTTCGCAGTATAGGTCAACAATTTTCAACACATAAGGATCACATTGGGAAAAGTTGTTTAAAAGGAAATTCTCAATGTCTGTCCCCAGAAAGTCACTTGCAGTAGATTCTGCCTAAGAACCACACTTTGAGAAACACTGAAGGTTTAACAGAAAAGACTTGGGAGAATTACAAAGTTAATGTTAATTAAGTAGGAGCTTCATAGTAGTCATAGATACCAGGATGTAATTGAACTCGCACAGAACTCATAAAATTAGCTTTCAGATGTGTACTCAGCTTAACCAGAAGTTCTTTAAGTTCTTCATAAATGTACTGAAGAGAATTGGAAAAATTATAAAGGTCTGAGAGAAGGGTTAAGTGCCAAATTGATTTAAAAACTGCCAAAGCTGAACTTACCGTATATGGAGAAAAACTGAGATAATGAAAACATAGGGAATATCTTCATTTGTGTTGAGCCTTAATAATAAACTGCCTGGCATGATGAATGGAGAATCTGAAATGTCTGAGATAAAGCCCCACAAGATGGCCCTGACTGAGGGTTTTTCCCCTTCTGAATTTTTGATTAAAAAGACTTTTTCTATAATGTTAAAGGTTACTTTTATAAAAGCAGGGCAATCCCATTGGTGACTTTGATAAGAAATATTTCTTTGGGGTCAAAGATTGCTTTTTTTTTTCTATTACCTAGCAGATCTTATTTTTACTAATTATTTTTATTTTATCATTTAAAACAATTAGCTGGCAAAATTAACCTCAAGTTCATTTTATAGGTAATGTCTCGTTGGGAGGAATATATCAGCAAAGTGAAAAATAAAAGTAACTCATCGCCAGATGTTACTGAAGTTTCCACTTTCTTCCCTTTTCATGAATACTTTGCAAATGCCCCACAACCCATTTTTAAAGGTCGATCTTATGAAGAAGACATGGAAATTGCTGAAGGATGTTTCAGACATATTAAGAAAATTTTTACTCAGCTTGAGGTAAGGTTTCTCAAGGTCTTTTAAATTTTCCTTTAAAATTTTTAAGTTTAGTTTTCTTTTTTTAAGTGAAGTAAATAAAATATTCAGATCTAACAAACCAGATTGTTACTTTTAAGTGAGCTTGTTGCAAATATTTATAGTTCTAGTTCAAAAAATAAATAAAATTAGATATGAATTGAATGCACATTATTCTGGCTTTTCTGGTGTAAAAGTCTTAATATTTAAGAAAAGAATGCTTTCATCAGCAGATTCAACAGTGGTTCTCTGGACTGGAATTTGAGACGGCACGTGGCCGTTCTGAGTCCTTCATGCCACTTTTTCAGTAGGCAAGAAGTTAGATCGCTGGTTAGCCAGGGTGCTTGATGCTGATTACTGAGGTGAAGTAAGAATTACCGCTGTACAAAGGGGACAGAGAAGAATATACTGGAAGGCAGGAACTCCTCCTGGAGTGCTTCCTGGTTTTCTCATTCCTTGTAGAAAACATCATTGGAAGACGATAGCAGTCCAGTAAAGGCATCATATTCAGACCCAGGTTCCTCAGTAAGAGGGTTTGGGATTATTCCAGGTAAAGGGGCAGAGTCTGTGCCTCATTTGTCTTGTACCTTTAAATATGATTATATCCCTGCTTCCTGGAATAGTATCGGGCACATAGTACATATTTAGTAGATATTAATATGTGATATGAATAGGTGGGTGGATGGTAAATAAAGAATAATAAATGCATAGCATGATAAGAGAAATTTAAGACCTACAGAACAATATTATACTATGTTTATAATTACATTAAGTAAAATGATAAAAACATAATTATTATAGTAGCTGTCTGGGGAGGGGGTATCTCACCCGTACCTGTAATGTTTTAATTATTTAAAAATCAAAATTAAAATGTTATTTAATAAGTCTGTGTTAGGTATGATGCAATGTTTAGATTTGATAAAAGTCTGCTTGTTTGCTCCTCGCATCCATCCATTGTCCATCCCCGTACTCTGCTCCGTGGGGGTCCTCTGCCATGGTCAGGGGCTGATCCTTGCAGATTTGATTTCCCTGCTTCCCATGTCAGCGGACTTTTACTGGGTTTAGCCAATGAGAATTGTAGAAGAAATAAAAGAAGAAGAAAAGTCAGGATATTTCTCCACCGCTTCTGTATGCCATGTGCTCCATCTCTTCTGTGGCTCCAGTCTCCCCCGGCCTGGTCGTCTGCGGTTCCCTGTCCCTGGGTTCTGACTGCACTGCCTCCTCCCTTTATCCTTTTTAGCCTAGGAAAGTCGTAACCTCCTGCTGTGCTGACCACTGGGTTACTCTGCTGTTCCTTCAGTGGCTTTTCTGCTCCTTGGTCCCCTGTGTACCCAGTCCCCTGTGTTAAATTCCCTTTGTTATAAATACCTGAAAGAGTTTCCATTTTTCTGGAGGGACCCAGAGTAATATAGGTACAGTGGTGATTGATATTTTATTCAGCACCCTTGTTGATCTTGCAAATGTTTCACCTTATACCAAAAAAAAAAAAAAAAAAAGTCCAAATTGTAGTTTGAATATCAATTTTTACTTGAATTTACTCAGTACCCAATTAATAATGACAATAATTATGATTCTTGAGGCCTAGTTTATGATATATTTATATTAACTTATCAGGAACTAAGTCTGATTAACTGGATTGTGTGCATGTAGGCATAACTTGTGTTTACTTTCCTAAAGTAGTTTCTCACTGCCCTCCATCCCCACTCTTTTAGGAATTCAGGGCCTCTGAACTGCTTCGAAGTGGACTGGACAGATCTAAATACCTTTTGGTGAAAGAAGCCAAAATCATTGCCATGACCTGTACTCATGCCGCCTTAAAACGACATGATTTAGTCAAGTTAGGTTTCAAGGTAAAGATTTCTATTTTAGTTCCTCAATGTATCATTTGTTCAGCTGTTAGTTTGGTGTTTTTAAAATGTAAGCCATTTCCCTTGGAGATTGGCTTACCTCTTATTGTAGTTTACATTTATAATTACTTAGAAATGTCTCTTAAAACTGAAAACTTCTGTGTTTATGTGATTAGTGAACTCTGAATGTAATTTTTTAAAGTAATATGTCCATTAAATAACATTATAACCATATGATTATCTAACCAAATTCTAATACTTGTTAAGGTAGATTAATATATTTTTTCTATGTTAAAAAAAATCTCTGAACAAAACTAAAAGCTATAAAAATAACACCTGGCATCCTGGTCAGGTGGTTCAGTTGGTTGGGGCGTCCTGCCATACACCAAAATCTGCAGGTTCGATCCCCAGTCGGGGCACATACGAGAGGCAAATGTTTCTCTCTCACATCAGTGTTTCTCTCTCTCCTTCCCTCCCTTTCTTTTTCTCTAAAACCAATAAACATATCCTGCAGTGAGCATTTAAATAGATAGATAGATAGATAGATAGATAGATAGATAGATAATATTATTTGGCAATGCTTTTTATCTGTTGAACATCTATATGCTTGCATCGTTCACATTTCAAGCACACATTCAATCCCAGCTATTTGTTCATCCAACAAATAAAAGCCTTCCATGTGCCTTCCATATCCTCATATGGAATGCTCCTATTTAGACTGTAAAGATGAGATATTAAATGACTTAATTACATGATGAAGACCAGATTGCTAAAGAGCATAATATAGCCTGTGACGCAATGGAAGTGGAATGTAATAATTGAGCAGTAAGTGTGAATTTCCAGACTCTGATTTTGCTAATGATACTGACCTAAACTCTGATTTTAATGCACATCATTTAACTTTTCTGCAACTGGTTTATCTGTGCTTGTTTAAAGTAGGGTTGATGTACTGTGTTGAATTAAGAGTTGGAAAAACGTTTGTGGTTGATGAAAGTAACTGACAGTTTTTTTACCCTTACACACTCACGGAAAGGTAGGCGCTAAATAAATCTGACAGACCGTTCTCGGATGAAGGGCTCCTCGGTTCTGAGGTGGGACAGACACGATGATGTAGATGATGTGTTAAAGGGTAGTGTGAAGTTCCCCCTTGCAAATTACTAGTGAGGATTTTTCACGTAAATATTTTATTTTGGAGCTGACATAAGATATGCTTTCAATTCGATGTGAAGTCATATTAGTTCAATAACAAGGGGAAATGATGCGTGTTAAAATGAGCATATTATACTTTCATGCAGCCTTTCAGGTTCATATTAAAAAAAAACACTACTTGTAGCTTGTCACGGTTTTATTAATCATTTTCTTCACATTGTTGTACACATCTAAAGATAGCATGAGTGCTGATAGTATATGTTTTCAATTTATTTTTATAAAACTTATACATGTATCTGGTTTAAGAGCTTAACAACTTTGTAGATCTGCTTAAAATTTTAAAAGGCAGTCCGCTACTTTCTAATCCTCCCCAATTATTTAAGCTTTCAACTCTTCGTATTTCCTTCAATATTTTAATCTATATTAGTAAAGAATATTAAATTTCCACTTTAGGTCTTGTTTTTGACTCTGTGCTGTCCGCAAGGAGACACGCATATGCATTCATGGGCTTTTCCCTTAATATTCCCAGTACGGCATAATTTTGCTTTGTGACTAAAATCTGATTTTTTAAAAGCAAAATACACACACACACACACACACACACACACACACACGTGTATATTTGTAAGTTAAATTGCATTTTCAGAGTTTTCCAGGAAGCGGGCTCTTTAAACTGTCTTCTTTGAGCTTCCCCCGTTCTCTTGCTTGGTGTATCTATTATCCTGAGAGTCCACGCAGGGACTTCTGTAAAAATGCGGCTTTTTGGACTCCTCCTTGTGAGCTCACAGCAGGATGACATAACTGTCCCCCTACCTGTCACTTTCTCAGAAAACAAAATAAGAGGAGAAAACCTTAAAAACAGGAAACAAAAGAATTCTAATACATATTTACGAGATTCTCAGAGAAGGTATTTTACCAGTGAAACAAGGAGTAAGATACACTAAGTAGCCACCAGAATTAGAAGTAGAGGGGAAAGATAAAACATGTTGAGAAGTGACAAAGAAGAGAATTAGGCAGATAAAAGAGAAATCATCATCAAAGAATGAGATCTTGTGTTGAAGAAAGAGCTTTTTTATTATTTTACAACTGCGTAGTGCCTAACATTACTATAAACTGGGCTGGTGAGAGGATATAGGTGTCAGCAGGTGAATATCCAGAACTACAGATTGTGATGTGCTGTGAGACAAAGAGAAAGAATATTTGGAAACCCATTTTAGATTGGGAGATCAAAGAAGGCTTAATACAATGGGGTTTAACCTGATATTTTAAGAATGAGAAAGAGCCAGGCAAGCACAGAGAGAATAGCATGTGCAGAGGGCCAGAGGCAGGAATGGTTTTGCTGTTTCTGCGAAAATGAAATAGGCCAACATGGCTAAAGCTTAATAAGGAGAAGACGGATAAAGGAGAGGAAGGCAGGGGCCAGGTTGACTAGAGATAGGCCCTAAGTTAACATGTCTGTTGCAGGCCACTTTAAGGGCTTTTTTGTCCTAGGACAGTTGGAAGCCAGTGACGGTTTGACACCAGGGAGGGGAAGTGATTAGATGGCTGCCACATCAGTGATTTGGGGGGTGCAAGACAGGAAGGGGGGGCTGGTAAAAAGGTGGCTTGCAGTAGTCAGAGTAGTGGCTTAAATTAGAGCAATAGTGGTGGTAGAAATGGAGAAAAATGAACAGATTCAAGAGGGAGGTTTTGAAGGTAAAGTTTACTTTGGTGATAATTGAGCAGTAAATGGGAATTTTCAGCCCCTGCCTCTTGCACACCCCCTTCTGGGGGTCTGGCCCGCAACCCAGACATGTGACCTGACTGGGAATGGAATTGGCAAGCCTTTGGTTTGCAAGCCGGGACTCAGTCCACTGAGCCACGCCAGCCAGGGCTGTTTTTTCATTTGTTTGTATTTGCGTGGTGGTTGTGGTTATGACAGTAGTTGTTTGGCTTTCATGCTGTGATGAACTTTCCTGTTTCTCCTTTTTCAGTATGACAACATTTTAATGGAGGAGGCTGCTCAGATTCTGGAGATTGAAACTTTTATACCTCTTCTTCTACAGGTAAGATACTGAAATCTGACACAGTGTAAAGTTTGAAGAATTCCCAGGGGCAGCATCAGAAAGTTAGATAATTTGGGGGTGCTGATTGCCATAAGTATGTATTTTCCCTAACATCATTATGTTTGATACTCTATTTTAAGCTTGTAAACTTCCTTTCATCTATTCACTGGCTATTTAGTAGTTTGCGTTGTTTCTGGGAGTACTATTTAAAAATTCATAGTTCATTTCTAAGTTTTGAAAAGAGTAATTTTAATCAAGAAAATTGCATTTTTATGCAGTTTGGATGGAAGATAAGCTATATTTTCATCTCTTTTAGAGTTGTTTTTAGAATTATTTTTGATGCTTACTGGGTACATTGCTTTTCTTTATTTTCTGCCTAAATTTTTTTGAGCTACATGATGATGTTTAAGTAAGTTTCTTATTGTACAATAATAGTCTTTACTGTGGAAGCATTAAAAACAAAATGTGGAATTCCCAATTTAAGAATAAAGACTTCAACTTACAGATACCCTGGATTCCAAAAGTACTTTTACAAGCCAAGTTATTTGGGACTTGAAATGTATTTTGTCAGGATACGTTTCAGGAATAAGAAGACACATAGAGTAGGAAATTGAAATAGTGTAAGGAATTTTAAAAGGTATAATTTTACCGCCGTTGGGGGTTCAGAACTGGCTCTCTGCAAGGCTGCGACACGGGGTGTTTACTTGGACATCTTTTTGTTTCCCTGCGTGTGCATCTGCTTCCCTCTGTGCTCTCTCTGCCAAACTCTGACCTAAGCCTCCCAGGCGTCTTTGGATTACCCCACCTGCTGAAATGGGGCGATTCCATGCTTGCCACCTCGGTCCCCCTTCCTCACAGACTGGCAGCCAAGAGCAGCGGTGCCCGTACTGGGTTCACAGGTCATTCTGTAATTTGCCAGGTTCCTCTCTGGAGGTGGTGAATATGAAGAATTAGTGAGCTAATGAAGCCATTTTGTGACTAGCAAGAATCTTGTGCAATAAATTGTAGACTAGTAGGGTAGTATACCAGTTAGAATATTTTGCCAGTTCCTCGCTTGTCTTTTCTAGAATCCTCAGGATGGTTTCAGCCGACTGAAACGATGGATTATGATCGGGGATCATCACCAGTTACCTCCAGTCATTAAGAATATGGCCTTTCAAAAATATTCAAACATGGAGCAGTCTCTCTTCACTCGCTTTGTCCGAATTGGAGTTCCTACTGTGGACCTCGATGCCCAAGGGAGAGCCAGAGCAAGGTAAGCGGTTGGGGGAGGAGAGGGGATTACTCCAGTCTAGGGACATTGATTCCATAATCCAAGCATGTGATAATGTCTTCCATATAAACTCAGCATTCCCCATTGTCCAAGAACTGGCCATCTAAATATCTGAAAGCATCTTTATTGCCTTTGACATGGGGTATGAATTAACCAAATAACTTTTTCCACTGGCCCTTCTTTTTATGCTCCCAGAAGATACAGAGTTAGTACCATTTTGAAATACAAAGCAAAAGGGGAACAAGAGGAGAACACCCAGTTCTTGCTTCATAAAGTGTACAGGGCCTATCTCATAGTTACCTCAAATTTTCCTCAATTTATAGAAGTTTCCCTGCTTTTTAAATTTCAGTGGAGATAGTGTTTACCTTAGAGAACACAATGGAGCTGACATTTCTGTAGTATCATCTACCTTCTGATTTGGTTAGTTGAAGTAGGGAGGCAGAGGTTGAAAAAGCATTACTGCTAGGAAGATAAGCACAGAGTGGGTGCCTTGAAAATTAAGAGGAAGAGCACAGTCCCTTAGAAATGCTCTTAGGTATGTTAAAGGGGATTTCACCTTGCTGACATTTCCTGTTGGGGGGGATTTGTCTTTGGAAAGCTTGTGCAACCTCTACAACTGGCGATACAAGAAACTAGGCAACTTACCCCACGTGCAGCTCTTGCCGGAGTTTAGTACAGCAAATGCTGGCTTGCTGTATGACTTCCAGCTCATCAACGTTGAAGACTTCCAGGGAGTAGGAGAATCAGAACCTAATCCTTACTTTTATCAGGTAAGAAAAGGACATGAAACTTGTAAGTTTACTTCGCAAATACCGGGCTGAATTACTACCTAGGTCAGTTATACAGAGCCATCTGACTGGTCTTTGAATGAAGGATATTAGATCCTGTCCATACAGACAACACACAAAAATTTAATTTCAGATGGATTGAAGATGCATACTCAAAAGGAACTATAAGCAAATGTTCTAGAAAGAAGAAACTATTGATGAGTGTATAATGTTCAGGTGAGAAAGGTCTTATTAACTAAGCTTGTTACCAAAAGCAAAAATCATAAAGAAAAATACTAGTTTGAGAAAAATTTATTTTTAATATTTAACAAACAATAGGTTGAGGTTTGAATGTGTGTAGAACTCTTATAAATCACTCTTTTAAAAAAAATCAGCACCCCAACAGAAAAATGCAATAAGGACAAGAATATGCAATTCATACACACAGGAGTATATAGATTTATAGCAAGCATAAATCACTGGAACATATTTCCAGCTCTATAGGGGTAGATTTGGGGGATTTCTGTACTCATGCAAAACTAGTAGGAAAGTAACTGGGTAGACAGATTGTCAGTGTGTATTAAAAGCACAACGTTCTCACTTCTAGGAATTCATCCTATAAAAAATTAGATGAATTTTTCCAAAGACTGGTGCTAAAATGTTTAGTTTATCTTTTACTACAAAGTATTTTGGAAATGGGAGACAACCTGAATAATCATATTATTACCTGTGCCATATAATGAAATACTGAATTGCCACTAAGAATGATGACATTATTTATAACTTGGTTTACTAACAGGAGAAATGTTTATGCAATATTAAATGAAAAAATCAAATTGAAATGTATCTACAGTGACCCATTTTATTTTTAAAAAGAAACAGAAAAACACATATAGAAAATATATGCTGATAATCTATACAAAAATATCTGGCAGCGTATACACCAAAAGATTTACCTGTGATAGAGTTGATGCTTAGATAGATATAGTTCGCTGTTGATAAGAAAATCAGTAAGATTTATAGTCATGTGACTTCTTTTCCCTCCTGTCTTTTAAAGAACTAGAAATTTTAAGAGATAGCCCAGGTTGTCTAAGTGTCACCAGAATATAAATGATTTTTCTGGAGGTCTTCCTGTAATTTTCCTGTTTCCTTAACATGAAATCCAGCTTTTGGTCTTTCCTTTCAGATTGTCATGTTATACTTATATTCTCATTTTACTTTCTTCCCACATCTCCTACTTCCAATTTAGTCTCTACCGAACTGGACTAAGCAGGCTTGTGTGTGCTTCCTGGCTTTCGAGTGCAGTGAAGCCTTGGTTTTAAACTCCTTCTCACTGATCTGTAACCAGTCCCTCAGGTCACAGTAAGCCAGACTCACCGATTTGGAGCCACATCTTCTTCCTAAAGTGGTTTCTGGTAGAGGCCGCAGCCATCATCAAAGAACAAACATAAAACACACGCAGAAAACATACTATGAAGTAGAAAGAAGAAGGAAAAACATTGTGTGAAAATTGAGAGTTGACTCCAGTAGTGCTAGATATATATGCTTTTAGACTGGATTTTTTATTGCCTTCTACGACAGTCGCCTTGCCCACCTATGTCAGTTTCTCTCCATAACTGAGTTTCTCTCAGTCCCAGTACACTGAGCAGGACCTTACTGATCTGTACTGTGACCGTTGTGGTCCCAGAAATGTTAAGTGTTCCGTTGGTAACTTTTATTTTATGATATTGCATCTATTACAATTTGTTGCAAATGTCAAACAGTAATATTTACATTATTCTGTGTTTATCATCAGTGTCATTTTAGGATAAGGTTATTCGTCAGTTTTACATAAGATGTTCACTTGTCCAAATTACTTAACTCTTCACCTCTTCAAGAGTGATAAATGAACAGATTGTGCTAGTGAGCCACTTTTTCTACAAAATGAAAACAATAGGACACAAATGCTCAACCCGGTTATGTCTGCGTTGCAGAATCTTGGGGAGGCGGAGTATGCAGTGGCTCTCTTCATGTACATGTGCTTACTTGGTTACCCTGCCGACAAGATTAGTATCCTAACAACTTACAACGGACAAAAGCACCTTATTCGTGACATTATCAATAGGCGATGTGGGAGCAATCCATTGATTGGAAGACCAAATAAGGTAATTCTTTGAATATAATACATATGTTCTCTTATTCTTGATTTTGGTAAGATGGAAAGATTTATATTTATTATGTTATTTATATTGTTCCACTTTGTCTTTTTGTTATCTCCTTTTAAAATGTGAGAAAATGCAGTAATAGGAACTATAAGTAATTCTCTGGCAATCCTCTCCCACATTGTTATTGGTTTGCTTTGAACTTCTGTCCCGGCTACCACACTGAAGGTTTTTATGAACAGTAATCAGAAGTAAATGTGTCTAAAATCTTTTGTTGCCAAAATGATGGGTAACAATATGACATTAGGTACTGTTAGAGTAGAAGTGGGAGTTGTATCACTTTGTTTTGTTTGCAAGGGTATAGTCTGCACCGCCTCTTACTGTATGTGTGTAGGGGAGTGGTTTTTCTTGAAGATAAAGGACAATTGTAAACTGAATCCAGGTAAACGATTTTTTATAAAGGTTTTTTAAAATTATGTGTAATACAGGCACAGTTATTTAAAGTTAATAAATTTTTATTTAAGGAATTTCATGTTTTGATCCCATAAATATCACATGTAACTTGTATCATACTATATTGGACAGTGCTTATCTAGACAGTGAATATAAGTAAAGTTAATAAAATGTTCCCAATAGACTGGATACTGGCAATGTAGCCAAGAAAACTTAGTGGGAAAAATGTTTTGTGGTCATGTCCATAGCAAATGAGAAACTGCTAGACCTAGGATTTTTTAATATTTTTTATTTTTATGTGATTTGATGGAGTAATATCACATAAAAATGAATATGCTGGATTTTATCAATAAAAGGTGGAAATTTTGAAAGAATAATGAAACATATATTAATAGTGACAGAGTTGGGACTTTGGTTGTGAACATAGCTGTATAAAAACTCTTTTACCTTTTCTTGGAAATAACCCAAAAGTAAGGGAAGTGGGAGGAGGAGAAGACAAACCCCATTTCTAGTGAGAGGACACAGTGTGGTGACTAAAATCATGAAGGAATTGTGGGAAGAAGAGGATTTAGTGGGCTAGTTTCCCAAGGCCGGCACAGTGCACTTCCTGCAGATGAGTGGCCTGCTCTGAAGTGTAAGAGCCCCATCCCTGCATCAGTCATGGGTGCAGATTGGGGCCAGCAGAAGCCTTCTGGGTCTCAGGTTGGTTCGGAGAAGCCTGCAGGTGAGCTACATTTGCAATAGGTTTATTTTCAAATAGCTGTATTTGCAAATAGACTGTCTCTGTAGTTGCAGAATAAAAGAGAACCTCCTGTTGTGAAACCATCCAGCCTGTAGAAGTCAGTCCTGCTCACCCCAACCTAATATGTTAATCAGTGATGAAATAGTGGTGGAAAGGAAGAACTAGCACATTTGATTTATATAAATCAAGGGGAAGACGGATAAAGAGCTTCAGAACATACTAATTGACAAGATACATGTTCCAGAAAACAAGTTGGCCTGGAACATGAAAATTTTGAATCCATATTTGGCTTTGAATTTTAAAGTACTTAATGAAATATCCATATCTGAGAGGGAGCTACAAAGTAGAGAAATTGAAGAGTTCAGAAAGAGTCAAAATGTGAACTAGAAGAAAATAAAACAAAATCATAGAAATGAAGACAAAAATCAAAAGCACTGCAGTGAGGAATAGGCACTATAAAACACTCCCTAAGGGATATAGAGAGTGAAAATGAGAAGCTAGTAACTTTGAAAGGTAGAAAGTTTAGAAATAGGAGCTTTTCAATATATGAGTTCTTTTATTTATAAGTAGCAGAAAAACTTAAATAATAAAGAAAGTGTCTCTCTCCCCTAGCAAGATGAAGGTAGCATGGCTCCAGGGTGGGGGGTGTCAGTGAGCCAGGGCTGGTCTCGAAGACCAGGTTCATCTCCTCCCCTGCCCGCCATTCTCAGCTTTGAGCCCAGTTTTCGGACAAGCTCTGTCCATGGGGTCAGGATGACAGCAAAACTTCCTAGTATAACTGCTGTAGGCCCGAGCAAAGGACTTGTATCCAGAATATAAGGACCTCTGTCAATGTAAAAGTCATGGTTAAATGATGAAAACCCAATACTAAATATTTAGGCAAATGTATTGAACAGACATTTCACACCAGAAAACATACAAATGGTCAATAAGCCCGTGAAACAGTGCTTACCATCGTTTGCTGTCAGGGAAATGCAAGTTGAAGCTATAATGATGTACCGCTACACTCCCAAGAGAAAGATTAAAATTAGAAAGATTGACCATAGTAAGTGTTGACAAGGGTGTGGGGCAACTGGAATTCTGGAACTGGAACCTGGCTGGTAAATGTGTAAAGTGATACCGCAACTTTGGGAAACAGCCTTGACAGTTTCTTATAAAGTTACACACACCCTTTCCATACAGCTCAGCAATTTCACTTTTAGATTTTTATCCACCAGCAGTGAAAACATGACACAAAAATACTTATACAAGATTTCTCATTGCAGTTGCATTCAAAATAGCCCCAAACTAGAGACAACCCAAATGCCATGAACAAGTGAATGGGTAAACAAATTGTGGTACTTGTGTTCAGTGGAATACTAATCAGTGGTTAAAAGAAGTATGAATTTTTAATGTACACAAACATTGATGAATCTCAGGAAAATTACACTGAGTGAAAGAAATTTAGACAGAGTGCGTCATTTTTTATGGAATTCTAGAATTAGGGGAAAATTCTGTAGTGACAAAGCAGATCAGAGGCCGTGCAGGGTTGGGGCATGCAGATTTGATGACAGAGGGCCTGAGGTCTTGGAAACTGGTCGTGGCGGTGGTTGTATGAGGGTGCGTGTTGTCAGAATTTACCCAGTTGTGCACTGAACGTGAGTGTATTTTACTGTATGTAAATTATACCTCTGTGAACCTGGGTTAAAAATAAGGGTTCACTTCCTAAAGGTAGGGCCGTGATTGTAGTCTGTGCAGGATAAACATTTAAACTTTTTGTTGAATTAATGAAAAGGAGAGAAATGCCTGAGCACCAGTATTATACTGAAAGCTCCCTGAATCTTCTTATTTATATATGTATTTTCAAACTGAACAAGAAGTACTGTGAAGACTACTTGTGTGTTTTTAGTCAGAGGAAGGCTTTAGATGAGAACTGAAATGTGTTAAATAACTGAGCAAATTAAGTTCTACAGATGGGCATCAAACCAGGAGACCAGGTGATAGGCTAAACACAGTCCCTGCTTCATGGAGTTGAGTAGTCTAGTAGGGGAAGACGGTTAGTTCCACACACAGTTACTCGGCCGTCAGCACAGGTGTGTGAATAATGCAGGGGACATGGCCTATTCGGGTGACCACAGCTCCAGATTTCAGTTAGTGTTCATTGGCTGGTCCTGTGAATTCCAAGAATATGCTCATGTTTGTTTAGGGATTGTTAGAGTCTCATTGTTCAACACATACCATATTCACCCTTTTTTCTTCCTAGGTGACAACCGTTGACAGATTTCAAGGTCAACAGAATGATTATATTCTTCTTTCTCTAGTACGAACCAGAGCAGTGGGCCATCTGAGGTACGTAAGGAAAAACTGTCATAATATTACTGAACTTTACTATCTGCTTCAATTTTAAACTTCTTTGGCTAAGTAGTTTTACTTTTTTTTAAGTTTAAAGTATAATTCATTGTTAGGGCAGCTTTTGATACCGTATGTTGGAATACAACAATATCAGATTCAGACCATCACATTGCTTCTGAGTTTTTTGAATCTTAAATGTTTTAGTAGTTTAAACTTTTTTAGTCTTTGGTAAAATTCAAAAATAGCACTTTATCATAAAATCTTAAAATATATTCTATATCTGTTGGAAACTTACTATGAGAAATGAAAGGAAACGAAGTGGTTCCAAAGTCTCTTCGGACTGGGTTTTCACTGCATGGGATTTCCAATGTTTCTGCACAGTCTCTCAACTTCAGTGTCAGAGGATAAAGGGGCCATTTGTCCTCCCAGGATTAAGAATTGTGAAGACAAACAGTAATCTATTTTTGTCATTCGTTGTGATGTATTTCTGTGCTAGAGATTTATAGGAATAATATCTTCTTATTATTACACAGCAGCCATTTCGTTTTTATAAACCTTCATCTCTCATGGCTTAATCGCAAAACTATATGGAGAGTTCATTTTATTATTTTTTTCAGTAGATATAAAAAGAAAATTCTCCAAGCTCTCATAATGTTATCATTAAGGTGAGATGTGTTTGGAGCTTAGCCCAGTGATCAGGCTCCATTAGACTGATAACTTTTATGTAAGAGTAAGCAACAATGGGATGTTTCGAGAGACTGTTTTAAGACAATACATTCTAAAACAGTTAATTTTTGCTTATTTTTTAAGTGTCAAGCACGTATTTGGAAAATAACCTTTCTAAAAAGCGGTTCCTTTCTCACAGTGAGATTTATAGCTAGCTACTGTCTGAATGGGGCATTATTAGGATTTACATAATTAAAATCTCTGGAAAACTCACAGTATGAGTACATGAAGACTACTTTCCTCTCGTCCCCACCTTTTTGCTCATTCTGTAGGGCTTTGTCTTTTCCAGATTCGCTGAGTTCAGGTCTGTGCTTTTTCTTGGCCTGAATTTTCTGGAAACTTTAAAAAAAAAAAGGATGGTAAATGCTTATTATGAACGAAGGGTTAAAAAAGAACCTGATTTCATATTGCCATACATATCAAGATTTTCTGAACAAAAATACTATTATTTATGTAATTAATCTTTGTATTCGCCAAAATTTGCTCTTGGGTATCCAGCTTCTTCTTGGCGGGGTGGGGGTGGTGCAGGTGATGGTTCAGGTATTGCTAAAGTATGTAGGGGGTGTGTCAGTTTAACCATTATTTATGTATCCAGCTACCCAATTCCTTACCCAAATTGCTTAGGTACCTTAGCTAGAACTTTATCAAACTTTTCATAGAATATTTTCTTTTACAGAGATCACCTTTCATATCTTTCCTTTTGTAATATTTTTGTTTCTGAAGTTTCAAGAGACCAAGGAAACCTACTTTCTTTCATATCTCTCTTAAATCATAGCTTTATTGAGATACAATTGATGCACTATGCAGTTCACATATTGTGAGTGTCTAAGTCTCTAAGTCGGTGGTTGACAGTATATTCATAGACTTGTGCAGCCGTCTTCAGCCAGTGTTGGGACATTTCCACCACTCCAGCGAGAAACCCTGCCCTCACAGCAGTCACCCTGCCTTCTCTCCTCAAGGCCTGGGCCCCACTGTTCCCCTTCCCGTCTTTGTAGATTTGCCTATTCTAGGCACTTTTATAAATGGGATCACTTGGCATAATAATGGGTTTAGGGTTCTTTCATGTTGTACCATGTATGAATACTTCATTCCTTTTTATTGGCAAATAATATTCCATTGTGTGGATATATCACATTGTATTTTGCATTTATCAGCCGTTGGATATTTGGGTTGGTTTTTGTTTTGTTTTAACTTTGTGGCTATTATGAATGAATAATGGTGCTGTGAACATTCATGTACAAGTTTTTGTGTAGATGTGTTTTTCATTCTCTTGGGCCTAGTTACCTAGGTCATGGGTGACTCTTTTAGTTTTCCAGTACCTGTCATATTTCTTTTGCTTACATCTTTTTCATCCAGGGTAAACTCGGGTGGTTGTACAGGAGCCAGGCTATTCAGCTTTAGTTCCGGAGACCTGACTTAGGATTCTGTGCACTCTCTAGAAGCCAGAGTAACATTTCTACTCCCTTTTCTAGTATTCATTGTTCTTGCCCCCACCTGATTTGAGTGGCCCAAGTACCAACAGAAATGCCTGGGACTTGTTCCGTGCAAAGCAGTGATGCTGCAACTTTTTTGTGTTGTGTCCTGGTCGAGGGTTCTATCAGAATGCTGCCTTGTTCAACAGTGCAGTTTCTGCCCAGCCGTGTTCTACGGCCTGTGAAGGAGGTGGTCATTCTCACTGCCCTGGGTTTAAGATACTCAGGAACCCTGTCTACTCATTTATTTTTTTGCCTGGTAGATTGTCATGTTCACAGTGTTTGGTCATTCATTTAACACTTTGAAATTATTATTTGGTAGTGCACTGGGTTCTTGCCATATAGAAGTAATTGTAATGTTTATGATCTCTGCCTTCGTGAAGCTTAGAGTCCTGTACATAGAGAGACATTAAGCATATCCCTAGAAGATACCTGCATTTGAATAAGCAGAAAACTCTAGTCTAACTGTCCTCGTGTGCAGTGGGGTCAGTTCAGTATCACTGCAAGAGCACTGTGTCTGTGCTCTGCCCAGAGGTGCAGAGCCTTCTCCGCAGGAAGGTGAGAACTGAACATTGCACAGCCGTTACCATGGAAACAACAGTTTGCGTCCTGCTTCTCCCACTACCATCCTTTTCTCCCTGACAGCATTGTTTTAACTGTACTTTCCTTTATAGTGTTGTGTGAGAAGTCCAAATGCCAGGTAGTTCTGGTATTATGCACCTAGTTACCAGTGTTGGAACCACCCACCTGTAGCATGACCCCTTGGGGGTCTAAGGAAATGTGGGGAAAATAAAAAACAATTGGGTTTGCAGTGGCCCAGAAGATAGTATTTCTTCCTGATTTCTGTGTGTCACAAATGTAGCAATTCCTCAAAGGGATATGTTTTCTTCTACCTGAATGAACCTCTCATAGTTTTGTGGGGGTTGGGGGGTGGGTAACCCTGGTTATTATATGATCTTTGCAATGTTTGATCTCTGTAGCACTCTAATACTTTCATTCACGAAAGTTGTCTTTTTTGTAGAATACTCACAAATTCAAATAGCCTCCTAAAAGCATCTCAAAAAAAACAGTTTTCTGTGTTTGAAACCAAAATATGTTTTTCTTACTAAAAACATGTAGTAATAGTCACATGAAGTTAGACTTACTAAATAGCCCCCCTTTTATAAATTTACTTGATTCAAATAAAGTTTTAAAAACATATTCCCTTTAAAAGATAAAGAAAACTGGCCTAATATATTAGTCACATGTATAGTTCTGTCATTCAGTTTAGCCATTTTTATTACTGTTTATGTGAACATTGAATACTTACTGTATTCCAGGAATTGAGCCTCGGTACTAGAGTAAATACATTAATAAGGCATGTTATTATGTTATGTTGTATCATATCATCATACTATGTGTTTATATTTGTAATTATTATTACAAAAAGTGCAAAACAATGTGGTGACAATTATCTGGGAAGTAAAATTTGACTTTGAAGTCTGAGAATTTGGTAGGTACAGAGGAAGGGTTGTTCAGATTGATTTAATAGTGGTGACTGACAGCTGAACCATGACACGAATATGGTTACTGAGATCTTTTTAATCATGCATTGGTTATTTTTTTATTCCCCACCACACCCTCCCCCCCAAAAATAACCACTGTAGAGATTAGTAATAAAGCATTAACTTTGTACTCAGTTCACTAGTCACATAACATTGTTTAACTTAATGTTTGCTCTGTTAAGTTTTGAGAAAAATTAAGTTTTTATTGACATAGCTTAACAGGAATACTTCATGAAATATATAAGAAAAAGCTGCATAAATAACGTTGTTAATCTTGATATGTTAATTAATTTTGTTTGTTTTCCTAAGGGATGTTCGTCGCTTAGTGGTAGCCATGTCTAGAGCCAGACTTGGACTTTATATCTTCGCCAGAGTATCCCTTTTCCAAAACTGTTTTGAACTAACTCCAGCTTTCAGCCAACTCACGGCCCGCCCACTTCATTTGCATATAATTCCAACAGAACCTTTCCCAACCACTAGAAAGGTAAGACTTTTTTATTCATTGCATAGAGCTGCATTCTCTTATAGATGACCCCATTACCTAGGGACATCATCAAAAAGTTTACCAATCACTGGTTTAGAGTGCTGCTTGCATTAAGGAACTAAATTATATTTTCTACATAAAAATAATATATGCCACTATTTATTGAGTACTCACAATGTATCAAGCAATTAGTTCTTTACAGAATGATCTCATTCCATCTTAATAACAGCCCTGTTCAGTAGGTTTTCTTATTAACCCAACTTATATATGCAAAAATGGAGAATTAGAGAAAGTAATAAATGGTGCGACTTTATAAACATTTTATAATTGAGTGTAAATAGCAAAGTGGTTCATCTTTATTTAGTACAGTTTAGGAAGAAGTGCAAATTTTGCCTTTTCTTCCTTTGCTTTTCCCACAGTGACAGCACGCTGTTTCTCAGATTGCTGTCAGAAACCGCCCCAACAGACTCGCCTCATTCTGTCTCAGACTGAGTCTGAACCTCTGGGGTCCGGAGCCCAGGCCTCCGTGATTGAGCCTCCTCCCCAAGGTGGTCCCAATGAACACCACCAAGTTCACACTTCAGACTACTCTTTGCCAGTGTTTTCGACTATGTGGTTTATCAGTAAAGATTCTTTTTGAATCTTCATCTTCATGACCTAAAGTATAGATATTGTTAGCTTCTTACTATAAATGTCAGCTTCTTATTTTTTAGAAAAACATACAGAGGACGAATAGTTTTAATATTTTCTTTCTGAATAATCTTGAGAATTGCCTTTGGAGCATATGTAATATTAGCAACTGTTCCTTTAGACTGTATTTTCTATTTCACTTGTTTGCTTATCTCTTTTTCTTCTATATTAGTTAGCAGACCAAAGCTCATATTTTACTTACCAGCCTAAAATTGTATTAAAAGCTAATAACTTTTAGCTCCCTCGCAATGTCTGTATTTTCTAAATTTAATCACTCTTTTTCATATTTTATTGGAATCTCACACGTCTTTTATGTCCTCTAAACCCTAATAGTGTTTATACATAAAATGGAGACATAGGCTTTTAATGGGATGTTATTTTTTAGTGTTTTTCACTTTATATTTCACTCTCTTTTTGCCTTCTTCTAGAACGGGGAGAGACCATCTCATGAAGTACAGATAATAAAGAACATGCCCCAAATGGCAAACTTTGTGTATAACATGTACATGCATTTGATACAGACCACACATCATTATCATCAGGTGAGCTTTCTCAGAAACAACTCTTGTTTTTCTTGAAGAATCTGTTTCAGAATAAACTTTCTTTTTAAATGTAAGTGTAGTTGGTGTACAATATTATATTAGTTATACTAATTTCAGGTGCACAGGATAGTGATTGGGCATTTTTACACCCTACAGCATGACCGCCCACCCATCCTGGTACCTGCCCCGGCCCCACCTTTCCGCGGTGTGTTGACGCCGTTCCCCCTTCACGTTGGAGAAGGTCTTTCAATACTTGATTCCTTGCAGAAGACCAGCCAAATCAAAGTGGGCTGTCATTATTCATGCAGCATCCATACTTTCAAAACATTTTTATGTAGATATGATTTGGCATAAAATAAATTGTACATATTTAAAGTATACAATTTGATATGTTCTGATGTATAGAGATACAGAGATACAAAATAGATAGATAGATAGATAGATAGATAGATAGATAGATAGATAGATAGATAGGCAGGCCAACCTGTGAAACCATCTTTGCAATCAAGATAATGGACACATTACCCCAAAAGTTTTCTCACGCTCCTTGGAAATCCCTCCCATTTTTCACTTGTCCCTCTCCCACCTTTTTCCAGGCTCCAGCTTCAGCATCTAGAAATCTGGAGCTGTTCCAGTACTCGAGGGGACAGAAGCCTTATACCCTCCTGCTCCCTCCCTGCCGGGGCTTGTCCCACAGCTTGGTTCCTCCCCGCCCTTCGCAGGGCTCCTTCACTGCAGTTGGCTCTTCTTGAGTGGCTGTCCCAGTCCAGTCGGTCCCAGTCAGTCCCAGTCAGTCCGAATCAGCCACTGTTTCTCCAGGTGTGACAGCAAATTCGTTTGCTAAAAAATCTAATAGGTTTTTAAAATTATTTTCCTCTCTAAAGATATGCCATATTTTTATCATTATCTGCGATACCTGTGTTGGCATATTCTTGGAGTCAGCAAAACCTAGGCCTTTGTCATCAGAGCTATTTCATCTGTGATACAAAATGGCCAGCAGTGTTGTCGAGAAGACTACAGTGAACAGTATTTATTAGAAGATATGCGAGAGCTTAACTTCATAGGCCCGTGTTTTTTTCATTTGAATTACTTCACACTGATATTTTCTTTTTTTATTAGACCTTATTACAGCTACCACCTGCTATGGTAGAAGAAGGTGAGGAAGTTCAGGGTCAGGAGACAGAACTGGAAATGGAAGAAGAGGGTGTGCCTGCGCAAGCCGAGATGCCCGGTGTGACCGATGCTGGCTCTGGTCAAGAAACATTGTCCTCTCCGCCCGACACCACCCCTGATCAGACAGGAGCTGGTTCCGGTCCTGACGTCGCCTGCGCTGTACCCGAGGCCCCTGCTGCCGGGGCGGGACCCGAGGCTGTGCCAGCAGAGGCTGACAGCTGTCCACATGTCACACCTGCCCCAGAGGAGACCAGATAGCCAATCGCTAGCCTTTTTGAGGGAGATAATTTCATTTACAAAGTCAAAGTAAAGTTACTTTTTGTATTTTATATTTGCTTTTGCCATTTTGAAATGAATAATTAATGTTCATTTCTTATTTTTATTAATGATCAGTACTCTTCTTGGATATATTTGTAAAAAGTGTATGTGTATGAACAACATGAATTTTATTTGTTCCATCAGAAGGTAAAATAATCATTCCTTTGATATTTTTCTCATTAACTGAGTGTATCTGTCATCATACCTACATTAAAATAATTTTTATAGACTAAGGCATACATTACATTTTTAGTGAACTTCAATGAGGAAACAGATAGAATGTACTGGAAATAATAAGTGCCCCTAAGCAAGTGTTGAAACTGAGGAGGAAACCGTGTCTTCTCTCATAGTACCAGATGCTCAAGTTGTTTTGTTTTTCTTTAACCTTTCTTTCTTGATATAAAGGCATTAACAGCCATAGGATATAGGTTTTTCAAATCCACCAAAGAGGTTACATGTATTTCCCTCCCCCAAATTTCATAACCTGTCAGAATCACCTAGGGTATCTCTTTCTTCTTGGGGTCACTCCAGAGGTAATGAATCAGCATCTCAGGGTTAGGGCCCAGGAATCTGTACTTCATTAGGAGCTTAGCGTGTTTGAGCTGCAGGCACAGTGGCGTCAGGTAAGGCTGGTGAGTCTGAGCCAGGATTTGTCATTCAGCTCAGCAAGCAGAAGCTGGCAAATCCATCTGGGCAGGAAGAAAGATCCAGAGTGTAGGCAGGGAGAGGCAGTGAACTTTGCTCCTCTGTGCAGGGTGGGATTCTGCAGTGCATACAGAGGTTCTGAGTTTTCTGCCCTGTTTAGTTCTCTCGGTAGATAACCAGCCACGAGCAGATACTAGGATCTTGATACTCAAGTATGGTTTGCAAATCAGCAGCATTACTGAAGCTTGTTAGAAATGCAGGCCTTTGGGCTCTACCCCAGATCTATTGAATTTCAGTCTGCATTTCTTCAAAGTCCCCAGGTGATTCATAAGCACTCTGTAGTTTGAGAAGCACTGTACTGAGATTACTGTGCTCTCCTCACATGAATGGTAGTAGAATGATGACCTCTTGGTGGTAGAATTAACCGAGCGTGACTGATGTTTTCTGACAAAGACTTCTAGTCTTTACACCAAGTGTAAATGGTGGTTGGAGAAAGAGGTGAATTTGTACATACTGGGAGGGAGGAGTTGTGCTCTAATTCCCTGTCCCCCATTCTGCTAGAGCGGCTAAGAGAAGCATTTCCCCAAAGACTCTCCTCTAGCACATGTACCTATGGGCTTCACCAGATCCAAAGAACCTTTGATGAAATAAGAACTGCACACTGTTCTGAAATACTTCTGATCCTGACGTTTTGAAGGAATGATCAATTTATTAGGAAATTAAACCCAGAAAGCCAAGTCAATGATATAGTATTTTTGAGTGACTAGTATTGACTCAACCCAACCAGGCTGTGGTGGACATGATTCACCCACCTTACAGTGTGTCTCGCTGCATTAGAACCCAAGTGTAAATGTTGGGTAAGGGAGGGAAATCAAAGTGATGGGACAGTGAGGGGAGTGAAATGCCAAGGAGACTGTCCTCGGAAACCGAGGTCTGCTTGTTGTCCCTTTAAGGATTGGGCCCGATAGTCTGTTACGTAACCCCTCTGATTATAAGACTCCGAAGGCAGGTGTTGTGGGCATCTATGTGAGCTCGCACTCACAGGATTATTCTCAGTCGTGAAAATGTGGTATCAGACTAAGCAGAAGGGGAAGAAGCTTTACTGTATTAGTCCTTCCTCGAAAAGGTGGTTCTTCCTCTCTGTCCTTTTGAGGGCATGAATCATGATACCCACAACCAAAATAAGCAAACTCTGATGCTGCTGTCTCATTAAGTAGACCATTTTCTGGGTCCCATACCTTTTTCTTTGCTGCTTGGTTTCCTATCAGACTCAAAATTTTTTTAAATTAGTAGATGGGTTAGTCCTTTGCCTTTGTCAAAGAAATTTTAAAAAGGATTAGGTGGTAGTAATGGAATTATTTTATATTGTTTAATCACTGGAAAGGCCAATGAGTTGCAGTTAAACTTAGGAGTTCCTTAAAAACTCATTTTAAATAATAAGGAAACTGAATCAGACAGACCTAGCCAGGATGGCAAGTGCGGGAGAGAACCCAAGTCTACAGTCCTAGGGTACTATTTTATTTCTTTTTTTTCAGTCCCAAGAACACAGGAGTGACTGTTTCATAAATTCGAGAGTTTTCTATTTCATTTAGGGGTAGAAGAGGTACAAACACTGCAGCCATGTGACCGTTTCACATTAGTGCTCCCATTGCGTTCCCTCTTGCTTTTCAAATCCAAATATGCAGTGATTCGGAATCTATTTTTAAAAACAAGCCAAAAAGATTCATGCACAGAGAAAGAGTGTGAAATGAAGCAATTCAAGTATTTAGACTTTTTTCGCCAAAATGCTGAGTTAAGAAAGTTTATTACCAGCAGTGGAAAATAAATAGCTCCATTGATTTGGGCGAATGAATGAGAAGATCTAAACATCCGGCCTCTGATAGAAGCTGGTGTGATGATAAAAGCTGAGATGCTTTGCTGGATCCTGGAAGAAATGGGCTGTTTATACTACCACAGAAAATAAAGTTGTTTGTAGTCAGGAGACAGCAAATTGTAAAGTTGACCTTGGACTCACTCAGACCTGGCTCAAATTTTAACCTAGTTGATTCATCAGCACTTGGACTGACCTTGGACTGGTTTTATAATCTAACATAAGCCCTAGTTTTCTTTATGTACAAAATAAGGAAAACGTTTGTTTGTTCATGCGGTAATTTGTATGAAAGTATCTGGCCAATTAGGTGCTCAGTAAATATTAGTTGCTCTCTCTCCACATTTCCCCAAATCGTAAAGCAACATAGGATTTTGCCAACCCATCCTCTGACGTGGGTGCTAGCTGTGCCCCTATCTGGGGAGCCTGGAGGATGATGAAGGGGACGATGGGTAGAGGCAATTGACCTTTCAGGATCAAGAATCAGGTCTACTGATTGGGAACCTCTGAATCCGTCTGTCATGCCAGTGAGGACAGTCTCTGCCACAGTGAAAATCCAGGCGCTAAGAACTGTCACGCTTCCGATGACGGCTAAGTTCTGTCAGTTCTGGGTCCCGTACTCCCCTGCCCCCAAATTGTCTATATTGTTGTAGTTACTCAGTTTGGGGCCTTGAATGCACTCTTCCATTTATCTTGAAGCCACTCAAATGGTATTTTTAGAGATTTTTTTCAATTAAAATTTTAAAAAAAAGATTTTCAAAAAAAATGCTGACCCTTTTGCACAAGCCAGAAGAGCAATTAAAGACAAGCAGTGCCTTGCTTCCTGAGAAAAATGCTTGGCAGTTAGCCTTTGTATAATTATGAGGCAATCGTGTTAATAGATGTTTAAGAATAATACCACTGGAGCTGTATGAGCCAAGGATGGAAATAAACATGAGACCATATTTCCTTCACCCATGGGTGCTCTTCAGTGCCTAAGAAAGGGCTTTAAATTCAGTGGGATCCAGAAGCTTTGGGTGCTTTCGTTCTTCCTCAGAACAGACCAGAGCTCCGTCCCCAGGAGCGTGATCCAGAGTGCAGGGTGGTCGCTGCTGACCAACGCTGACCAGCTTCGTTAGCTCTGTCCCTTTTGGCTTCTACTTAATTCTGTGGCTGCTTAAACTTTTGCACTGAGATATAAACGTGTAGATCCCATTATTTCTTGATATATTTCATAGGAAACACTCATCTTGAAACATACTCTTAAACCTTCTCCATGGTTAAGTGTGGAAAACAAGTGATTATTCCCCTTCTGTTAAATCACTAAGTATCATGAGATAATTAAAAGTCCTGGGAATTTCTGCTACACTAAATCATGTTTAACTATTTAACTGAGCATTTCTCAAACTGACTTGCCCATAGAACTTTTTTCAAAAAAATCAAGACACCTTAGGGAACTAGCTCCACAGAACACAGGTTGGAAACCACTGTTTTTTATAGGAGCAGCTGAACTTCGATTGCTTCTTAGAAAACAATAACATGCCACCCTGAAATATGCCACTTTAGCATAAAGATTGTAGGTGCGGGAAGAAGTCAGTCCCGCTGCTGCCCAATAGCAGCAGGGCTTAAATGTCCCTCTGTACCGTGGCTCCTCCCCTTTGGTCCTCACCCTGAAACAGACCGTACTAAGGTGAGACTAAGTAAACAGACCTCGACTAAAACAGCCCGGACTTTCTATCAGTCTCCCCTTGTATTTACTGTTCCACAGTTTGCCTCCCTAAAAGCCTGACCCCCTTTACTTACCTGTTCACTTGCCCATTTACTGCCCCGTGTTGATAATATGTCATGTCAGCTCCAAGCCTGACCGCTGCTGTTGAGTTGTCTCTTTCTGTGTGGCCCCAGTGAAAGGAAAGGTTAAAAGGTCAATTGAAGTTGCTTTTGTAAACTTGACCACTTTGGGATTTTTTTCTTCTCATTTTTAGTTCAGTGGCTTACCAAGGATATATGCTTTTTCTCCTGGTAATCAGCCTTTTGTCAGTTTTATTCACAGACCTCAGCCACAGAACTTAAGGTAGAAAGTTTTTCTTCCCCTACCAAAAAAAAGACTCCAATACATTTTTCCTATAGGTGACCAGAGGCTGCAGTTACACAACTGCAGAGGAAACTAGAGGTGAAGTTACCTGTATAGAACTTCACATGGTGGTATAATTTGGTCAGTGTCACGTGGTATTAATAGAAACATCCTGAAAATGCAAATGAATAAAAGTCTGACCAACAAACTGACATTTCTTCACATGAGATCCAACAGTCACTGAGCATTTCTCATTTACTTTTTCTGAGGCTTCGGCATTTCACATTAGGCTTTTCTCGTTTCTCACCATGCAGTGGGAAAACGGTTTATATTTCCAGTGTGTCTTATGTTCTTAGTTCGTTGAACATTTGTTGTTTTAGAAAGTTTAAATGTTCGTTCCTTTAAAAAAAAGTGTATGTTTCAAACAGGGAAAGGAATAGCCAATAGCCATGGGCCAGAAATAATAGAAGAAAATTAAGACAAGTACAAAGAAAGAAGGAATTTCCCCTCCCGAGAACGTGTAACATAGAGGACCCCAAGTTGCCGTGCATCAGACATGTTGCACTCTCTTGGTCGCTCTCCAGAGATGGCGTCTCCACGACCCCTCTGCCCCATCGTTGGCTTACACTGCGCTCACCCAACGTGCCTCTTCTTGCAGTAAATCTCA